AAACCGAGAGGTCGTAAATAAAATAGATAATAGCACGAATAGGGCCTAAGACGTATTTTTTGAATGGGTACTTAGAGAATAAATACACCATAAATAAAGTTTCGCTAAAGGTAGGTATAAAATTTTTCGCAATAACGAAAGTATTTTTCAATGAAATTAATAGCTATAGTTTTTGCTAATCTAACAATAAGTTGAAATAACGTTACGCTACGTATACGTATAAATGTCAGTTAGGTCTATTTCCAATTCGGTTAAACTCAAAGCGGAAAATGGTGCTAAATTGACAAAAAAAACATTTCATGTTCGTCAAAATAGCGTAATGCAATTTTTGTGCGTAATTCGATAAAACTCTAATAAATCGCCAGAAAAGTTAATTACAAAATACTAACGAATTGCGAATACTTTTGCATATTTTATCGAGCGCTTTTTGTCGTTGAGCTTCTGTAACAACAATTTTATTTTTACATCGATTTTATGCTATTTCTAAAAAAAGTTCGCGTAGAGGATAATTGGCAAATAGTTTATGCAGTTGTATACCAACTGCATACAATTGGCTGTCGCTCATATACAGCAAAATTGACACGGAAATTGAAGCATTCTATTTTTATCCGTTCAAATCCATATGCAACCGAATATTAAACCGTATAAATTACCTATACATTCGAATAAATTAAATAACTATTTATGATTGTATCGACAATAACGCGATGTCTAATTAATACGTACTATAACTTGAGAATACGTTATAGTTGAGTAGGTCAGTGTTTGATAATTAATTGATTTATTTTTTTTTATATTGTAGTATATTATAAACGTATCGTCTCATTGATCGAAAATTTTTATCTATTATAATTGGTTATTATTATATTTTTAGAACAGAATTTTTATCCCTTTGCGAGGATGGATATTAATCTCCCAACACCTACTCATATACTTATATGGAATAGATAAACTTGTGCAGATTTTTGTAACTATTCACGTAGGTAATTAGTTTGCAGTTTGTTGGAAAATGCACTCGCTGCATTAAAAGTCTTTTGTTCATTGTTTAATTTTGAGATAAGCCTATTGTGAGACCAAATGGCAAAATATTTACAGCACATACAATACCAGTGTGTAGTAGTAAAGTATTATTTTCAAGGAAATTGTGAAATATTTATTCATCTTGCCTGCAAATGTGCCTAAAAGGTCAACACACTTTTGATCGGAATTTACAACGAACAAGGTTAAGTACGAGTATAATATGTATTGAAATCGTTTATTTATACGAAAACTCATACTCAAATGGAAATGAAAAATTCTAATTACATTTTATTGATCAAATATCACTGAATAAGTTAGAATCTCGCTAATATCTCGCCATGTGAAAGCAACCAAACCGATTCTTAGATAGACAAAGCCTTATACCATCGGAGTCGGTTTAACGGCTAAGCGAAGTCTTAAAAGTAACTGTACTTCAAAGCATCGCATCGGAATGAATATCCCAGCATCAAAATACGAGAACTCCGATTTATTTCTACGTTTTCAGTAATCCAATATTTATTTTAAAAATTGAATTTTCTCCAATAAAAATGCGATGATGCAGTTGTTGGATATCACCGGTTATCGCGTTACGTTCAGAAAATTGAGATTGAAAAAGGATTCTCCCCGGATTAAACTAGAAATAAAATAAAACCGAGAGGAAGTATTATTAAATTAATAAAAACATGAGATTGCAGAAGTTTATGATTACGAAATCTTGGAAGTAAAATTTAGTTTAACACACGTGTCATGCGATCTCTCTCAACAACAACAACGGAGGAGGAGGAAAAGAGAGAGATTACCGGCAAATTTAAAACGACCGCAGGGACCGGTCATCGATTCACGTTTAAGGTATGCCTAACCGAATCGAATTGTTTTATTAACAATAAATTCAAAATTTTTAAATACCTGGTAACCGTCGTTCGATTCGAAACGTTGCGTTAGTAATCAGGCATAGTACTATTATACCATCAGGTTTACTATACAACGGATGGAGTTTGAAGGTCAGCTTCTTAGGCCGCGCATTGACTCTGTAGCAGAAGAGATCGACGCCAAAATGTTTATACTTATAGGCTCTTTTTATCGCCATGATTTCGTTTTAATTTGGAAAAATCGGTTAGCTTTATCAACGTTTAATTTGTGGAATTGTTTCTTCATTCGGAATTTTTAAGGTTATCGGAAGAGCAGATATAAATAATATAATATACGTAAGTAAATTCGAGATTTACTGCTATCTTTGAGATAAATTTTACAAAGTACCCATTTACATGTGGACAAGTTCACTCTATTAGTAGCCAAAAGACAATGCAGAAACTAAAATTATGTACTAAATAAAGAGAAGAAAATTTTGTATGTAATAAATAGGTACTTTACAGGTAATTATGTACTTAAATACACCCGATATGGTGTAAGGAAACCTCACACGCTCCTAATATGTAATAGAAAGGGAGAAGGGAAACTATTTTAATTCATAAATCGCAGATGAATTATAGTAGTATACCTACATAGTGTGATGGGTACCGGCAGCACTAAAAGTGCGAGAAACTGTTAGAAATAATAATTTTGAATTACATACCGATCGTTGCACATATCCCGTACAAAAAATATTAGAACTTATAATAGCCCAGCATCGTGCATGTAAGAAAATTATTCTATTTATTATACCTTCAGGTACTATAGACATATTACAGAAACCTTATAATTCCAGAAAATATTAATATAATTAAATTGGTAGGTATCTAGTTAAATTATGTTCAATATATTATATCTAATATGTATACGAATTTATTCAGAAAGTGCAATGTAGGGTCCCTAATACTATTTTGTGAAGATGGTATAGATTAAGCCGAAAACGCAAATGTAATTCCTATGATTTAGGGGGCCGTCCTGCTATCTAGAATCTTATAAGATGTACCAAATGAAGTGTAAACCCATTATAAAAAAGATATTAATTTATTATAAACTGGAGTATTTATATTAAATTCTCATACTTTCATTCGTTAATCAATTCCCAATTCATAATTAAGTCTATTTACCAAGTCTGTAAGATAAAGCAGCATGAAATAAATAGGTAAGTAAGTCCGACACTTAAATAATTTCAACATAACATCAGAGCACAAACCCACTCAAAAATTCTAGTATTATGTATTTTGTATAGGCGCTTGCCCACTCGTCTACTCCAAATTTTATTTACAAGCCAAATCGTTTAGGCATTCAGATTCATCTTAGAATTTTAAATGCCTTATTAATGATTGATAGGAAATATAAAGTAGAATTTATTAAAAATCAAAGTAAATGTTTAATGAGTTCAATGGGACCAAACAAAAATTAAAGATGTTTACCTTTCTCAGGCATGAGACTTTATTATTTATCTTTAGTAGACTGCCTTTACTACTCAAATAAGTTGTTAAATATATCTACTAAAATTTAATTTAATTAAATTATAGTTTTTCTGTAAATGGGTACCTTAAATAACTATAGAAAAATGTTAAAAAACAACTTCATCGAAAAGTTTTATAAAGAAATACACAGTGTACACATTGCATTTATGTGCAGTTCTTCATCCACGTAAAAGAACAACATACCTTTAATGCAATAAAGAGTTTTTATCCGAATGCATCGCAACGGCAACCAAACCAAACCAACTAAACCACGAAAAACGAACGCAAACACATCACTGTCACCTATCTCGTTCAAAACCACCCGAATCGACCGTAAATTTGAAAAAAAAATATATTTTTTCGAACGATCGCTAGAGCGTTCAGGTCCTTATAATGTGCGTTACAAGCGCCTCAGAATGTTTTGAAGACCCAGTCCCCAGTCGTAGGCAACAGCGTTTTACTTCGCCCGTCCCCTGTTCAATCTATACTACAGACGGTTTAAATGCTTGCCCTGCGTACTAGTCCGTATTTACGGAGCGAATGGGATATAATATAAAAGGAAGAATACATAATACAACGGTCCAAACGGACCGGCTGTGTCAAGTTATGTTATAACTAAAGGTAGTAGCTTTTTGTACAGGGATCGCTAATTACTCTAATTTGAATTGAAAGCAAGCGCGTATTGTATTTGTTCGAAGGGAAATTATACATGCTGACGGTTAGACCTAAATGGTATCAAATTTTAGAGCAGCCGTTTTACGCTAAAATAGAAAATGTGTAAAGAGGAATAACAATAGCTTTTGTTATAAAAAAAGTAGGCGAGTTTAATTAAACTTGTACTTGTGGGCAGAAATGTTAATTCTAAATGGAAGATCTCAGTTTCTTAATGAAACTTCAATCCAAGAATGGCTTCACCAATTAGTAAATGCTGAAACTAAATTGAATGGGTGATGTACGTTTGATGCCAAAGTTTGAACGGTTTTCTTGGGTAACTAGCTATTAGTATTTGAAAGTCCAAAAATTTTATCCTTTTGCCACTCAAAAACCAAAAAATAGTTAAAAATGTGGAAACTGTCTTTTTTTTTCATTATGTTTACCAGTTTTTAGAAGTATTGGAGCTTTTGAAGTCAAGTAGGTATATCGGTATTACTTAGCCGTATATTACTTGAAACTTTGGATTTAGTTCTTGGGAAAATTTTCTCTCAAAATTTCATTTCAAATCTGTTATTCATGGTCAGTGCATTAAACAACCTGGATAAAATTTCAGAAATATTCCTTTTTCCACTCATCGCCAATGGAATTATGATGTGAAGCCGATAATTTTATTTTTTTTGCGCTCAGACGGAAGATAAGTAAAATTAGAACAGAACCAAATACCTATCTCATTTTAATTCGCCATATTTTTGGAATTTTATCCTTTTTCCAATCACCCATTCAATTATAGTTTGTAGCCAAATTATAACAGATTAATAATAATTAATGTCATCTACCTATTAATGATTAAACAACCGTAAATAAAATGAAGAGATTTGAATTGACAAGAAAGATAGTTTCAATATTTTGACACAAATAGAGGTTATTCATATTTTATACTGTAAAAATGCGTATGCTTATAAAATGAAATTCAGATTCATGATTTTCTGATGGAATTCCTGATCAACTTTAAAATTTAAATGCTAGTGAATAATCGAAGCTTTAATAATGTGACCTGTAGGTATTGGTATAAAATATATAAAGAAAATGATTAGCTGGAGACTTTTATTAAGAATATTAGAAATATTATTTTGTTTCACTGGAGCTGTAATATTTCATTTCATAGATGATATTAATTCAATATGGTTGCAGGAAGGCATTACTCTAGGTAAACACATTATTCCTTATCTACTGGAATCCCAAAGATTCATCTCACCTATAAGAACACAATAAAAAACTATTTCTTTTCATTTTTAGGCTTATTGGGTTATTTTATAATACTCATCGTTTGTCTGATAGCATCGTCTGTAGAACACCTTCCGAGTATCCAAGACTTCATATTCCTATGCATAGGTTTCATTATCAATTTCATCTGTAGCATTATGACATTCATAATGTATTTTTTGAAGAAAAAAGCTCACGAAGTAAAAGACAAACCCGAGGAACACCATCACTTAGAAGCCGCTTTGGGCAGTATACACTTGACCATAGCTGTACTAATGGTAGCAGATTTAATACTAGGTGCTGTAAATTTAGAGGATGAAAATTAAATTATTTTTATGTAACAGAGTTTCCTTTTAGAGCGTTTTCACAAGCTGCAACATATTGCAAGCGTTAAAAAATTATTGCGTAAGATAAATTAAATTGTTAACAATTTTCACACTACTGATGTAATTTGGGAGGGTACATGGGAGACATAGGAGGGTGAGTTAATGTAGAATTGTGCTAAATAAAAGAAACCAATAAATAAAGTGCTATAAATATATATTTTTTAAATAAATAAGGGGGAATGTAACAATAATTTAATAATAGTAAACAATATCATTATTTTATATAAATAGGTAAAATTCACATAACAAATAAATATCCATTTCTAACAATCTAATTGATCTGCTTTAAAAACAATAATTGTTGGAATAGAGTGTGAATGATTTTTTTATAATACTGCACAAATTAAAACCTCTCAATAATCGAGACCAATCGTCATTATTTCGAGAATAAAACAGATCATTGTATGTAATAAAAAAAATATAAGAAATTATTTATTGATCTTTGGCAAAAAACGTAAGCACTAACTCGATATTCAAAATCTTTGTTTCACTTTTTCGTATAAATCCCATTGACAAAATATTTCCAATCATTTTCGAAAAATATATTCCGAGTATCAATTTTCTATTCATTACATTGAAATCTATAAATACCACATTATTCAATTTGAAATCGTTGCCAAAATATTATGAAGAAATATAATTAGCATCTAGGTAATTACTAAGGGCAGGAATAAAACCTTATTGTCTCCGAACAACTTCAATAGCTGCTCCGGTTTATACACGGTTAGAAAAAATGAAAGTACACGGCATTTGCGTATCAAATGAAAGTAATTTTAAATAAAAAAAGATTTGTAAAGGTAAGAAGCAAGAGAAATGTAAATCGTTCCTCAACTTACAAGAACCTTTCGTCGATTTTTATAGTAATTTAAGCGTTTCTCCCGACCGTTCTTACCGATCCTGTTTCGAGTGTAAAAAAATGGTGATAAAGCTGCACAATTTTTATATAAAATAGCTCTCCGTGTACGATTCAAGGTTTAAGGCATAACCAGATTTTGATTGAAAACGTAGCTGCTTTCTAGCGCACAGCCTAATTTTATAACAAAAATAGCTACTCTTCTCATACTATCTGTAAAACTACATACTTAGCAAAACGTGTTTGATTTACATCGCAGAGGAATCAAGAGAACGGATTTCCGATCCGTTTCATCCCGAAGCTCTTCTGCTCCTGCTCTGGAGTCCTCAGCACTTCGAACGGCATGATCGAGCTTTCCACGACTTCGAGATCGTCCGACGGGAAATCCTCGAAGCTCATGTTACTGAAGCCCCCGTCGTTACGAACCTTGGCCACTTTCTTCGACTTGCCGCCGTTCTTCTTGTGGCCGCCGCTCTTTTTCTTCGACTTAGCCCCGTCGTCCGAGACGCTGTCGTCGATTAAATAGTACTTGGGCTTCGGCTCTTTCTCCTTCTTCTTGTCCTTCTTGTTCTTGCTGGCCGGCTCGACGGCTTCGGGGAGATTCTCGTCGATGAAATCCAAGCGCAAGCTACTCCTCGAAGCCCGCGGGGTTACGAAATTGTTCGGCTTCAGTTCGGTAAACAGCGGCTCTTTCTTGGGCAATTCGAGGCTCTCGCGCTTGCAGACTTCGAAGCTGTTGCGCTTCGGCGCCTCCAGGCTGACGTGCCTCACGGTTTCGAAGCTGCCGCGTTGCAGTTTCTCGAAGCTGTGGCGCAACGTCACCTCGTAATTTTCGTGCGAAGGAACGTCGATGGTCTCCCGAGAGGCGCGGAACTCTTTGGGCGGCTGCAGGAAGGAATAGTCGAAGTTTACCTCGGGGAAACAGATCGGTTGGGTAGGGATTTCTGGTTCGGGGGTGGCGAAGTCGGGTGATAGGAACGGGTTGGAATTAGGCGTAGTGACGACGGTGGGTTTGTTATCGTTGCATTCGATGAAGTGATCTTCGAACGTTGGTATATCCTCGATGTGGTTTGTATCTTTATCATCGCAATCGTTAGTGGGTGGTTTAGTTTTGGAAAAAGGCGCCATCGCGAATACATCGTTGTTGTCTTCGAAGCTGCTGGACGGCGCTATCCATATATCGGCCGTCTTGCGATCGTTGTTCGGCATCCAGGCGTGTTTTTTGCATTTGTTATCGGTGTCGGAATCCAGTTCGTCGTCCATTAGAAGCGGCTTCTCGCCGTACTGGTGGCCGATGAAGAGCATGTCCTGCGATTGCAGCGCCGCTTTCTTGGACTCCTCGCGCTGCTTCGTTCTGATTATGCGACTGGTGAAGTCCTCTTCGTGAGTGGCCATGCTTTCGCATTCGGCGTGATAGGCCGACGAGCCGCAGGTCTTGATGCTCTCGCTCACCGTCTCGCTGACGGCGTCTTCCTTCGCCTGCGGCGCGTCGTCTTCGTCCACTCGCAGATCGCTGGCGGATCCGATGGAATCGTCGGATTCCACGTCGTCGTTTTCTCGGTGGTTTTTGTCGTTGCGCGCTTTTTTGGAGGATTTGGCGCGGTCGGATCGGAGGTTTTTGATCGGTAGTTTGTACACCGATTGTAGCTTCTCGGGAATGATCGTCTTCTTCTTCTTCTTGTATTTGACTTTTTCTTCGTCTGAACTGCTGTTGGACGTGACGTCGTAGGCTCCTGGCGTGAGTTTTTCGTACTTGGATCTGTCTTCTAAAGGGGCTTTGATGAAAGGTGGGGATATGGGTTGGTCGGACTCCGGCTCGGTGTTGATGAGAGCCTCTCCATCGGACGCTGCCGCGTGTTCCGGAGAAGAGTCGAATAGTAAATTCTCTTCGGGTAATGTCTCGGTTACCGGTTTTTTAGATATAGTTTTTGCTGAAAAAATATCAATTTGTTAATAACTTACTTGCCTGCAATAAAGCGAGTATTCTTTTTGAGAACTTACTATATCGTTAGTATCTAATGGGTATAACTAGATTCTACAGCCCAAGAAGCTTGTTACAGCGTTAAAAAACCAACGAATCTACGCGGTAAAGTTACTCTTCAATTGAATAAGGCTTTACTCGTTATCGTTACATTTATATCACTGCAGGTTCCAAAATATATTCTACCAAAGTATCTAATTTTACCACCACTAGTTGTTAAAAAAATAACACAAATTAAAACATACCATAGCATATTTGATTTATTAAAAACCTGCTAGAACACTCTTTTTCTCAAATTATACCTATTTCTTGGCTAATAATCTTGGCTTGTAATCCCTATTACAGCCAACACAATACCAAAAAGCATTAAAAACTAAATACACACAGCACTGTCTCATTCACTTTTATTTACATTGTAATCCAATAGTGGTTTGTAAAAATTAGCTACAAATTCTCTTCTATATTCATGAAGCAACCAACTTTTACTTAAATTACCACTACTGCCTCAAATTCCACATTATAGTACACATTAGTGCAAAGAAAATATTGTTATAAAACAATAACTCTGTGAAAAGGCTGTTTCAAAAAATGTAAGTGGTTCATTCAAAGTCTACTATTTAATCTACAAATGTGCATTTGTGAGGATATTTACACAATGTTTGTTTGTTAGAAAACCCACCACCATTATTCTGGAACAGCCATTTTTAGAGATATCAGTTAAGGAGAAAAGACGGAACAGAACGTGGAAAATTGTTACTTTCGCCAATCGTTCGTTCGTAAGGTTAAATAAGTAAGGAAGCTCGTAACATAAAGCAATTTTTATTGCTAATAAAATACAATAATAGCTGTACAAGAATGTTTTTAGTTAGTATGACGATCACAATACATTTTTTTTCAATAATTATACAACATATACATAATAATCGACATGAAAGTAAGCATTAACTCAGAGCAGGAAACTAAATAATTAGCCCAAAATGTAAATATTTCTAAAAATGCTGTTCCAAGATTACCAGGAAATACCTAAATAAAAAATCGAAAAACGAGATTTTTAATCCCACCTTGTTCGCCATTCTAAACAAATACAAGCAAAATTTTTATTTGATTTTACTATATTAAAAATGTTTCGCTAGGGAATGAATAATACATATTGTTAATACAATTGATGGATATGAAGATTATGAAGAGTATAACAAACATATGAATCAAAATGACCAATACACAATGAATTAAATTATAACGACATAGTATTTTCCATAATTCACCTATTTAAATGCAAATTAACAGATATTTCTCATTAATTCCAATATATCAAAGTAAACAAACTATATTAAATGTAAAATAAAATTAACTCGTAGAAAAGAAAGCAAATTTGAATACTATTCCAATAAAGCTTATTTTAATTTTCAAGTATATTATACCCCATTGTCCATCCCATGTCCATCACCATCGAAAAAGAGGAGCAATTCAAAAACATAAATGCCTATTTTATTTTTTTTGCCTTATTTGTATTCATTTTAAAATTAGGTAAAATTAATTTTCATTTTATGAAATCGACTACTAATTTTTATTTAAGCAAAATAAAAGAAATTCTACTATTAGTACATGTTTAAATATTAAAAAATATTTTTTACATAATTTACAACAAATATTCTACTTTAGTACGATCAATGTTTGGTCTTGGAGTATATTCTTACATAATAAAGATTAGTTTTCTTGATAAGAAACGTTATAATTAAACAAAGTTACAAAGATAAACCGGAAAGTAAAAAAATACCGACCCCTTCTTAAAATTATTAATCAAACTAGTTCAAGTTAGTATAAGTGAGATTTTTTTTCATAAAACAAGGTAGCAACTTGGCTAGTAGAATTGTTGTGGCATACTCAAATTTTATTCATACTAATACATCCTGCACAATTTAGCTATAAAGAAAGTTATTTCTAATTTTGTACTTAGATTATCTTTATGACAATTATCAATAATGCTGTTCTAAACACACCTAAATTGTTTACCACATAAGTTTTATATTATTTTGAACGATGATATTCAATGAAAGGGTGTATGTTATCTATAGAACCTTGTATTATAAATAGGAAAGTATTTGAAACAGGGATATAAGATATAAAAAAATATTTTAACTCATGTAATCAACCAATTAATTGATGTAAAATAATTCGATGATATTCATTTTTCCTCAAAAATTTAAACTGTTCAATTTAGGTGTAGATAAACTTGAAAATAAAATATGTATTTGCTATTTTTGTAATATCAAAAAAATTTGTAGGTACCCCTCTAGTATGCGGTCTACCCTAGCACATCTGGTTTAGTATACGGTCTACCAAAATTTATCTTATAAAGTGTTTTGAGTGGGGTTTTTATGTTTAGTACAGAGATATAACAGTTGGAGATTAAGAAAAATGGACAAACATTTTCACTTTTGTGAGACATGTTCACAACTAGTCTTACTTTTACAAAATGACACCTGTCAAAGTATTTCAATACACTTGGGCGTCGAAATATGTAGACCTCAAATATTATGGTAGACTGCATACTATACCGGCACCCAAAAAAATAATGCAAAAATAATGCAAACTACCGGGGTAGTAAATTTATTGCTTGAGCAATGAATCTTCTTCAAATAATAATTCGAATAATTCTTAGGCATTTTATGTTTACTTATATTAAAATTTAGAATTGATGAATTTTCTATTAAGCTTATTTACACTACAAAGCTGGTCATACATCCTTCCACTTTGCTTTTTCCTATCTACCAACTCATCTCTTACACAATAATTGTTTTGCATTTGCATTTTTGCTAGTCAAAAATAAAATGGTACTATTTATTTATCACATATTCTAGCGTATTTTTTGGGATTATTGTTATACATAAAAACACATTGTTATACATAAAAATAAAAGGCAATGATAAGAACGAAAAACCAAGCATTAAGATTGATTACCTGCGGAATGTAATCCTTTATTGGCCCTATCTCGGTTGCGAACGGGAAGACTAAAGGGAGCGCTACTAAATGGATCTTCTGATACCGACATTGTAAGATTCTCTTTCGATTTCATTCCCTGCAAGCCTGAAAATAAACGCAAAAAATTAAATTAAACGTTTCCGTGAGTAAAACGGATATAAAATGCTCAAATGAAGCCTTATTACAAAAATATAAACGGTATAAAAGAATTTAATTGCAAAAGAAACGACTAACCCGAATAAGGAACTCCACAAAATTAAAAAAAATAAAGCGGATTAACTTTATTACATGATAACCAACTAAAAATATGTTATATCTTTACTTACGACATTGTATTTACTTTTAACTTTTTTTTGTCAATTCATTATCAACTCGAAATTATACAATCAAACGTCTTTTTAAAAATAATACTATAAAAAAGATTTTTTTCTATTTATTATGTTATTATTTTTATTAATTACAAGAAATTACTTGGCGTCACTCGTGAATTCAAATCGAAAACAAGTTAATCTCTCTAGGCTCATAGACGTTCTGTTTACTACAGTTCCTTTACGTTTACAAACTTATTTGTTTCAACTTAATCATGAATGGCATAATGAATAGTATATTATGCAAATATAATAAAGCCTTTTTATATATACAGGATGTACCACAACCAGTTAAAACTATACAAGTGTGGGAAACTACACTATTTTGATGAAAATTTGTAGGATCAAGTTTATCGACTATGCTCATTTTAAATAATATAATTTGTTGGCATCAGTTTTGGTTATTCAAATGGGACACCGTGTATATTTTTGTCTTAACTTGGAAACTTTGGAAGGGGAGTCACACTAATTATATTATTTAATAATTTAATAATATTAATAAAGATAATAATAATGGATCAATCGACACTAGTAACAGTAGAAGAATTAATTTCCTATTCAGCGCCCATTTTAACCTTAAACACGACTTCTCTAGTCGCGTCTCTAACTTGACGGTTATACATTGTTGTTATGGAGTAACTAGGGACTTTGTTTAAGGTGTTAAGGTTAGGACAGTTAAGGTGACCCTTTAGTTTAGAGCCATGTTTAAGTTAAAAATGGGGCGCTGAATACGGGCCAATAGCGCCTCACTTTCACTTTAACTTGACTCTAAAGTAGCGTCTCTAGTCCCTAGTTACTCCATAACAACAATGTAAAACTGTCAAGTTAGAAACGCGACTTTAGAGTCACGTTAAAGTTAAAGTGAGGAGCTGAATATCTAAATATGAACCAAGGTAAAATAACCATAATCCAATAACCACTATGTGGAAAGTTATTTATCACATTTAATATTTTAACACCTTGTACAAAAAAGAGATCAAGTGGCTGAATATCCTTATCAGCCGCAATAAGTACTAAGATATATGAGTGTGAAATCAGCTCATCCAAAAAGATAATGCTGGTTTCATTTAAGATAGTAAACTTGACGCTAACTTATGGTGTAACCAAGAAGAACTATAAAATAGTTTAGTTAAAAAGAGCTTAATAGATAACCCACACCTACAAATCACACTGGTATACGAAATTCAAAAAAAATTTTTGTATTATTACGTTGTAACTAGAACTATTTCTTACTAATTTGATGTTGCTGTTTTCAAAATTGAGTCGCTATCAATACGCCCCATATAATAACAGCTATAAAATACACCCACAGCTAGTACTTACTGTTAGAACTTCCCCTGCGGATTTTATCGAATTCAGCGCCGAATATGTGATCCTCCGTCAGCTGGCTGAACGGCGGCTCTTCGAAAGGATTCCAATCGGCCACGTCGGCCGAAAGCGACCTGCTCTCCGTCCCCTTGCTTCGGCTCACGTCCGTCGACGACGTCGACGCGCCCATCGGAGCCAGAGTCCTATTGGCATCGTCCGATTCGGCCGGCGAAGTCACGCTGCGCGGCTTAATCGACGATTCGAACGGCGCCAAAAATTGGGACGTCTCCGACGCGTAAGTTCTGCACGAAATAAATTACAGTCGCACCAGATCGACGAGAGAATCGGTACAAAAACTCACTTATTGAAAGCCGTGGTGTCGCTCATGTTGCGCCTGTGGCCTCTAGGGACAGCGAGACTGGGCGAAGAAGGTGGGGAATTGCTTCCGATGACTGCGGTGGATTCGGTTAGACCGGATCTCGTGTGCAAGGCTACGCCTTGATTTTCGAATAGGGGATTGTCGGCGGCTACAGGAGATGCGACGTTGGCCGGCAAACTGGCTGGAGCTTGGTTCGAAAAAGTGTCCAATTTGTTTCCGTTAGTCGGATCGGTAGATGTGGGAGAGGCTGCGGAATCGTCTCGAAAGGGATCAGGATAAACGGAGGACTGGAATAGAGAATCCAGTTGTGGTTGGTTCAGGTCGGGAGAGGGAAAGAACTTCGGGGCGAAGGTGGGATTGGTAGAAGTCGTGTTGGATGGAAACGAAGATGTGTAGGGAGCGTTACCTGGATAATTGGCCGGTATGGTCGGAGCAACGGGACTTTGGGGCTTCTTAATGAGCGTTGGACTAGGACAGAGGGCTAAGGGGATGTTATTGAGATTTAAAGGACCTGATGAACTGCCTTTCGGCCTTTGCCTTGGCATGACGCTGGTTCCTTCTATTACGGGCGCAGCCACCTTGTTGGTTTGTACTTTTATTTGAGTTTTCTTTGATTCTGATTCAAATGGTGGAATTGGTATATCGTCAAGATTAGGTGTTGGGGTTTTCTAAATTGAAATAACAAACAATACAGTTATTAATTAAACAGCTTTTTTTGTAAAATAAATAAATAAAAACTCACCATTAAATTTTTCACAGGATTATCTTTTCCTTCGAGCTGAAAAGCGATAGAGCTCACTTGATAAATGTCAGGCCTTTGATCTGGGTCAGGTTCCAACATATATCCTAAAAATTATGTTTTAATATCATTGAAATATTTTCTAGTTAAAGTTGAAATTTACTTATTAATTGATGCAATCCTTTGGAATAACGTGAATTGTCTGGAATGAAGAAGTTTCCACTTTGAATAGCTAAGGTACTCTCGCCAAATGGTAATGTAAAGAAACATAATTTATACAATAAACAGCCTAACGCCTATAAAACAAAGAAAAATTGTGTAATATTCAGAAAAAAACGTATACCCTATGGTGCATTTCAGTTTGCAATATTGTCACTTCATGAGTTGAACAAATAAAGATTATTAAAGGAACAGTTGTAAGAGTACAAAAGTTGCAATGACACAATAATATATCACTTTTTCTTTTCTTAGGGCTCGTAGAAAGCCCGTGGCCCCCTGAAAGGGGGTACTTCTAGGAGCTCTAAAAAACAAAAAAATAATATTTTGTTTTTCAAACACCCTGTAGATCGGCAACTAAGCTTTTGCGGACCTATGTTTAAGAACACCCTGTATATTATAACCAATATTGCAAACTAAAATGAATCAACCTGTATATTTATTTGCATACCCATATATCAGCTTTTGTTGAAATCGTTTTTCCGCAATACATATCGACCATTTCTGGTGATCTATAACTTAAAGTTGTATAACGCTTTATTTCTTCCTCTACCGCAGCGACGCCCTTCTCTAAAGGATTTAAAACCCTAGCAGTTGATGAACCGAAATCACATAACACGTAGTTTCCACTTTCACTTACTAAAATATTTTCTACCTAAAAGTAAAAATCCGTTAGTAGCACACGAATAAATAAGTACTACGTTAATATATTCAACTTACTTTTAAATCACGATGAATTATTGGAGTTTTGCAATGATGTAGTCGAGAAACAGCTTCGCATATATCACAGAATATGGCCAACACTTCACCTTCGGTAAAATTGGCCTTGCCTCGGCTCTTCATCATTCCAAAAACATTTTCTTGACAGAAAGGCATGAGCAACAATACTTCGTAAACACCACCGCCGGTAGGGGTTAGGCTGGAATCCACATAGCCTATAATATTCTTGTGGCCGCTCAAACTGCTCTGAAATAGCAAAACTAATTAGCTACATATTTTAATTAAATTGATCTAAATAACTTTAATGTGACTCAATTTGATTATTTTTTTCATCGCTACACTTTATCTGAATAATAACAAAATCTAATAAAGGTAATGTTGTGAATTTTATTAGATGAAATACTAAAGGGTCGAAATTATTATTCACATTGTATATAAATAACTAATAATAATAAATTAATACGAATGCAGTTAATTAATAGTAGTATTTGGCTCTACAGTATGTAATTGGCGACGTTTAAAACAATTAAATTAGAGACTTGTATGATCAGCGCCAAAAACATTATTCATCTATCTAATAAATTTCATTTACTCAAAACAAAGTAATAAAGGATTTTTAAATAAAGAAAACACTTACGGCTATTTGAATTTCCCTTTTTGCCACATTAAGGTCTTGTTCGTTATTAACATACATTCTCTTAAGAGCATATTTACTTCCATTATTTGATTTGACTGAATAGACCATAGCAAAACCACCTACAGAAAGAAACATAATATGAGTACTTAACAGACTGTCAATAATTTGATATGCACACTCCCCTTTTGCAAAACATAATTTCAAAATACTCACCTTCCGCTAAAACATCTTCCACGGTAACTGTTTGTCTTCCAACTGTAAAAACTTTACCTACATAATTATTGCTCTCTCGAGAAGTATTGTCAATTTTCGTTTCAATTTTTGAGAACAACTTTTTCATTTTAATTTCAGATATAGCTAATGCACATTAAATTTATTCAATATAATAGTAGCTACTTATCTTAACATCGTCTGTAATAAGCCTCGGATTAAATTTAGTTTTTTTACATCTAAATTTCACAATTAAACATTTTTATAGAAGGAAGAAAAGCAATAAAAATTTGTTGAGACTAGACAAATGTCACAATCACAAATGTGAAATTAAAATGACTTTGACAGTAATGACACATCATAATGACAGATATAAAAATTTTTCTTTTAAAAGAGAAGAAATAATTGAGGACTTTAAACTATTAACACTATGCATGTGTTGTGTTATTTATAATTTCTATTTAATTATAAACATATATAATTTTTCAAAAAACATTTTGTAGATTGTACAAAATAAATGGCTGAATGACTTAATAGGTAAGGCTTGGAATCATAACAAAGAGAAGTGAAAATAATAATTAAAGATCTTCTTCTTTTCTTGTAAAAAAATTTTTGTTTGTTGCAGCGAATGGCGTTTTGTTTATTTCATTATTGATAACTTTTGATATTGAAAAGAAGTAATTTTTTTAAACTCAAAAATTCCTTACCATTTTGTGTCAATATCTAAGCTTCGTAACAAGTTCCAAAATTCATTTATATAAATATACTTCTTTCTTCGTTAAATTCATAGGTAAGTTAACCAATTCCATTCATATGAGACTTATTTCCAAGAAATCAATCAACAGAACTAATCGCTACGTGATTTACAATGGACGCCGTTGATATTCAAGCAGTTGAATCGAAATTAAGCGATGTAACTGTAACGGCCATTCCCATGAACAACAAGGGTTCCAATAATGTGATACAAGCTCCTCAATCAGTAACCAAGCAAGACCCGGGCCAGTCAAAGTACGCGCAGTTGTTGGGAGTTATAGAAGAAATGGGAAAGGAAGTTCGACCAACTTATGCGGGTAGCAGGAGTTCTGCCGAACGTTTAAAACGTAATATCGTTTCAGCTAGAATATTAGTAAGAGAGTGCTTGATAGAGACCGAGCGGAGCGCTCGACAGTAATGGATCAATTAGTAAGTCGTTTCAAAAATGTACCGTCCAAAGATGTATTAATGAACGTATGATTTTCCATTACAAAAATGTTTCAACATCGAAATTTCTTATTATAATGAACTTGTTTTGAAATACTTGGTGTGAGTTTATAGCAAGTTCATTAAAATTGTGCTAAACGTTAGCACATTTTCAGTTATTAATAAGTAAAATTAAATACTTAAATTTCACGGTAACTATGATAGACTGACATGTTTTCCTTTCTATGTGAGTTTATTGCATTATTATCGAATAGGGCAACATGTTTTAATATGCAGTTTTAGGTGAAATTGTTTTACTACTACCCGCTCTTCATTTATAATTTTTCAAAAAATTTTACTTTGATTTGCTGTATATTTACTCAATTATTGTCTTTCAGGGTCTTGGTTATTATATTAAATTAGTAAAGCAGTTTCACCAGTGATTATACAATGTGATATTTCCAAATAAAAATGTGTTAAAATAATCAGGTATAAAGTACAAATAAATACCCAATATTACAGATAAAAATAAATATATAATGTAGCTGCCTTTTACCTCTTTTACCATAGTTTGTATAGATAATTACTTGTTGAAATATTTTCATATTGTCAATTTTCAGATTAAGATGTTTTATATAAGAATTTAAATATGTAGCACTTAAAATTGCTTGAACATTAATGAAGTATTGAAATAAAGTATATAAATTTTAACCAATGCTTTTTTGTATTATTTTTTAGGTACTTTTAGCTATAAATTTATAGCATTGTTGTAATAACAACTATTCAAATATAAAAATTTATAATTAGAAATTAAAAATTACATTAAAGATAATATTTTGTTCCAGAATAAATACTTATTTCTACAATAATAAATGTATGTGAATAGCATTAAAAATTAACTGCTGACTGTTCTGTCCTCGGCTGGAGACTCATTCATTGTGTGAACAGTAACAGGTGGCATGTAATAGGACTTTATAAGGCTGTGCAATCGAGTTACTTCAGCATCTTCTCGTTCTAACCCTCGGAGCATTTGGTAAAATTTTATAATCGAATCCCTACCCTCCGGGTATCCGAAATCACTGATTACCTCCATTTGTATTTGCATTACAATCGGGAACAAAAGCTGCATCATTTTCAACATCTCGTTACCTACATTATTTCTAGCTTCTTCGAGTTTCTGTACATTCTCGGAGGACTGTAGTTCTTCCAATGTTTTGTTAAGAATTTCACGTGCCAAGTCTGTTGTTAAGTTTGGATATACCTCATTCTTCGACATTTTGTTAGTTAAGTCAAGTTTAAAATTATATAAACTATATTTTTAATATTTGTTAAATTGTATAAAAGTTAAAATGTAAATAAAAATATACATATCAAGTGTCAACGTCAACTGTCAATTACATTTTAGAATACAAAGTGCAACGTTGCCAAAACATTTAATTTTAATCATAAGCCTTCCAAAAGGCAAAACTGGTTTTAAGAATTTCCTCCATTTATGTATTCGTTCTAAAGGATACGAATAATGCAGGAAAGGTTTATTAATCACAAATAAATTTGACAACGGTGATCTGTCCTGTGATTGGTCCATAGAAAAAATTTTATATCTTTCTTTCTCTATGGAGAGGTCTTCTCTTTTTTTAGTATACAGCACCATCTAGCAGAAACATAACCTACTAGAGAATTAGTGTTTTCGATTTGTCATTCTGAAAATCTTGACGAATAAACTTTGTAATTTTTGAAAATCAACATATTTTTGTGTAAATTCGATTCAGAATGGCCACTGCTATGGACGTCGATTCCGAAGAAATTGAATTACCAACTTCAAGCAGTTCGAAAGGCGAGAAAAAACGTTTTGAAGTAAAAAAGGTACTTTTCTAACCTCTGTAGTAAACCAGTATTCTAAAATTATTTTTTTTAGTGGAATGCTGTAGCTCTTTGGGCTTGGGGTAAGTGCATTAGACTAATTTGATGATCACAAATAATTATTTTAAAAAATTGTAGATATTGTTGTTGATAACTGCGCTATATGTCGAAACCACATAATGGACTTGTGCATTGAGTGCCAGGCAAATCAGGCCTCTGCAACTAGTGAGGAATGCACTGTAGCTTGGGGAGTATGCAACGTAAGTATTTCAATGTATTTATTACAAATAAGAATATTTCATATTAAGATGTTTTTCTTTTAGCACGCATTTCACTTTCACTGTATTTCAAGATGGTTAAAAACTAGGCAAGTATGCCCTTTGGACAATAGAGAATGGGAATTCCAAAAGTAAGTTTGATATAAATAATTATAACTATTAATGTATTTTATCATTATGTCATATTACTAAGTGTCAGGAATATGTATCGGTAATGGATTTTTTTACATTTATTTCAGATATGGTCACTAGTAAGGCATCAACCTACAAATATTCGATCTTATTTTGTTATTAGTTATCTCGAACTGTTAAATTCTAATAATACAATTTCATTTCTGTGTCCTAATTGTACTCTATCTTTTAGGTTTTTTAATAAACTGCTTTGTCATATCGAAAAATATATCAAATTTGTATCTGATTATACAATTTTCGTTATTGAATCATGCTATTTATAACATATATCATATAATTTATTTTAGTAGTCAGAGTTCTGACTCTGGAGCGTTCTAGATTGATCTAGACAGTTCTAAATGATCCTAAACAGTTCTAAATGTGCTTTAAAGCAACAGCAGGGTCCTCGATGCAAAACCTCTTCCTTCACTTTTTATGCATATACCTTGAGGCAATTGCTTCATCTTTTTAACTTTGACTTGACCATATTGCAAACAATTTTGCATCTATGTGTATACTTTTAATAGCAAAAAGAATTGTTTGGTATTTTTGCCAAAAAAATGCATTGTGGGATAAGGTGTGCCCTTTATTATATCACAGCATATACATGTATAAAGCAAAAAGGTACAGATGAAACTATTTGTAGTAGAAAACATTTATCTTCTCGAATATTGTACGGGGGTTCTCTAATTAACATATTACATTTTTTTGTAATCGGTTTGGATGAGCAATTTTTAGTTTCTCATTATCTAAACCTAATGATGTGAGTAACCATAATGAGTAACACTAATACGATGGAAATTGGTCATTCAAACGGTGCAAATTCAATATAATTTATTGTCAAAAAGATAAGGGACATTTAATAAATCGAAGAACAAACAAATACATTCACAAAAATAGGTACAATAGAATTTCAATAATTATAACAGTAACAGTTTTCCTTATCACATATATTGGAAGTCGACACTTTATGGTGAAGGTTTTGAGAGAGGAATATTCTATTTCTTACAGGAGACACATTGCATATTCTACTTTGGATATGACGTCTGTTTTTATGTAACGTTTATAAATGTGAAAAAGAATGGTTTGTAAAAACACGGTGAAACAATTTTATCTCGATACATCATCAATTTTTAACAATATCGCATTCCTATAGATAGACTATGTTAGCATTTTGGTTGTTTTTACAAGTACAAGATTTCTATATTAACTTAACTACATGGTTTATTTCTTCGATACGTGCATAATGATTAATACGTCTTGTATTGATGTCATAAGAGTCGATTGTAAAAAATACATTAGAAATTTTTAGGCAATTTTAATTGAAAGACTGACCAAATACTTTTTTATCCAAGACTTAGTGAAATTGAGGAAAAAACTATAACATTACTGGAACTATTTACTCGTTAACTGTTCATTGTTAATAAGATATAGTTATTAGAGGTAAAAGCAACCGAAAACTTGGGTGATTCAAAATTTACACATTTAAAAATCAATTTTCCTATTCAAAACACCATTGAGTTGAATCGGAAATTAAACGTACAACTATTCGTGATAACCAGAAACTGGCCTTAATTTAATCTACTTTTAACTAAATTTGTTGTATGGCAACCACACGCTGTGATTTAATGAGTTTTCCTCCAATTTTTCTGGAATGTAGTTTTTATTTTTACCTATTCTTAATAGGCCTTTATTTCAGTTACAGTATTATTAGTAATGGAGTTGAGTTCTTTATATCAATTAGAGAATTGTAAGTAAGGGAGTTTAAAAGAAATCCTAACACTGAGAGTACATTAAAAATCTGTCTTTTATAGATGTATTTTTGTTTTATAAAAGTTTTAGTAAAAACGCACTGGAGCGTGTAAATGAACCCATTCATCTCTTCGTAAAAATTTGAAAGTCTTTCATGAGTAGAATGTATATTGAAACAGTAAAGAAAATAGCTGTAGTAATTGGCCTTTTGTTATCAAGTGTAAAGACCAGTATTATTATTTTTACATTTAGAATTTGTAGCAACTGTGTATAAGGTAGGCAAAAGTATCTGAGTATTTTAGAATAACGCTGATATTCCGTCAAATACCAGGTGATTTTTTAACCTGAAACATTCGAATTATTTGGAATACTCCACAAATCATTCTAAGGAAAGAATTCCATATTCAAAATTTCAAAAAAGGTGCAAAATTCAACATTATTTTAACCACCTTCATCACCTTCAACATTTTTATATTAAGTTCCTAGACACCCTGTTTAAGAAAGAGACGAGAGGTCTAATTTCATCACTAAAATCTACTTCCTTCTTTCATCCTACATATTTTTTTTCATATTTTAAAACATAATTGAATGTTTATTGTTAAAAAATCCCCCTGGTGTACATACAAACGTAAGTACCTAATCTTATATACCTTATGCATGATTGCATAATTTTTAACATTCAACAATAATATAAACAAGATATATTTTATTCGAAAATTTTAAAGCAAAAAAACTACGTATTCAGTTTTTGATGGTCCTCGGACTGTTTTTTGAGAGAGTGCCACATCGCGACCGGCTTCCTTAGAGCAGTCAACATTTGATTCCAGTGACTGAGGGATCTGCCGTTCGCTTGCGATCCTACAATAACATGTCCGATGACCAGAGCATTTGACGAATCATCCGCACAGCATTCTGCCACGGTTAACCGTAATTGGATTGTCTAAAACAAATTAATTATCTGAGACAAGAGCGGCGCTTTAGATGGAACTATCTCTTTGATTCACTTAGAAAATTAGACACGCAAACTCATTGAAAATTACTTACACCCATAATGCAAATTAATATCTGTACATAAAGCAAAGTTCCCGAAACTACGCTATTACTGATAATTAAGGGTCTAGGAGCAAAGGAAACTGCTGTACTCATACGGATGTAATCTAGTGGGGAAATTTCCGTTAAATAATATTGTTACCTGTAAAGTATGAGCAGGTACGCTGAACATCATGGATTCATTAAATATTAGGCATTTTTCCCCTTTCTTTATTGACGTTCTTTTCTTAATAATTTTTTTATTGTGCTGCATTAAGTACACCTAAAAAAGAGTAAAAAATAAGTAGATATTAAATGCAATGCATTTGAGTGTAATCTGTAGGTAGATGAGCTAGGTATTCAAAACTGGGTAAAAATACCTATCGAAGATCAAAGAACTTACCTTAACAAAAACATCGCCTGGAGTATCGGTGGTAAAATTCAAGTTTCTTGCTTTCACCACCACTACTGTCAATCTTTCGGCGGTTGGAAGATAACTCACAGAAAACATTAATTCCCCGTATTCCGTTCCCTTCTAAAAAAGACAGTTATGGATTACAACTGCTCTATATTTTAATACCTATATGCGAACTATGTAGTCCATTACTTACTAAAAAAAAATTAAAAAAAAAGACTCTTTGTTACCTGTCCAGTGTCCGTGAGCGTAACCCAAGTGGTAACAGGTTGTCTTAGGCTAACATCGGACAGTCGAATCTCTCCTTCTCCTACCAAAGTATGCGATAAAAAATCGGTGCAATACACGTGAAAGCTGAGCACTCTTTGAGATTGCTCCCTACAACAAAGAGACAAAATTTGTACGGAACATCCATTATTACCGCGATTAGATACGCGTACCTGGGATTCATCGAAAAGAGAAACCGTTCTTTGTAGCTGGGGCTGCCAGTGCTGCGATACACCTTCGTTTGAATGGTCGCCTCTTTATCGGGAAGCAGCGATACTCTCACGTAAGTATCCAGATTGCCGTCCCTCTTGATTATACCTCGCAATTCCTTCGCTTCTAATACATTAACAATCAAGTCCCAACATTCGCTGAAAACGCATAAAATTGCAGGTATTTCGCGCAGTTACTTATAGACATTTTACCTGTCGTATTCTAGGCCTATGCATAAATAACCAGTAATATTGAACTCCAAGTCCCCAAGAGCCACCGAGCTGTCTGAGCAGACGCTCTCGCAGGATATAGCCCGTTTCAAGTTCACCGGCACCACCTCCACGTCTTCGACGGCGAAGGTCGGCGAGTCCGGCACCGCCGGCGGTTGGGGTTGGGGCTGCGGTTGCCCGTACAATCCCGATATTTTCACCGGCGTGGAGTATTGGTATCGCGACGCGTTGCTTTCGGGCAGCTGGGATATCGAAGGACTGGGCGGCGGCGTTAGATTGTGGGGCAGAGACGACTGGGAGAGCAGAGCGGTCATGTTAATGGAGGATACGGGCCGAGGAATGGGACAGATCGAGGTTTTCTCGATGAAACTGCTTTCGTGGTATCTGGAATGTATACGTTTCCGTTATTTTGGGAGCTCATCGAACTGTACTTACTACTATGGCAAAAAAGTGCCCGGAAATTTGGAATAAAACGGAAAATGTCTAATAATTTTCATTAACATTTCTTGAGTGTTCTTCCTTTTGAAGCGATACTCATTGTCAGACGCCTTTTCCAATCATCGAAGCATTTTTATAGACCCTTTTTGGTACGGCTTTTAGCTTCTGTGAATTTTCTTTGATAACACGGAGTCAAAACGGGTGGAAATTTGAGTTGGGGAGACAAAAAAAGTGTCTTGCTTGTCAATCTATGCTTGTATGGAGATTCTATAGAGCTTCTATCGCAGCATGTCTGATTGATTGAACAACATCAAACGAGCGGTTTAACGAGAAATGTTGAAGTCACGTCCTATACTTCTCTAATACTAGCATGATGATTTTCGAACTCAATTTCTTTCATTTTCTCGCCGTTATCATTGGTTGATGAGTTCGAAGACCGTCCGTAACAAGGCAAGTCTTTAGCGATCTACCGGCTGTCTTGAAAAGTTTCTTACCATTCGTAAATATGGGATTCCGATTAAACAGAGTCACCTTAAGAATCTGCATCGGTTCGGCCCACAAAATTTCGTTTAATACCCAAAATATAAGACAAACTCTTTGTTCATTTTTTTTGTCCATTGCAAAATTCGCAGAGCACTATTGAGATGAGCTAATTTTTTGCATGCAAATAAAGAACAGTACAGTACATACAGTACCTAACTTGGAATAGTTAAAAATATTAAGTGCAGGTAGTTTAAATCAGAATTTCCAGGTACTTTTTTGTCAGAAGGTGGTTAAAACTTGTCGGTAGAATATGACAAAATTTGTAAAGAAAACAAAAGTAAAAGAAATTTCACCATTTATAAAACAAATTCTGGATTGAGAAATCCAATCCGGCGACCTCGTTTCTTTCGGAATACCTTTCCGATTAATAATTCATTACTTACCTACATTGTTTCTTCGGCGAAGTAACGTCGGGTTCCTCCTTCACAGCGGGTGATATGGTTAGCGGCACGGGCGCCGGTCTGAGGGGTTGGGGCGGTATGGAATCGTCGCCCTGGAAGCGATTCCAATCATCCGTCGGCCTGTTGGCCGTTACTGTAATCCTGAAATCCCTGTCTACAGAGTCGAACCTTTTGAAACTGCCCGTGCTGCAATTTAGCTGGATATCCGAATCGGAATGTACCTGGAACGCGATTTTTTATTCAACCCTCGAGAGAGAGTTTAAATCCTCGGGGGCCCTAGGAGGTGTTTTAATATCCGGGTAGACGAACAAGTTTTACTTAAATCACAGTAGGTAAACTGTAATTTGAGGGTAACCAAAAGCAATGCAAAAATGATGAAAATTGATGTTTTCCCTGAAAATTTTTAGGACCAACAGGCAGCATTAAATTTATTGTTTTAACACCTTTTATACGCTACAAATTACCGCGTCCTATTTTAGGAGACTTCAATATATTTTTTTGTATTTATTTCTATTCCATAAAAGTCAGTGTTCCAAAACAAACCAAATTTAATTATTGTTCTAAACTTTATTTTCCGCTTTTCCGTTGCTATTCTAATTATATTTAAAGCTTCAAACTTTTACTTCATTAAAATCAGGGACTGGTCATTAGCAAACTACCTTAATTAGAACCCGAAACAATTTTATTGTATAATAGGTTATTTCTTCCTACGAATTTTCTCTTATTGTGTTAACGTGTTATTTAATTAAATCAAACTGAAAAAGGCTGTTTTGAAACAAGAATTATATGCCTTTAGCAAAAAAACCAATACACATTTTTATAAAAAGAACAATTGATTAAATAGAAACAAATAATGTAATACTTACTAAATACCCATTAGCGTTGTAAAGGCCTTTTAATTTAGTGAGAGAGGCCTTTTCTTCTTTATTCGACTGTATCCACGTTTGTATCTTCCTTACAATGTCAACCGAATGAAAAAAAGCTAGGAAAATCAACAGCAGAATAGCAATGAGGCAAAAAATTATGATTGCCAGTTGTATATTGCCCATCTGCAACAAAACAACAAAACTTCTACGTAACAACTTTTCTGGTCGTTCAAAAAGTCTTACATTATTTTTAATAACGTACACCAAACTAAAGAGCTGCATTTTAATTTTCTGTTACATCTTTGCCATTCATCGAAGTTGAATATCTAATATATATTCAGGTTGAAAATGAGCATAAAAGAGGCAACAGCAGCCACAAGTTTTAGATTAAAGAGGCAAAAGTTGATAAACCTAATAAAGAAACTCTATAAAAGATAAAATATTTAATCCCATGTCTAACCTGGGGAGTAAAGCAAAATGATTTCAATTTTCCTATCTTACAATGAAACTGATCTATAGGGATGATTTTGAATCCTATACCTTCTCTTTTGTGTATTGTAGATTACTACGGTTGCTAATTTTGCAGCTCTTTAAATTATTTTAAATTAATCTTCCAAATCTGTACTCTCTTCTCCTATTTTATTAGATACCTCATTTTGGTTAATTATTTTTTGTTACTGTACTCAGTCGCCAAACTTTTTTACGAAGTAATTCTTCCAAAGCATTGCTAAGGTCTTTGGGCGCTTTGGGAAACAAATAAAGTAAATTAGTCATTTTTAGTTAAGGTATTGTTCTGGAAACATAATAGATGCAGTAGAAATTACGTTTAGAGACTCTTATCTGACCTGTTAATTATGTTGTGCATACCTTATATTTTGTAATAAAAGGTTTGGTGTTAATATGAACATAAATATGAATGAACTAGTGCAATCAGAATAAAGATGAAATATTAATCACTTATAAGTGAATATTTTCGTGCAAATTCTCTATCAAAGACGCTCCTATCAGAGAATCTCTTACCTGTATGTAACAATAGTGACCTAAATCAACAGGTTATTTTTGACTATGTATAATGCTCTAATGATTTTATGTTCTTGCTAGGTATAAAATAACCTAATTATGAAGATAACTGAAATTGTATACTTTTATTATTTTGATAACAAGTTCCTTCGTAATAAAACAATGGATCCCTTTATTGCTAAACTTTTCATGCATAACTTGCCGCATTTTACAGAAAGTTATAAAATACAAAAACTGAGAAAAAATCGCATGCTTATCGAGTAATAGGTTTACAACAAACAATCAAAGGAAAACGCACAAATATTACCTTTGAGGTGCGATTTTCAATTCATTCTCAAGGCTACCCTTCTGTATATTCACCACATTTACCAATCTAACTTTCGCCCTCCCGGCATTCCGAATTCAAATCAATAAAAAGAAATTCCAGCAGAAATTCCTTCAAAAAAATACAAATTTTCCAAGTGTGCGTGCAAAGTAAAATTTGTGACGAGAAAAAACCGAGATCACATCGTAGGGAGTTTCGCCGCAAGTTGACAACTTACTGACGCTCGTTTTGGGGAGTTCTCCGCGAATTATGGATTCTGCGCGATCGCCCCAGAATGCCCTGAATGAAGAATGAAATGTAAAAGATTTTCCGTTCTCATTATAATGTTGCGTGGGCTTGGTTTGGACGTTTTCCTATTCAGTGCGGAACTCCAATGCACATAAACGTGGGCATGCGAGTCGACCTTTAATTTTATAATTATGTATATACCCTCGTTAGTTCTGAAATTTACAAAATTGTGTAGGTACTTTACAGAAACATACTCCAAAAAAATATAATGAAACTTTTTATTTGTTTGTTTATGAGCTCTACGTGCATTATAAGCCTAGGGCATGAGTATTATAGAGATATGAGACAAAATAATGATGTTTAATTTAACTTTAAAATTATCGCATTTAGATAGCAATTTGCCTAAACATATTCCTGGATCTAGTGTTGCACAAATCACTCTATTCCAATTTGTGTTGGTGATGTTGTTGTTTAAAGGGCAGGTCAACGCCGCCCCTTTAACCACCTACATCATTGTGGATCCTTTGTAATATCCCTGAACATTGTGTAAACAAATATAGGAACTCGTAGAAAATGAAATGCACCATTTTGCAATTGTTAAGTAATACATATTCTGTTACAAAGCACACTTCCTCAATACTAATTGACAAAACATACAAAAGATAAAATTAAAAGATACTGCAGCTTTAGGAATTTTTTGCTGTAAAAAATCGAATGCAGGAAACAATGGTATTCTCACCGAGATAGCTGCTTATACTTATTTATTCACATACTACAAAAAACAAAGTTCTATGGATTTTATTAAAAATGTTGACAATAGAAATATTATTGCGTATCTTTGTGCAGTCAAATAAGCAATATCGTTGGTAGCAAAACTCCAGTGAAGAGTCCCTTTAATTAAAAACAACTATTGATGAATTAGATGAATATAGAAGCACTTAGAGTGTGCAGTCGTTATGCAGCGTTCTATTAATTGTCCAAATTATTTACGTTAATTCTTTTCTATTTATTCAAGTATGCCTATATAGCTGTATTGATAAAATAAATTGGATTTATTGGAAGTTCTGTTTTTAGAGTGTTTTAATTATTCGACTTGATTTTTTTCGCCTTGCTTCTTGTACTGAAAAAAATGAAATGTATTAATAGTGGAGATTTTTAAATAAATGAGACTTATAAGATGGTTAGTACAGGTCGCTACAATGATTATTTGAGGCTCTATTTGAGAAGTTAACTAATAATGTTAAAAATTTTAGTTGTATTTATTACTTACTATAATATCCACAATCCTGGGTTTAGTAATACTTTCGCATAATAAATTACTATCATCACAAGTTTCATGAGTATTGGAACCATTACCACAAAATTCGTTTTCAACAATTTTTTCATCGTCATCATGATTATTTTCTTCCTCTTCTTCATTTAGAAAATTCTCTTTACAAAAATCAGAATTGAATTCGTCATCTATGTTAGTATCCAAAATATCGTTAAATGTTGTTGACACTAATTTTCTTTTTTGCTTTTGCTTATTGTTAAGTTTGTTTCGTTTCGATATGGTGGCGTTTGTCTCTTTTATCTCCTCTGGAACTTCGTCTTCTTTTCTTTTCATATAAGCCTCCCAAGTGCTCAAAGTGTACAAGGTCGACGATAAAGTTCTTCGCCTCGGCTTTCTCAAAATTGGCTCTGCGATCGTTAGGTCGTCTGTGCTTTTGCTTTTAACTGTAACATAATTCTTAATCTCTTCTTCAGACAGTTGCCTAGTGTTTTCTAATCTTCTGATCGACTTATCGTGGTATAGAATTTTTTTAATGCTGATTTTTACGTCTTTCATCAAATGTAGTATTTCGTTGTAATGGTAAATTTTTACTTTTTGAAAGGGCAACTGTATATCGATGGTTTCTCCATTTTTTAATATTTCCTCGATTCCCGTCATGCTCTCTTTCAAATCGTCTTCTATACTTTCAGCGCATTTGTAAAGGCAATCGCAGAAATCCTTAAAAGGTGCTTTGCCAGTCATTTCTTATTGTCTAATATCTACAAACATAATAATTACATTATTACTTTTGGTTTACTTTTGGTTTTAATTTGTTTAAGTACGTTTTATTAAGTAAAAAATAGAATTGTAGAATAAATTAAAATATGTAAACATACCTTGTGAAGGATAACAATTAAATAACAATTAATTTTGTAGCGTTCTAGAAATGTTTACAACAATTTTTGGCCTAATATGAATGCTGTTATCTATCTAATCTTCTCTTATCTATAAATACATTTTATTTTTCCCAATAAAAAGCAGATACACGAATCTGTTATGCGCGTTGATTCATTACAATTTATTGTTTGCCTTGAATGATGTCATAAGCAATTGCAAAGCTTCATTGGCAAATACTATTACTGTATATGACGTTGTATGTAGATTGTATGCTGTACTTATACCGAGCATTATTAATTAAAATGTAGTTAATACATTAATTAAAAATGTATATTAATGACCTATGACCCACTAATACCCCTAAATATTTTACCAGCAATTAAAATTAATATCCTAGTAAATTGTTACATAAAAAAGTCAGGTATACCAGGTGTAGATTTAGGTACATTGTTTGTAATGCATTTGAAAATTCAATTTTACTTCTCTCTCATTAAATCGCAGTTTTCAAGCTAGAAAATATGTCAGTAAATACGTTTTTGACTAACATAATAAACAGATGCATCGATATCGAATTCAAAAGAGATGATTATATTCTTTCGTCTTATTGGATGGGAGCTTATAATGAAATAGTGCGCGTTTTTAAATTCCATAATTTCCGATGTGCATTCATCGAATTCATACTCACGTTCAACATTCGCGTTCGAATAGCGATATGTAATACATTTCGATGAAATATGGTTCATTGGAAGCTGTTGAATTCGAAAAAGGGCTCATACATTGAATTTAAAAATCGTCTGCGTGTCTGCAGCGAAATAATAGGTGTTAGTAACAAGGATTAAAGAGTTTGTTCTATCCTACACACTTAATTTTTGAAATTTTTGTTGTTAAAAGGTTAGTAATTATTTCTCTCGTTAAAAGATTTGCGGAACTTGCGGAATTGTGTGTTATTATTTATTATAAATAGGAATATCTAATCAGGATAAGAAAGGAGAAAATTATTCATCTTAATTCTGAATTTATCTTTATTTTTGCTCCATTTGGTATGGATTGAATACACAACGTTCCATGATTTTATCTATAAATAAAGAAGAAAAATCTTTTACTCAAGATATCTTTGAGGGTATATATACCAGTGAAGATTATTTCGACTCCATTCAATTTCGCGTCTTTCGAAGCAGTATTATTACGACCATTTAAATATTTAATTCTATGGCTTTTTATTTGCAACGTGCATTTGCAATTTTTTATCATATGCTTGCTCTCTCGTTCGCTTTGCTGCATCATTTTTCACGCGAATATTTACTGGAATATATTTTCCCTCGCATTGATATTTTATATTTTCCTCGAAAATGTTTACTTCAATAGGTAAATATAATGGAAATTAAAACGTAGGTATTTGCTTTGTAATTTAATCGTGCAGTAGCAAATGGATTTATAAATGAAAATAAATTTAGTTATTTCATGTAGGTACTCATAACATTAATTGTGTATGTTATATTAGACAAATTAGTGCTAGTTATTTTTGGATATTCGTTGAAATATGATTATTTTAACAGAAAATACAAATATCAACTTTTATTAAATTTAATGCATTTAATATTGACCATAATTCATATTTTCTGATATACCTACCTCGTATACGACTGGAAAAAATAAATATCTGATGGTTGCATTTTATTTTAGGTTTTGGACCAAGCAGAACTTTTTAGAAGGAATATTTTTTTTTAATTAATAGTAAAAAAGTTTCCCATATGGTGCGAACTTAAGTGGACACAGTGTATAAAGTAAATTTTAAAGTTTATGACTTTAAACTGTTTGATTCAAAACAGCCACTTCAATTCAAATTTAATTTATAGCATGTTCATGCTTTTTTGGGACGTCTTGTAAATTGCTAATATTATATTTATAATGAGCTAATATATTATAAATAGCTCAATATTATTGTATGTGCTCAAATATTTATCACATGTATTATATTTGTATGAATATAGTGTCCTAAAATTTTATAACTTTAAATCTATCGATCCGTAAATAAGAAATTTTTTAAATTTAAAACAAATCGAAAGTTCCGCGACAAAATCACTGTAATAGAGAAAATTGGAATCACGCAGGTAGTAACAGTGACAGTAACAAGTGTAAGTGACATCGGCCACCTTTATACTCGTTTCTTATAATTATACCCACTAATACCCACCAGTCCCACCACTGGTACCACTGCTCAAGTCAACTAGTTCACGAGTTCGTTGTAAACAAGCATGCTTATTTTAACATACACTTAATATTCAATTTTATTTACTTTAATTTATTTAAATATAATATTGGCATCGTACAAAGTATACACGTCAAGGTAAAAATTAGAAAATGCAATTTAGTTCTTAGCTCAATTAGCAATTTGTTTCTATTCTTTTTTAGAATGAACTGCAGAGAAGACTACCTAGAATGGGACGAGTATTTCATGGCAACTGCCTTTTTAGCAGCCAAAAGAAGCAAAGATCCCTCGACCCAAGTGGGAGCTTGCATAGTAAACGAGGACCGGGTTATTATCGGTGTGGGTTACAACGGAATGCCTAAGGGCTGCGAAGATGGAGAATTTCCATGGGGAAAGCATTCCGATGACTCATTAAAAAACAAATACATGTACGGTCAGTACAAAGGTGCTGTTTCGATGAAAATTATTGTACAAGTTTCTATTCGTAGTCTGCCATGCTGAGCTCAACGCTGTTCTAAACAAGAACACGGCCAATATAAAGAACTGCAAAATTTACGTCGCGTTATTTCCATGCAACGAATGCGCCAAGGTTATCATTCAGTCTGGAATAAAGGAGGTTATATATTTATCTGATAAGCATGCACACAAAAAAACCACTGTGGCCTCCAAAAAAATGTTCGATGCCGTAGGAGTTCGATATAGGTGAGTAAATTAGTAGATATATTTGTTGTTTGCGGTTAGTTCGTCTCAACCTTTCAACCACCTAGGTTATAAGATCCTCTGTAGTTTATTCCCTGCTGATATAAGTTAATTAATCATTGTTCATGCACATTGCTTAGGGTATTCCTATTGTAATTTTAAGTCTAACCTTGAGGAGATGTCCATCGATTGACGGGACACCCTGTATGTATGCTATCCTAAAATTCTTATAACATTTACTTGAGTGCAGTTAATACGTTTAGGGCATCAAAGAGACTTTGCTTAGTCCACAAAACATCCATTTCCTCCTTACAGGCAGAGCTAATTCTATTCAAAATGCAAAAGCATTGCCCCAATATGATTAACTTTATTGCATTTAAAAGCGTCTTTGATTTAAAGGTTACAAGCTATATAAAGACTGTTCCTTGTAGTTGGTGCATTTCTTGATGTAATTGTATTAATGTATTTTATTTTTTTTCAGGCAATTTGTTCCGAAACATTCGAAAATTGTTATAGATTTTAATCAAATTAATTGGGACAATATGAATCAACTCCCAGATACTCCGATAAAAAATCGAAAGGATTTTGAATGACATTAGGCAATATTTTACATCAATTGCCCTTTTCCCACCTTATCTAGGGGAGGTATTGGTAATAGCGCCAAATTTAAATTGAATGATTGAATCTAAACTAGAAGTTTAACCAAAACCAATTTTTTTTTTCGTTAACTTCCAGTTAACTCATTATGCTACAGTTGAAAACCAACTGCAATATGTAATCTCTAGTTTATTACTAATTTGGTCAATTAATTTAGTCAATTAGGTTGTAAAATCAAAATGATACATCATAAAGTGACAAGTGGCTGTTTTATTTCAAATATACTGACAACATATCTACACTATCTATAAGATATTTTTATTGTATGTGTTACAGAAGAAGCTAGATAGACGTAAACCTAGGTTTACCTGAGTAAACTGCGAAATACCCAAGAATAAACATGGGTAGTGAAGGTTTTTGGGGTTTCTTGGGTTCACGTCATGCCACGAGAAACTCATCCTACCCGAGTAAACCTAGGTTTAGTCATTTATCTAACTTTACCCGTAACATATGTATACTTGTATTATATGTATATTTTTGATACCAATAGGTACAAATTTACTTATAGATAATTGCCTGCATTGAAACGGTACCTGCTTTAACTTGTATTTTTAACTATAAAAGGTTTATAAGTAAACAAATTTTGAGTAATGATTTATTTTTCATTTATAAACCTTAAAACTTAACAATAGAAAACAACAAATACAATTTAAACTGCATAAATAACTATAATCGCCTATCAGTTATCACAGAAGACGGGCGAATTTAATAGTGGAAGTAGCAATACGATCACTGTAGTTGAAGAATTTGTAATCATTACATTTTCGAGACAAAATTTTAACGCTACTAAATTTGCCTATATCTCTTCTATTCCCTTTCTATAAATATCATTTATCAATCTCCTCAGATTCATCTTTAACAATAATAGGTAGCATCGTTGAACTTAATATTTTGCTTTCCTCCTCTGCGTATTGTTCGCTGTCTTCCGTAAGCTCCTCCTCAGAAATATTTGAGGCAAGTGTTGTTTCATCTTCATGAGAAAATTCTGAAATCTCTTGTGTTGTCGAATCGACTAAAGGCGATAGCGTAACGGCGCCATTACTGTTGCTTTGCAAAGGCAAAACTGTATCAGGGTTTTCGTTTCCAGGAGCCTCTGTATGCGTTAAAATTGCAACATGCTTAGGTTTTTCGTAAACCTCCGTTTCTTCTAAAGGTTGCGGTATTATCGTTTCTTCTCTAAGGCGAAGCCGGGGTTTTTTATTTTCAGGAGATGGACGTTTTGTTGTGTAATCGCCTAATCTATAAACGCTATAAGTACCTAATTTATCTCTATTTTTAGCGGCAGTGCTAATAAGTTCATCGTCAAATTCGCTGGAATCTTCTCTGTTAAATCCATCATCACTGATTACTGATCTGAAAAAAGAAACAGATTCCTTTGGTGAATCTGCCTCCGGTTCCTCTTCTTCATTTTCGTTATCGTAAACCTCATCGTTTCTCCTTTGTAAGATCAAACTTTCGTCTATTCTTTTATTATGCTTAATAGGAACTGTTCCATCATCCTCATAATTATCATATTCTTTTGCAGTGTTGAATTCTGGCACTGAACGGTGCAATATCTTAGACCTTTCAATTGGGCTGGTACGCTCCTTGAATACCTTTAAGGGGTGATTGCTTTGACCTACGTTGTCTGTATGCTGAGGTACAACAAGTACAGGCACGTTAACGGAATTAGCTGCCTGATATTTGCCTCCGTGTTTATGCCCACCTCCCGTTCCTTTGTCATAAGTCCACTTCTTTCCGCCGGAATGGCTTTCTTTTTCTCCTTTTTTATTGTCGTGCTCGTAGTGCGCGTCGTGACCTGCCGCTTCCTTGTGGCCCTTTCCTTCTTTGTAGTGCCCCCCTTTGTCGTAGTGGTGTTTCTTGCCGTAATGAGCTTCCTCGCCGCCTCCTTTGGTGTGGCCTCCTTTTTCGTGGCCGCCCTGTAACGAGATCGATTATATTGTAAGGTTTTTGCGCGTTCGAATTGAATCGAAACCGCAATAATTAGGTAATGGTTAACTAGCCTTTTTGTAATCGCTTTCGTGAAAGTATTCCCCGTCTTTTTCGAAGCCGTCCTCCTCGTAACTTTCGTCGAAGAATTCTTGCTTTTTGTCGAATTCGTCCTTTTTGTGGATGTTATGTTGGCCTTTGGTGCTGTGACCTTTGGAGTGGTTGCCTTCTTCGTGGTACTGAAAGGGAAGTTTTTTATTTGTAATTTGAGATAGTGGAAGTTTTACCTTTGAGGATTTTTTGCCTTTCTCCGCTTTGTGATGCTCCGCTGAGTAACCGTCGTCGTGATGGTGTTTATGTTTCTTTCCACCTTTTTCTTCGTACTCTTTTTCGTGGTCTTCTTTCGTGTGATGCCCTTTTTTGCCTTTTTCGTGATGATGATGGCCTTTGTAGTTTTTGTCTCCCTTCTCTCCCTTCTCCGCCTTGTGACCAGAGTGTTCCTCGTTGCCTCCACCTTTTTTATAGCTACCTATTTTATTAACACTTTTAGAGTTGATGATGATTTAAAAATGTGTATTGCTTACCTCCATGACCGCCTCCTGCAGATTTTTTGTGATCGTGATGTTTAGTGTCTTGCTGGATATTATCGACAACTTTCTCTTGCTTGGTGTTATCGTATAATTCAACTTTATCGCTGTTTTCTTTTTGATGATCGTCGAGATCCCCGTATTCGATATTTTTATGTCGATGGTTGTGCTTAGTATTCTTGTCTAAATCTTCATTATCACTGTAATCGCCTCGATGAAAGGAATAAGGATGGTGTTCTATTGAGTCTGTTTTTTCCAGACTTTCACTGTTTTCGTTTCCTTGGTGTTTCACTAGTTCTTCTTCGTCATTGTTTTTTTCTTCAGCTCCTTCTTCGTCTTCGATCGGCTCCAAATTTTTAACGTACTTGTAGTAATCGGTGGATTCCGGTCGTTGATCAACTCGGGCGATTGTCGCTTCGTCGCCAATTTCATCCGAAGAAGAGTCGGGAAATTCGTCATTGTGGTACGAAAACGCTAAAGGTTTCTGCAGTATTTTTTCGACTTTCTCACTGGCATCGATGTTGTAATCCTCCACGATCAATGGCAAAACTTGCGCCTGCAATTCTTCTGGTGGTTCCACGACAACGGGCCTCGGTTCGGCGGCCGACGCGAATAGATCCAGCGCACTATCACTCACATATCTGGCTTTTGAACTACTGATGAATTGAAAAAGAACGACGACGAGTTTAAGCTTCATAACATTTAAGTTTCTTGCACTATTCGACATTCACGAATCTGAGAACCTTTATTTACGCTTGAACATTTGCGATGAAATGCATTTGATAAGTTGAAATTATTTACTTTATATTTAATCGCCCCACTTGAACGCATTATGAAAAAAAAACCAAATAACCGTTTAATTCGCGTTATGTCACCATCAACGTTCATTATACGCCAAATTAAAAAAAAACTAAACGGTGGTTAGATGCAATCGGATCGTTTATTAATCAATTCGTTTTATTTGGATGATTTTCATTAGAAATTTACTTAAAAATTTTTGTTTAATTTCCCTTGTTTATTTATTGGATTTAACGCATCGTTAATTATGAAAATGTGCTGTACAGATCGCTTGATTGAATTACAATTTATCGCTGCTTTCACTGGACGAAATTTACGTGACTTCGTTTGTTACATCAGTTCACTTATCATAAAATGGATTAAAAATCATGGGAAAGTCAATGAAGGAAATCCTCGTCTTTCTTTGTAATTTAATGTACCTCGATTTTTTCTGGAAAATTTTGGTTTTTATACCATGTGAGATGAGGTTTTAAAAGCATTTCATTTGCTGAATATCCTCTACACTTTATCAGGTCTCCTTTATTAGGAAATAGATAGATTTATTACATATGAACCTTCAGGAATGGAAATTCAAAGCAACTGGTATTAATCCTCCATTATAGTAGTCGCATTATTTCCGCAAGAAATCTGAATATACGATTAGTTCATTAACCATTAAGTTTCTAAAATTGAATATAATTCATAAAAAATATCAACGAACGGATTCATAGAAAACTTCAATAACATAATAAACAACACGAAATCTATTTTAAGAATGAATACATACATTAAATTCCCGATATAACAAAATAAGAACATCACCTAACTACGATATCCGATGATGATTTTGCGTACGGATCTTCTTGTGCACAGCAGTAAGTCCGGAATGGTGCCTTTGAGTAGGCTGCATCGAAGGTGTTTTGTTCGTTTTCTTTAACAACGAAGAACTGGAACTCTCGAACCACAAATCCAACGAGTACAAGGCAGCAAGTTGTCCCAGTTTGTCTTTTTCGGCTCCGTATAACCGAAGCTCGGATTTGGAGGAGTCTCGAAGAAATTTCGCCACTCTTTCATTGGCGCTCGTGTTAATACTGAAACCTGGTCTTTCCTCTCCTAGGCGTCTACAACCTATAATTAACAGACAAAAGTAAACCAGTGTTATAAAAAGGTTGTTTAAGGGCGTTATTCAGGCTATTTTTAACTAGGAAAACATAGGTTCTATTACACTTAATTAGCAACTTTTAAAATCCTGGTGGGAAAAGAATTGAATTTGAAAAATTCTGAAGATGATTTCTTATTTTACTTTGTTGTACATTTGATTTTATGTCAAGTTTAATCAAACACGGAACATCTACTAGTTTAACTATTCTCATCCCACCTATTGCAAAAAAATTGAACATTTAGGAATAGTTCTGTATATTACACCAAGAATTATGAATTTGAGGGAGAGCTTCGGCGCATACCTGCTCTAATTTCTCTAGGATCTGAATCGTTAAATGCTTGATCCATTGCGGATGCGTTATCTAACGATGGGGCCCAATCGGTGAGTTCATCATCGCCTTCGTGACCCTCACCTCCGCTCCAGCTGATGCTACTTTCGCTGGCTACCTCGCAATTTTCATCGAAACTCTGCGTTTCCATTGAATTTACCTGTTAAAAGATTACAAATTTAGCGATCTCAACTGGTGGGTTTACAGTTATTTCTCACGTCAAATGTGCTGGATGGATGGCAGAATTTCTCGATTTTATCTACGATGCTCGGATGTAAAGGCTCGAATTTCGTGGCGTGTCTTATGGATTTTCCGTTATCGATCACGTCCAATCGTTGGGACCTTTTCCTTTTGCCACATTGAGTAACAGGGGTTTGATCAACACTCATTCGTTTGAATTTTCTCTTCCTGCGGATGTTGGGTCGGGCGGGCGAGTGCTCGTTTACAGAGTCGCTTTCCAAGCAATTGCTGACACCTGAAAGGAGTAACGATCGTCAGACCGATTGTACGAGATTGAACCGTTAAAATGTATACCTTTTAAAAAGTTATACATGGGGGGATGCATGCGAAACGACGATTTCGGACTTAAAGCCTTAGCTATGGATATACTTAAAGACATGTCATCTGAATCAGATTGGTGAAGGCTTACTAGTTTATTTTTTTGCTTTTCAGTTCTTGTTTCGGAATTACTACTCGAACTGGCGTCAGAATTGTCGCCAGGTTTGTTGACATATAAGTGTGATAGGTAACTTTTATCTTGCTGAGTCGAATGCTTACGAAAGTATTTAGGCAAATTCCCCGCGGATCTGGTTCGACGTCTCATGCCCCATTTAGCAGCGTTAGCGATATTTATTGGGCCACAGCTTTCGGATTCTTCTAGAGCAACGGTCAAGTCTTGAGCCAAATGTTCCATTGTTAATGAAAATTAATGCTTGCTTCACTTTCCTGTTTACAGAACGTACTGAATTTGTAATGGTTTATAATAGTTGTTTCATACCAAACATTTTTTCAATGATAACTTTTGACTTACAGTTATTTGTCCAGCCAAAACCAAAATACAATAACAATACCCAATATTGACAATATTGACATTGAAAATTAAAAACACATGAACTCAATGTTGCCAACTTTCGATAATTCTTTTCCTTCTTTTTTTTTACCTACGCATACGCATATGTCAAAATTCAATAGACACAGATACGTAAACCACGGACGGTATTATCATAGAGAAAGAAAGATGGGTTGTCTCTTTTATTTTGTCTATGGGTATTATCTTGATCTAGAAGCTAGAAGGTCTGGAAACTCTGGATTATTTTTACTGGATTATTTTGTATTACAGAAAGTGTTGCGCTTTTTGTAAGTTTGGTTCGAGGGTTCACGGAAAATCCGTTAGGATCGATAGTGTTGGGTAGGGTTCGTAGACCACTAATCCTAGGATAGGTAATCTGTGGTAGGGTCAGTGCTGCCACTTTTACCGAATTTTCAGTAGATCTACCGAAAGTGAACATTTTTTACCGATCTACCGAAACAATCTAAATCCTTGTTTGTGCAAGGAGGACTCTCTACCAACAACACGAAAAAGGATACCGCAAATTCCTCCAAACGCCTAATCTTGAAATAAAAATTATTTTTGGAGTCCCCATTCAATTTAGCGCCAATTTGTTTTCTTTGCTTTTTTCGGCGCGACTCACATTTTCGCATAAAAAAATTAAATGCATTTATTTGCACGCTGCCACTACATTAGCCGGTTTTTTCTTTAAATGGGTTCAAGAATCGCCCCCTTAACTATTAGCATGTTTTTATGGAACACCCTGTATAGCCATAGAGAAAGACTTATATTTTGTCTATGAATATAGTCTTTAAAAGAAGCTTTGGTGTAAAATTCTTGTGGAAACAATGACAAGTGCATGTATTAATTAAAATGTTCATATCAATTAAATTACTGTTAAAATTTTATTAAGTTGCATTAAACTCATTATAAAATCATTTAGTAAAAAAATACTGTGAAACATCTATTATACATAGTAGTTGTAAGTCTTATTAAGCTTACAATTGGATATATCAAACATTAGATTAAAACACAAAAATATTTAACACGATACTTAATACTTTGGAAACATTCAATATTAAAACATTATATAAAATCAAGATCTACTCTTTGGTATTCAAAATTTAACAATTATATAGAACCAATGTCGAGGAATACTCCTATAGATTAGATATCATCTCCTTTTTTAGCTACGATCAATGTCTTACAATATACCTTATATAAAAACTATATAAAACTAAAAAAAAATGTAAAAATGTCGAGACAGTATCAACAGTCAAACCAACAAACAATCAAAAAATATCACACTTAACTATAGAACTGACAGGTTCGAATTCAAATGCTTAATTTCAGTGAGAAGAAAACTACCTGCTTATAACAATATGACATTCGGTAACTGTAAGCGTTAGAATTCGAACATGCATATAACATTAATCCTCTGGCACAATTTTAGCAGAATTTACAATATTTAGTATTCAAAAATAATTAATTAATAAACATTTGGCAAATAACCATATACCTCGTGTATTGCGAAAGGAGATAATACGTAAAATCTTCTCTCTTGCTTGGTTTCTTTTACATTAACGCCGATTATAGGATGTTGTCCTAAGATGAATTTGTAGTCGTATTTTCTTAGATCTAAATTTTTCCAATGCGAAACGTTGTAAATATATATCTAAAACAAATCAAATAGAAAATAGAATAACTTGTATTTGGAATTTGTAGAAAAATATATTTTAAATACTTTTCAATTACAGAAAAATTGTGATACAAGTTATCACAAGACTACAGTGAATAAATTTCACTAAAACTCTTAGTTTTAAACTCTTTAAATAAGATATATAACTTTGTGGAACTTAGATCGCCAGTACTCACAATTCCTGTATCCGTTCCTAGAACCAATGTATTTCCATAGAGGTATATGCAAGTTATGAAGCAGTAAAATATTTGCCAAGGGCTAAAAACCTTTTTGCTGCACTGCCCATCTTTACTCAATAAAAAAAACTCAATTAGGTCGTCAGAATCGTTCAGCTCCATTCTGCTGCAATCTTAAAAAATATATGATTTTATTTGAATTATTTTGATTTTAAAATAGCATACTCACTTATCCTTACAATGATATCATTTCTCAAAATATACAGACTGGGTTTTAAAGTATTTAAAGGATTTATGAAAGTAATTTTCGTCTTTTTCTTCATCATATCCACTGGTTTTGCAGAATTGCCATATTCATAAATTTTCACTTCATTGTTTATTAAAAACGTGCAAACACCTTCCCACATTTTCATGCAAGACAAATTAGATGGTGAGTAGATTCTAGAAAACCATATCTCCTCAAATTCTATTTTGCCTCCGTTGTTTACCAATTTAGCTATCGTCATTCTGCCTCCAACTTTTTCATAACAAATGTAATTTTTATAAACGCTGCAAGTTTTAATACACATCAATAAAGAGGTAAATAAGAAAAATACAGGAAGTACCTGTAAGACACAACATCATGAAAGGTTGTACTACTGGTAGTGAAACCATCGAAAAAAAATATGTAGAGACCATATTCGTAATGAACTAATATAGTTATATTGACCGCTACGGATGTATGAGTACCTAAAAAAATGTATATTTTATAATAAGAAAAAATCAGAGATTTATTAGGCATTTCAAATTGAATATTTATATTGATTACCCCTATTTAAGGGAATATAAGCACAATTATCTTTTTACAAGAAAGCCTAATAATCTCTGCATGACATCAAATTTAATTTTACTTTCTAGAAAAGTCAGACTATTTATTCTTACAGCTAAAATTCTCTCAACAAGTATTTTCTTCCACTTTGCTGTAAAAATCGAAATTCTACCGTCTCTACTACCGACTGCTATGAAGTTCCGTGAAACTGCAATGCTCGTTAAAGTAGGCATCGGCATCTCAAGAGGAACTGGGATTGTATCACAAAACATTCTACTTGGCGTTTGCCACGAATACCAATTTATATAAATGTTTAACCATTTCTGAAACTCGTTTTCCTCGTGCTGTTGTAAATAATCGATAAGTTCATTTGCAGGTATTTCTTCTTTGCAACACCACTCCCAAATTCTTGTTCGCTGCAATGCATTATAGACGAAATTAAAACATTAAAATTTAAAGGAGACGTTGATAAATTAAACGTTAAAATAGAACGTAATAATGATTGAGGAAACTATTTTTATCCTGGTTTTTGTTCTGTTGTAACAAAGAAATTATACTTATTTGAATATCGGTTGTTTGTTAATTAACCAATAAATTATTGTAGTTTGATCAAATACTCACATCCGTTAAATAATCTACTATATCTTTCCAGTTTTCGTCCACTTTCCTAGCATTGAGAAGAGATCGACCGTCGCATTTTATTAATATTCTTTCTATAATTTCTCTTGGCAACATTTTAAATGCTAGAATAAATGCAAGATAATTAATGCAATTTAATATACGCTCACTATTCGATTAATAGTTTAGTTAGCGAAATTAATGCATTTCAAACAATTGTTTGTTTAGTCCACTTATTTTTAAACAACACTACTTGTTTGTCATGTGTCAGTGTCAAGATAAAAATAATTCCACGACTACGACCAATGACCAAGAAGCAAAAAGAAATTATTGTTCTATGCCATTCGTACGGTAATCTAGTACACCAGTATGTCCAACCCACTCTAACGACATTTGGCATAGAACACAGAAAATTGTAACTCATTTCGTATAAATGACGTGTCATGCGACCTCATTTATTTACTTGTCATTAGTGTCAATGATGTCATTCATGTATTGAATTTCTGGAATTCTAAAAGATGGTAGTGGAAAAGAATATAATTTGTTATAGTGTCTAGTGATTGTGTTAGATTTTATTTTACAATAATTGTTATTTGCCATTATTATAGACTTAAAGCATTTTTCGTGTGTTTTATACGGTTTTTTAAGTAAAATCTCGTGTAAATTTTATGTTTTAGGTAAGCGTAGAATTGTAGTAACAAAACCAAAATGGCTGCCTATTCTATTTCCTTTCATACATTTTTGTCGGCCATATTTTTTAATTCTTTATGCATTTTATATTAACTAAGATAAGAAAAAAATATTTTTGAAATAGCTTTTATAGATTATTTCTTTTCAGGTAAAATGGGAGACGATTCTGATTTAGCTTCAATTCCTCCCCCACCGGGTACGACAGAAAATCCACCGCTGCCGCCCAATCCACCTTCACCACTTTCGTCTAAAACTGAAAACCCAAATAATCAAGCGGTACCCAATTGGTCGCATTATTATTACAATAACTTCTACCAACAACAGCAGTATGCCCAATACTATCCGCAGCTATACATGATGCCTGGATATTACCAGGCGTATTTGAACCAATTCAATAAAACGGATGACAAAGTTCAGCCCCCTTTACCCCCCGAATCCCCTAATCCTCCCTTACCAAGCTCTCCGGCCGACGGCTCTCTATCGAATCAACCGAAACAATTTGGAATACGGTTCCAATTAAACACTAAGCGTTTACCCCAAAACAACGGTATTTTGCTATTCAACCAGAAGAATAGCAACTCTCCCAACAGCGGCGCTTCGAAGAAAAAAAGGAAACGGAACAGGACTAATAATTTTAACAATTCCCAAAACAATTTCTCGGCTCCACCATTGCCTCCTCCGGAATTGTCTCCTCCCAAGCCTGCGCCTCCTCCGGAAACCATGCCTCCCGAACCGCCGTTGCCTCCTCCCGTCGAGGACAAAAAGCCTCCGTTGCCCCCTCAGGAATCGACAGAAAATAACGCAAAGAACGGCTACGGGAATCCCTCCGACGATTGGCCAGAGAGTTTGAAAGATTACGTGCATCGTAGTTACGCGAAATGCAAAACCGCCATCGATAAAAACCAAGTTGAAATCATATTGAAAGGTAAAATTACTCAGGCTTATCAGAATAACCAGTTGCACAAGGATTGGAGCAAAGAACCTTTGCCGAACATTCACAGCGAACGACCTGCATTTACTGGTCAGCCTAAAACTGTAACAGGCCATTTGAGCCAGTTCCAGAATAAAAAGAAAGGTATCTCGCCCGGTTTGGGTGCCAGATTAGGAGCAAGAGCAACCACTTTAAGAGGAAAAAGTAAGTCTTCTTCTAGGTCAAGATCCAGGTCGCCGATAGGAAAGAAGAAGTCTAGATCAAAGTCCAGGAGTCCTAAGAGGAATCGAAGCTACAGGTAATTTTATACCAAATTAGTAATTACTTTAGATACTAAATTTCGATATTTTTACAGCGGGAGTTCAAGTAGCACCGCAGAAGAGTCTTTGAAATTGCCAGCGAAGGTGCCGAAGAAGGCGAAAGGAAAATTGGCGGATAGGTTAGGTCCAACGAAAATTAAAAATGGCAAAGCTGCTAAGAAGCAAAAGGCCAAAGCCAAGAAACCTCATTTCTATTCGAATTTCGGCAGCGAACTCGAGGAAAGCAATGAAGTATTGCAGCAAAGAGCTGCCAGGTTTAATACAATTAGTAATGGTACAAAATCGACGGATAACGGAATGAGTCCTACACAGGATAAATTCAACGATATTAATTCATCAATCAACTTCGACTGGTCAGATTGTCACATTGTGGGCACTTGTCAAGACGTGGAGAAATCTTTTCTTCGATTGACTAAAGCACCTGACCCATGTGATGTTCGACCAATTGAAGTGTTGCAAATGTCGTTGGAGACCATCAAGGAGAAATGGCGGCTGAAACAGGACTATTTCTATGCATGCGATCAGTTAAAATCGGTGCGACAGGACTTGACGGTATGTTGACGATAAACAATTTTTTTTAACATCTATTCTAATAAATATTTTTTATAGGTACAAGGAATAAGGAACGAATTCACGATAAAGGTTTACGAAACTCACGCGCGTATCGCTTTAGAAAAAGGCGATCACGAGGAATTTAATCAGTGTCAAACGCAATTAAAAATGTTGTATAATGATATAGGAGGAATTAATAGAAATGAATTCATGGCGTATAGGATCCTATATTACATATTCACCAAAAATACATTAGGTAAATATATTGTATGACATTCCGTTAGTATCCAATAAAAAAAATCTTTTTTACAGATATAATGACGACCATGAAATATTTAAGTAACGAAGAAAAATCTGATCCTTGCATATCGTTCGCGTTAAAAATTCGTTCCGCGTGGGGTTTGGGTAATTTCCATAAATTTTTTTCACTTTATCAACAAGCACCTTTAATGACTGGCTACCTAGTCGACTGGTTTATCGAGCGAGAACGAAAAGATTATCTAAAGTGTATTATTAAAAGGTATGTACTTCACATATTCAGAAACAAAAAATTAATCATGGTGAATAATCACCGATTTACTATTGGTTTATTACTTTGATTATTTCATGATCAATTCATTTTCATTTAGTGTATTGATAATTTTGGTATAATAGGGTATTCTTCTTTGATCATATTTAATGTGGGAATATTGAAATATAAAAGATTTGCGAGTAAAAATAATATAATTGTAAAAAGGTAAGTTGTTAAACAAAAGAGTATTTTTAAACATTCGTTAATTTATAGATATCAAATAGTAGGTATTTTTTTAATTTATGGGGTGTCCTGATTTTAAATTAATGAAAATCATTTATAACGGTTAAAACTATAAAATAGATTGAAGATTAGTTAAATGTTGGGTTTAATTAATTTTTTTGCAGCGATATGGTACTTCAATTTAACTTTTTTATTTATAAACTATTACCTAATGATATTAATATTTTAAGGTAAAAAATTGTTGGAAAGTGTTCTTTCAATGTTGAAATAATAGACAAGGATGTAAATATAGTATGAGTTTACACTTTTTATTGAATTTGCACGGGCTTGGTTTTTTCACTTTTTTTAATTAATTAAGAAACATAAATGTAAAAAAGTTAGTTTTTACATTTCAATTTATGTATTTGTAACATTAATCAAATTTCTTTGTCACTGCTAGAAGCATTTTTTATGTGTTAATTTTGAATTTTGCTATTTTAAACTTTTATGCGATTCAAATCCTATAATTAGTGAATTACACAAGATATTGAGTTTACATTTTTGACATAGTTATAGCACGTGTGAAGTAGACCAAGAGTTATTTTGAAATGAATTACATCACTTTCACTCTGAAGTTGTTTGTATGATATAAAGTTACATTTTCTTCTAAATTTCAAGATATATTTTTAGAGAATCACCTAGTAAATTAGGTAATTTGATGAATTTAAAATTATACAAACAAATATAAATTGGTTGAGAATTAATATTTACATCCTTGTTGCTTCGATATACACATTACTGACAGTTATTTTTATGTTTAGCTATCGGCAGTCCGTTTCTATGAACTTCTTAATGCAAGAATTGGCCTTCCGATCGGCAGAGGAGTGTATAGAATTTTTAAACCCGTTTTCTTTAATTTTCGTGGATTCTCAAAGGACTATGATCGATTGTAAGAATAGCATGGCTGTTCTTTCTAATATTTAATTCATCCGCTCGTACTCCAGTGATTTTTTATCGTTTAGTAAAACCCATATAGTAATGATAACACAATTTTGACCAAATGTGGTCACCGATTAAGTTGTCCTGCAAAATATTGGACTATACCGGCGGGATCTTCGTCTTTTTCTGGATGCTGATTTTATTCGATTCCAAAGATCGACCACCTTTCGTGTTTTACATTGGTGATCCTTTCCAAGGTTTGGTGAAAATCCCTTTGTATTTTATATGTTTTTGTCATGTTTTAGTGACATTGGATCTTTTGCAAGCAATGGGCACACACAACACTTGTAAATATGTAAATAATATTAATAAAACAAGATTGCCTATTTCTAATTGGATTTTTTTTGTTCGTTCCCAAAATATTCTTGAGATTAACAGATTTAGAAAGTAATTGAATGGGTGATTGGAAAAAGGATAAAATTTCAAAAATATGGCGTATTAAAAATAAAAAGAGGTATATAAACCTTTGAAATTTTGGCATCAAACGTACTTTGTACAAGTGTATAATTTTTTTCAATCACCCATTCAAATGTAAACAGAAGTACAATTTGAAGTCGAATAGTCAGTTTAAAGATTCAAATAAAATACACAAAATTCATGGATTACCCTTTATTTGAAGAATATCTTTTAGTTATTAAATAAATAAATACAATGGTGATATTACTAAAAAAGCGTTGATTAAGATTAAACAATTCATAAAAAATGATTGACATTTTTCTGTGCAATATAAAAAATAGAAATAATCAATTTCAGAACAATTGCCATAAATCTTTATAATTACTAAGTCGGGCTTAGTTCTCGCAGATAAAAATCTCCAAACAGCCATAACATTATCCATATGTCCAAAATTAGTGATTAAAAGGTTCTTAAGTTCTTTCAAATTTATAAAAAACCGTGGTTCAATGACCTGTAGTAAATAACTATCAGAAAAGTTCTAAAAAATGAACGAGCAATAAATAATTATCTACGTTCCTATTTGTTTTTTTTTATTATACATATTAATGTAGTGTTGAGGAAATTATTATTTTGTTAGAAGGTTACCGCTACTTTTTAAAATGCCTAATTCAAAACCTTATATTATATGATTAAATTTAACCAATGTTGAGTAATAAATTAACTGCAATATTACCTATGTATTTTAGTAACAATTCACATATGAAAAATATGGATTAGGAGAAATAGACAAGTGAAGGATTTTAAAGGAGTACATTAATTACTTACGATTTAAATTACCTTTATACATTATTGCTTTTTACACGTCAAAATTAACAAATCAGCTAAATTCAATCATACATTATGACATCATTCCAACAGACTTCTTATACAGTCTGTTACGGTTCCATTTTAGTAAGTTTTAAATAATAAACATTTTAAATAACTTGAGCGAATTATTAATCTTGTTCGTCAGAGCAAGAGTGTCATTAGTGTTATAAAATAATTTCATTCGATTGAAAAATACCTAAATTGCATATTTTATCTATAGGCTTGTTTACAGATTTTCCTCTTTTAACATACTGTTTAAATTATTGTAATCACATTTCAGAAACTAAGATAAAATCATTTCTTGAAGTACACGTTCACTTGAACCGGTCAAGCCCGTACTCAAGATAGTCAAAATTGAATAATAAAAATAAGAACAACATTTAATAATCTAAAAACCAATGTACACAAAAAATATTTAAATATTTCTTTACAACGTACTAATTTTTTGCTAAAATGATCGACAGCATGACAACTAATCGTGCCAAATCAGCAGGAACAGTGCTTTGCTCAGTCCCAATGGAGTGTCTTTTATTTCGTTCGTTTCTAAAAGTTTGTTTTAAGGGAACACTAATCCATTGGGAAATATATTTGATATCGGTAACACTGCTTACTTGGTAAAATGCCTAGGGTCCTATAAAATTAACTAAAGATCGAATGCTTTTTGCCTCTAAATATAAAATCGATTTCATTTTAATAATTGCTATTGCGAGGAATATTTAGTTCAAGTTTAAACGTTAAATGAGTTGCTAGTATATTTATGCGTTGGTTTTTCTTATCCACTGTGATATAATTGCGTGTGAAGCAATTAATTAGAAATGTTTGTATAGGATATAATAACTTTAAGACTCGACAATTATACTCACTGAACTATTACTTCGATAAAAAAAACAAATTAATTATTTAAAGAAAATATTGTGCTACTGTAGCTACTAAGTACTAATCCTAGGCTTCTGCAATTCCACACTACTCGAAAACTATCCAGATATGATACTTAAAGGTAGCATTCAAAACTTTAGTACATTAAATTTCATCAAAAAATAGCAGTTTTTATAAGAAGGAACATAAGCAAATTGTTTTTTAATAGTAATACATTGATAGAGACAAGCAAAATAAAACTGACAATGAAACAATTTGCGGTCTTACTTTATCAACATTTTTAAGTGCACCTTATACTACAAATATGAAGCTGAAAGCACATTTAATGAGCGAGCATCGACCTTTGTTTTTGGCAAACACTCGCTCGAAAAATCGGCAATATTTTTGGTATTAGTTTTACAAATTTGCTTACTAACATCTCAAGCACCTGGTACTTCTTAAAACATCGACTCAATCTGCAAACGAAACGCACGGATATTAATAACAAACCTTAGAATTAGTTCCGTTGGCTAATGAGACGGTTACCTTTATCCCCTATTAAAATGGATTTGCGTTTCTGGGACTCGTCGATAGGCCTACTTCCGACGTTCGTTCTAATAACAGGCGATCCGCTTTGGTGTTGTCCCGCTCTAATAGGTTTCGCGATCGTCGCAGCGGGCCCCCTTCTATTCAAATTCTTTTGTCTCACCGCTTCTTTAATTCTATCAACCTCGTACTGATATCTAAAAGAAAAAAAAGCTTGTATTATCTCGATGCAGGGTAGTGGCGACAAAATTCTAAAGCGATAAATACGCAGTTTCCTAAATGAGTGGCCCTTCTGCGATTTTTTTAATGGATTATAAAACCAATTACATCTATTAAATGATCCATTAAAATTAAAGTATCCTTCATGTCTCCTTATGAATCCAACCGTACCAGTTATATTATTAAAGCCAATGAAAATTCTCCCTCAACAAAACGAGGGAATATTCATTAAATGTTAAACAGTAAATAGAAAAACGAGCTTGCACAACAAACAAAAATTATCAGTATTGTTTTACCTTTTCCTATCTCTCATGGCGCCCTCTTTGGATTCTTTCAAAGCGGCCTCTAAGGCTTTCACTCTTTCCATGGTAGCGCGCAGGCGTTTCTCTAATTTGGGAAGTTCGCAACGCAAATCGGCGTTGTCTCTCACCAGCTGCTTGTGGACTTTCGTCAGCTGGTCCAAGTTGTTTTCGAGGAACGATATCTTCTGTTTCTGAGCCAAAGAACCGCCGTCCTCTTCGTTATCTTCCGAAGAAAGGTTTTTCTTCATGCGCGCCTGTGAAACGTGTTTGTTATTAAAATCGTCGAAATTTAATTGAGCGTCGAATGTACTATTGCATCTAAATTTACCTGCAAATCTTGCACAAACAGTTTGCGGAGGTTGTGGAGCGTCTGCAACTCTTTGGATACGGTTTCTTCTAGGCCTTTCAGATCTTTCCTGGCTTGTTCACGTCTCTCGTTATGAGCGCTGTAGAATTATATCCAGTTTGAGTCTCTTGCGACTGCCACACCACGTGCTCAAGCACATGCATAAAAGTTTGGTTAGGTTTCATTTTTTTTTGCTTATAAAATTTTTAGCGTCAACCAAAAACATTACTGAATTTTTCGATTTCATTTTTAGTATTGTGCGCACTTACTTTAACGTTATCATCAATAGAGAGTTCGTCATTGTTGGGGAACATTTCAATAGAAATGACGAATTCACTTTGAATGAGGTTTCTTTTGGAATATCACAATGAAATATACCATGCACGACAAAAAAGCTAAGCAAATTGTAATGTCTAAACATCAAATTGGGGTATTTTCAGGCACTTCTATAAATAGATTTAAATTTATTGTCTAATCTCTCCAATTGAAATCTCTTTGTTTCTCATTAAAAATATGATATATATGTTACATTTTTTAAGTGTTTTAACAATACCTCTTTTTTTATAATTTACGCTATGCAAATACAGCATTGGCAAAAACACTTTTTTATATACACTTTTCTAGTCACTTAACTTTTTTTATACAAAATATATCAACATTTATTCAAACATTACAACGCTGTTATCACAACTTTTACTTCATTTCGTAAAATAAACCTAAAATATAATTTCTCGATAAGAAATCAAAAATAAAATTCTAAATGTGCTCAATACAAAAATCAATATTAATCTCCTGAAATAGAATTGCATTAAAAAAATAAAACTCAACCAAACGGTGGTGTGACAATGGCAACAAAAAAATATAATACTAAACGGGAATAACTATGATAGAAATGAGCGTAAGCACTTCTAGGAATTAATGTTCCATGGAACATAAAATTCAAATAGAAAAAAAGCATATTATAAGTTTCATGTCGACAGGAATATAATTAAAATTGTTCACTAATTTTTTTAACATTATCTTGAGCATTTAAGTATAATCCTGTCAAGAATGATTGAAGGGAGAATGGTAAATTATTGTTACAATTTAAAAACCTCGGACTTCTATTGTATATGGATAGAATTTTAAATGATGGCAAATGAGGTATGAGGTTCATTACCAAAACAAAATGAGAAATTTTCTTATGCCCGTCACATAAAATGAAAAAAAAAAATGATATGGAAAGAGAGAAAAATATCTAGATAACAATCAGATATTGGGGACATTGATGAGTAACTAATAATAATGTCAATGATATAAAAAGGTGCAAATGAAAGGGATGTACGTGAAAAATGGAATATGTACACGAATTATTTGTTTTGGTAATTTTGTTAGCAATATCTTTTTCTAATTTAGATATCGGTGCTGTATTTATCTCGTTTTTGTAAGGAATGAACCGTTCCCACGAATGCTGTTTGAGGTAACATGTCTTGGGATTGGGATGAGCAAAGTCTTTTTTATAAAATTGGGAGTTAGTTCGATTAGAATAAAAATCTACTGACATTAACTCCTGAAGCTTGTTAGACTTCTCCGCTTCTTCTCCTTTAATCTTTTCGTAATCGGATTGTAGTTGTTGTTGAGCCAAAGTAAGTTTTTGATTTGAACTGAAAATGGAAAGCAATCATTTAGTTTGTATGTAGGATAATGTAGAGTGTATAGTACTTACTCTTTAATGTCGTTTATCAAACTTTGTTTTTCGGCAATTTCGTCTCTTAAAGCAGCCACTTGCTTTTGATGAGCGACGCGCAATTGATCCATTTGCTGTTCCAACGCTACTCTGAGTTCATTTGCTTCTTTCTTTTCGCTTTCACTAGCGCTTTGGACCTAAATAAAAAGAAATAGTATTCAAAATAACGTTTCTTTTATGAATTTAATTAAATTATCGTACCTGTTCCGCTGCTTTCAATTTAGCGCACTCTTCTCTCAAAGAGTCGATACTCTCTTCAAGCATTCTCTTCTTATTCTCAGCCTCCCTAATCGATTCTTGAAGACTCTTCATTCTCGCTTCATGTTGAGATATTAGCAAATGACATTCGGCCAGTTCCTTTTCGTATTCAGTAACTTTCTTGTTACTATCCTGTTCCTTATTTTCGATGTCTTGCAATCTTTGGGTCAAATTGGTAACTTCGCTTTTCATCCTGGAAATGTATAATCTTGCGACCTGTAAAGCAAACGAGTTATTTCGGAATAGTTAATGGTAATCGAATCTATTACTGTAAATTCCTCTTCCAATTTAGCAACGTCGTTGGAAATTTTAATCTCTTGTCCGTCTCCACTGCCTCCTAGAGTGTTGCCAATTTCGCCCAATTCTTTCAGCAAATTGCTCAACATTTCGGCGATTCTCTTCTTCTGATGATTGCTCAAGTCGCGCAGCTGTTGCAATTCGGTGGTGGTCGAATTTAGATTAGTTTGCTTCTGCATCAGTTCTTCAGACATCGATTCAACCTCCTTATTTTTAGCCTCTATTTCCTGACTCTTTTGATCGTAGTTAACGGCCAGTTCTTCAAGTGCTTGAAGGACATCCTTAACTTCTTCTTTCGCACTTTCGTTCTCCTGTTGTAATCTGTAAATTAAACGTAAATAAAGGGAATAAAATGAAAAATGCAAATCGTTTTTACCTGTTCATTTCTGCTTGGAGAGCTTCAAAGTCTCTTCTCGTACTGGCGATAAGTTCGTCCTGTTCCAGTATTTGATCTTTAAGCTTCTCTACGTATTGACTCTGCTGATTGATCTCTTCGTCTTTTTCGTCCAACTGCTGGTACAGCCTTTCTCTTTCCAGTTCCAACTTGTTCCTCTCCTCTATGCCCAATGTTGATCCTATCATTAGCGCCGGTGTTGCGGGAATCGGACCGGCGGGTTTCTCGGCTATAACGCTTTCCTCCATGGCGGATACGGGAGTTGCGGCATCGGAGAGCTCGTTGAGATTGATTTGCTCGTCGGGGTTCACCTATGAAATGATGTTATTGTATTTTTTATTTGTGATAGTGGAGAATTATTTACCGTTTCTCCGTTACGCCATCTGTTTAGTTCATCCTCTAATTTTTCGAGTTTTCCTTTCAATCGAGCGACCTTCTCTTTTTCTCTTTCGTACCTTCGCTTCCACTCTTCTGCCGTTAGTTCCTCGTTAACACACACGACATTCTTGACCGTCTTCGCTCTGAAATTGAATTAAATCGGGTGAAAATAATTTTGAATTTGCTTACATTTTTTTACACTTACCTTTTACCGAATTCAAGGGTGGATTTAGTTTCGGCTTCGTTGAAGCTGGCAGGAGAGCAACAAATTACTATGGTAGTCCTGGCGTTACCTCCGAGAGATTCCTGGAGGATTCGAGTCAATTTTGAGTCTCTGTAAGGAATGTGGGTTTTGTTGCCATCCGCTAGAGCGCTTATTACGTTTCCCAACGCCGACAAGGATTTATTTATGTTCTTGGCTTCATCTAATACAGTACCTAGACAAATTAACGCAAAATGTAGGTAAAATAGATGAATATGTTTTGTAATAAAATACCTTCAGCGCCGGTTTTTGAGACCTTTTCTGAACCAGCTAAGTCGACTAAATAAAGTTTACCGGATAGCTTCTTTTGGTTTTCTAAATTTTCTTGTTTCACGTTGATTAGAAATACTGAATGGGATCTGGATGAATGTTCATTCATGTCTAAAAAAATATGACGATGACGCTTTTTTTAATTAAATAAAAAAATAATAGGTATTACTTGTAACGGCAATGTGTCGATTGGATTTTCCTTCTTCTATTGATTCGAAAACTTCTTCAGGACTGGAAACGAATCTTTCGGTAGCTCCTTTCACAAACGGAACTCGATTTTTATCTTCATGAACACTCAAATTTACTTTCGACACTGCAAACAAGTTTATGATATTGAAAAAACAACTTATATTATATCTCTTAATGTTCTTACCGTCCAGCAAGTCTCTAATTTTATCCATGTAGATTTCAAAATAGGATACTTTAATGTGAAATTCTAAGTTCTCTTCCATAGCGTAGATGTGATTAAATATGTCATTGACTATTCTAGGAATGATCCCTTGTTTCTGGGGATCACCTAAAAAGTTGGTCTTTAAGTATATGTATAGCCGCATTTTGTAACAATCTTACCTAAGACACCTTCCATCGTGTGGGTTTTACCCGATGATGTTTGACCATAGGCGAATATTGTGCCGTTAAATCCAGATAAAACATCAGTAACAATGCTTTTAGCAGCTTCATTGTACACTTTCTCTTGAGTCGCATTTGGTTTAAATACTTTGTCAAATAAATATACTTTGCCCTAAAATATGCAACAGATACTTCAGAATCAATCGGATTTATCAATTATAATAGAAAAGAATCGGCATAATTAATAATTACTATGATAATTAATGTGTTCTTGTGATTATAAAATTATAAGAAAAGCAAGAAATTATAAACTTATCTGTATACATGATAGGAGCAGGATAGCTGTAGGAAACTTTCGAATACAGTAAATTACAAGATAAAGTTAATAAGTACTGAGTAAATATTATTAATGATTTTACTCTTAATTAATAATATTACACTAATAAAGACATAAAGAGACAGTAAATACTTGAATTTAAGAATAAGATTTGAACAAGCAAAATACTCGATAGTTTTAGAAATGCTATGGAATTGTTATGATGAAAGCACTCCCCGTAAATGAATTTTGTGTTCACTTGAATTATTCTTTAATTACTCATCTATGAAATAATTGCACGCTCTCTGTTCAGATATAATAATGTAACTGTATTGAGAATACAGTTAACACATTCACTGCCGGACTGTTTTTATGGTTTTTTTATGTTTGGGCCGGGAGGTATATTCCATACGGGAAAAATTTTGATTTTTAGACCGGCTTCGGAGGAAAACTATTTTCTCGGTTACATTGACCGAGACTGCAGGGAACGTGTTAAAGAAATATTTAACAAGCTAATGACTTTTCTTAATGTAGATGATCATAAATTGCAAAATGCTTTTCGCAAGAATACCTAATATCTAGCATTAACAATGAATCGATTGTAATTATGTACACGAACTTTGGGATTTATAATGTAGGTAGTCATTGACAAGAAACAAAATTGGTTTTTGTTCAATTCCGTCAAAAAAGTGCCTCCGAGGTCGGCTTTGTTAAAATTGATAAATCCTACTCACCGCAATTGAAATACAATTATCTTCGTTCCCTTGAGGAAATTTAACTATAAATTTCGACCCAGCCTTCTCCTCCGAGTCGTTTAAAGGCCTGAATCTGCATACAACTTTAATACTGTCTTCGGCAGGTATTTCTCTGTCGACCGACATTTTGCCTACAATTTTTTTACACCCGGTGCTAATTAAACCTTTTCAATGCATATCCTTGTAAGTAACAAGAAAAAACTAACAAAACCGTAAAGACTGTTTTTATAAGAAAACAAAATGGACATATTCTTCCGTCATCTTTCTTCCACTCTTCCACTTAAATTGATTTTTGTGCAATTCAATGACTCAATCACATCACAATACACCTTCTGGCTTCTGGTTTACAATGCGCAAACTCCCAAAGTTTTGGGTTGGTTAAACTGTTATATGTCTAATGTCAGTGTCATTATTGTCAAAATAGTCCCCAAATTGTAGTTCTGTGTTATTGATAGAAAGGTTTTGAACTGCTTTATTACATGTAATGCTTAAAATATTATATAAACGATAAATTAGATAAATTAGAAATAACAAAATGAATAAAATATACAGAATACACATATATATGTATATAGGGTTTTCAGTGTGACCAACCTTTAGTTATTTTCTGACAAGTTTTGACATAAACTGTTTTGTGCGTCCGTCCAATAGAAAAGGATAATAATTGTTATAATTTCACTATAGAATGAGACAACGCGTAGCTTGATGTTTAAATCAAGAAAGAGATAGACGCATATTCTGTTCATCGATTTGCTGCACAGAACATGCCATTTTCAGAAAACGCAGACGACCTCTATTATTTAAATGGTTAACGATAATGATAACTATTTTTCTGTAACGAGTTTTCTGTAACCTCCTTACGAGAATTTAATTAACCCACTAGAATTCTGTAGGGTTCTGTATGTTATGACGCGACACGCGACCCCCTCTATTTATCATTTTAGGTGTTTATTTAGCTTCTTCTTAGAGTGCATGACACATAACCTCTAAAAATTGTGTAAATAATTACATTTTAGTGATGTGGTGTCCCAAAAAGTGTTTTTCTTATTATATATGGGTATAATTCTGTAAATTTTAATCAAACAACATAGCCATGGCTGTAAGCAGTTGGATGATAAGGCATCATAATAGATTTAAGAGGCCAGGTAACTCCGCATTCCTCAATTTTTATAATTTGCAACATTTTATGACCTAAATAAATTTTGCAGCAATGCCGAAACAGGAAGATGTGCTGGCACAATTGCAAAAATTAGGTGAGTCCTATTACTCATTTCCTTCCTAGTAATGTTATTTTTCCACCATAACCTAACTTTAAGGTTTGTAAATTAATGATGGATTTATGCAATGTTGTTTGCAACATTAACTTCACATATCCTCTTAATTAAAACATGTTTAATTCCGAAACATTATTTATTACAAATACAACACTAATTTAGTAATTTTTAGCGAATATGATTGAAAAAATTGTTTCATTTTAGCAAGTCACACAATAAAAGAAATTACATACTTCCAATTAATGAACATATTTAGAATTTACTTTCTAATTCTAATTGCCAAAAGTACTATTAGGATGTTGTTCTATTTTATTTACAATTGTTTCAGGGCCTCATGAATGTTACACAAAATTATTGGAAAAAATATGCGACCAAAATACGAAAGAGGAGGTACTATTTAACTACCTGAATGCGTTTGTAAAACTTACATTGAAGCATGGGAGCGATTTCGGTTACAGCACCGAAAATATTTTTACATGGTATGTTCACCTAATATCAATTAATTGCATCAAATAACTATCTAGAAATTTGCCTAAGAATGCTTGCCGATGATGAATTTGATTAAGCATTATTAAACAGTCGTTACTGTTGTATTTTTAGCCTCAGAATACCTCTTTCGCATCTATCTTCTCAAATCAGAATGGCCGGCCTAAGATGCATTAGACACGTGCTTAAAACTGAAAGTGAAGTTGTCGAAATAAATAAGTTATTAATTCCTTATTTATTAACAAGGTAAATCTATTTTTGTATTTCCTTTATACATGTACTTGCTTGGCCAATGTGTTAATGGCATCAAATTGACCATATTGCAGTGATTTAAAACGCTTTTTAATTTGTAGATCGTTGGATTTAATACTAAGAAATGACGCAGAACGAATAGAAGCGATGAAACTGATAAGAAAAATGTTAATAATATCACCATCTTCATTCGATGTATCATTGGCAAGATGTTTGGTTTCCCTAGCTTACGAAGGTACAGAAGCGAAAGATCGAATGCTCAGGGTCTGCTTAGCTACTTTATCAGAATTGGGTAAGAGAATTAATTAAAATAACCCCCATTATTTATCGATCATATAGTCAGACTTGTATACGATGCGATTCAAACCATTATTTTCACAACAACAAGTTTTATCATATGTTTTTATTGCATATATCTTCCAGTTATTATTACAATATGTTTATATTTTTAGGTGTTTTGAATTCCAAACTTTTTATCGCCGCAGGCGGCGTTACTGCGATATCGAGGAATCTGTTAGAATGCCAGAGTCCCCGGATCGCGGAATCGTTGTGCGGAGTCCTCCTTTTGCTCCTGGATAAGCCGTCGACTAGAAATTACGCGGCCGTCGATTTGCATAGCGCGGCCGCGCCATTTTGCGATTTTCATTACAAACATGTTTCGAAGGATAAAAATAAGTAAATTATTCCACCGTTCGCAAGCAGGATTACTTGAATTCATGGATTTTAATTTGCAGAAGGGACGAGAGGGAATTGCGTTTGAATTGCGCGCGATTATCTTTGCTTACGATATTAAGAAGCTGGTCTGGAATTTTGCATTTTTGTAGCCCTCTAGACAGAGGCGGTTTCAGAGCGATTGTCGAAGTATTGTACTTGCAACAGCTGGAAGTTAGGGTACGTCAGTCGATTCAAACGGTTACTCGTGCTCATTGATGTTTTAATTTTTAGAAATCGGTGTTAGACCTTCTATACGAGCTTTTAGGTTTATCGCAACCGGAGTGGTCTGATGAATTATCAGTGGCATTGAGTGCGGTAGATCCGTGCGAACCTCAAGCTTCTTGGAGATTGGGAGAGGGATTTGTAGTGGCTGAAGCAAGATCTGTTCTACCCCATCTTGCCAAAACTACTCCGTCTACCACCGATATGCATCTCGCCCTACTTTTATACTGCTTTCTAGAAAACGGCCTATTGGCAGCATTGACTGAAGTAATCGCTACCAGTGATACATTCATTTGTGTCAGAGCTTCCGTTCTATTGGGTAAGGCTTGAATTAAATTAAAATAACTCTATTTTAATACGAGTATTGCATTTTAGGGGAAATTTTAAGGCTGATCCAAGTGTTATTGCCTCCTGGTTGTTGTAACGTCTCACCATCACTCCCATCTCTATTATATTACGCTGCCAAAAGTAAGCCTCAAGCTATAGCGGCTATAACGGCCCTGGAACAACTACACACGTGAGTAATGTTTCGAAAATATTCGTACCAGCGAGTATTATAAAAATAATTTAAAGGTTGATGAAACGAAGACCGGCATCCTACAGTCTTCATTTGGATTATATAATTCGAAGTAGTGTTCACAAAAGAAGTAAGGTCAAGCACATGAAACCAAAAGGAAGTAGTTTACAAAGAAAACTTCATCAAGTAATTAGTTATATTTTATGATGTTTTGTGAAACTGTGATGTGTTTATTGTTTTAGTTGGTTTTGAGAGATGGCGACGATCCAGTTAAGGAAACTGGCGTTCTATTGAGCAATGATGCTTACACTTGGGATTGGCACTTAATTAACATTATTCTAAAAGTGAGCGTTGAATTAAAGACACTGATAAAATAATGAGTTTGTATTTTTTAGGGTGAAAATAACTCGAGAATCGATCTAAACGACATATGTCACCGTACTTTTATAAAGAAGTTGGTAGAATTTTACATGCCCTCGAGGAATAAATATTCGCACATGGACTTAACCGCAACAAAAGCTTCAATTATTTATACTACAGCCGGTATAGAGCTTATAAATTTTCTAGTTGAACAAAGAGATGGCGATTATAATGGTTTGAAACCTATCACGTTAATCATGGATTTGTTCAATGATATTTTAAATAACATAACGAAAATAACTTCGAGCAAAAGCGTGCACGATTGCTTGTTCAGTCCTGCCCATATGCTCACAACACAATGTCAGAGCTATTTCTTATTTATCGGGCAATTTTCCCGAACTGAAGTGGGTATTAAATTATTGGAAGAGATTAATATGTTTAAGAAGTAAGTACAACGAATTTGTTGGCAACAATAAATAATTATGTTCTACTTTAAGTTTGAAGGAATTGGCAACTACTACGAACCACGATTACTACGTAAAACTCATAGTATCTTCGTTGGAATACATTTTTCCCGGACCATCCCGAGACATTTTGGAAGCCGTATTATCCTGCAACCAAGAAAGTTCTCGATTATATGCAACCCAATTCTTGCACGTCCTATTACGCGCCGGTAATCCCTTATTTTCCTCCTGGGCGATTCAATTGCTGGTTAATCAGCTCGGCGACAAGTCTCGAGCAGTTTGCCTATCAGCATTAGCAACACTACACGAATCTTGCGAGCTGTCCGATTGCCTAGAAGCCTTGATCGAGATCAATCCGAATATGGACAATCTGGGCGAAAAGGGCACGTTACTCTTCGTCAGATTTTTATCGTTAGAAAGCGGTTTTAAGAAAGTCGGTAAAGAGAAAGTGACGGAGGAAATTAAGAAGTGGGATGAAACCTTTTCGAAAAGGTATTGATTATGAGTGATTGTTTAGAGGTTTATTTGATTACATTTGTTCTTAGGTATGTGAAAATTGTGGAAGGAGAGATTTCAGATGCCTTAACGCTACATCAACGTAATGACAAAGGTAAATACGATAAGAGATCGAACGTTTTGCGAAACTGTAACAGAAGAGACGTATTTTTACCGCCACATTTGTACGGCCAGCTTACTCAGCACATGCTGGGTTTCGAAACGCTGGTGGCCGAAGGAAAATGTACCAAAATGATAGAAGTGAGTCTACAATCTTTTGCGCATTCAAATCAATTAATCATCGATGTTTTTTAGACTATTAATCGGGCTAAATGTAACACGGATGAAGAAATCCTGCATTTGAAAGCCGCCATTTGGGCTTTAGGTCACATGGGTACTTCGAACAGAGGATTCGATTATCTGACAAATTACGGAATCGTCGATTCGATCATCGGATTTGCCAAATATTCGCCGGTTTATTCAATCCGAGCTGCGTCTTTCTACGTTTTAGGACTTTTGGGTAAGAAAACTTGCTAAGTACACTGCGTGGCAACACAAATACTATAACGTACATTGAATCACTTTTTCAATTACAAACAAAACGGCCTAATGGCATTTAAAGTGTATCTAACACGTCACATGTCTTAGTTATGGTCTCTACAGAATGATTTAGAATTGTCTAGAATAAGTTAGAACATGTTCAGAACGATTTAGAACTGTTTAGAATGATTTAGAACTGCCCAGAATGAGTTAGAACATGTTCAGAATGATTTAGAACTGTCCAGAATGATTTAGAATTGTCCAGAATGATTATGAACTGTCTGGAATGATTAACATATCTTTATATGGACTTTTCGACTCAAAATTAGCTCAAGAAATATGTACATTGCATTAATTGACAACCTATATAAACTATTTTCTTGTAGGTACCACTTTAGTCGGGGCCGATGATTTGAGCCGAAAAGGTTGGTTGTCCACAAGGCACGACAGACACGACAACTGGCCCATTATTCACGAGGAAATAGAGGATTGGTGTTGCGGTAGAAACCCGAGCGTATCGACGTCCGAGGACGTGATTTCGTGGAGCAGTCCTTTAATGAAAGAAGGAGATTTAGCACCGGACGAAGAAGACGATTCCGAAGAAAGACAGGATTTTCTGCGATCTCCTGCCTCGTCGGGTGCGTGTATTCAAAGAGGTCCTGATAATTCGATGGGCTAATAAGCGCGTATTTTGCAGTGGATAGAAGAATAAGGCAAACGACTTTGCCCGGCATTCGAAAACCCCAGTGTAGCGGACACAAGAGATCGCTTTCCGAATCGAAGACATTAGAAACCACCAACAGTTTCTTTGATGATATTCGACCTCCATCCGTCCCGCTCACTTCGGCTGTCCTTCGCTACGGATACAGAGACAATTCCATGACTGATTCAAACACTTCCGGTATAAGTTCCTGCGATTCATTAGTCAACAAACCTGCTACACAGTAAATGATTTGTATTACTGATATGAATTTTCTTAGTGACATTCTAATTTTTCAGTTCTAATTACATAAAGACTTTAAGCACTATTCCTAGTTCCTCTAGTTTAACTACTCTACAAATACCTGGGCAGTTCAAAAGGACGTCTCAAAGGATTTCTTCTACTAGTAAGTTTACTGCTATTTGCGTTTGATTTCTACTAGTTAAAGTTAAACTATTCTCACTCCATCTATTGCGAAAAAATTTAAGGAAATAGTAAACATTTAGAAATATAGTTCTATATTAACCCACGAATTATGAATTCGAGGGCGCGCATCGGCGGATTTAATTGCAATTTGAATTCCAGGCACTACGAATTCCGATATATCCACGTCATCGTTAACAGGAAGTACCTCCAACGCGTTGAGCGTTCAAAATCTTATAGGATACAATACACTTAAAATGCTGAGGAATAGGGATGCAAGGATGGACTTTTGGAACATCGACGATAACTGTGGCAACAATCAGTCCGTTACCAAGTGTACAACATCGCAGGGGTAAAGCGTAACACATGTCGTTGTAACTTTAATTCGATCGATACTGATTTTTAGGCGAGACAGCACCTTGATCGATGATTTCAATCTCTTCGATTCTAGCTGTGCGTCGGTGTTCAGCGTGCCGAAATTCGAAGTGGACATTACGCATTCGCACGACGACAAACGATACATGGGCATATGCTTGCCTAAAGTACTGATAGAAATTTTCCCGTCTCACGGGGACATTACGAAAGAACCGAAAATTCTTGCCGAAGGACAAGAGTCGGATCCTTCGAAATGGAAGCATTCCAATCAGCATTGTTTCTCTTGTAGTCAAGCCGAACAGGACCAAATTACCGATTATATCGAAGGTAGAATTCATCGTTAATACGACACTTGTTATTTGTGATCGATTCGTTTTTTTAGATCCAGTGAAAGTAGAAATTCTGCAAAACGTCGAGCGCTTGGCCAATCCGATATCGAATAAGTACATTAGGTCGTTGTTAATACGAAGCAAACAACGCGAACCAGAAGCCTTCAAAGACATATGCCTTTATTCTGAAATCTTTAAGATAATATCAGATAGCATATACAGGTCGCCGACAAGGAGGCTCTTACACGAATTGTTCATAGAAGTTGACTTTGTACGTTTCTACAAGAGGTAATAACTTACATTGTATAACTAAAATTATAGATATCAAGTGAAATGGAAAATTAGGGATATAAAATGTACAGGGTGTTAATTTATAACAGACACACAGCATGTTAACGCTTGTATAAGCAGAGGATGCTTAGCTAAGGGGGCATTTAGGGAGTCCTTAATACATTCCTGAGAAGTAATAGGCCTTCAAAGTGGAGTTACAAATAAAAAAAAAATATCTCGGTAAAACTCAAACTTAAAACAACTCAATTTGGTATACGTTATGAGTATACTAAGAGCATTAATGGATAGTTAGAAGAGATCAATTGATGTATTTTAAATGGTTCATTAGGGATGTTCATTAGTTGGATTGAACAACATATTTTAGGCTCTACATATTCAAACCTCTGCTTTGTGTCGGTTCTTATGCGGGACACCCTGTATATTATTTATAATTTATAAGGAATATTGATGATAAAAGTGATTTACATTGGGTGTCGAATTCATGCTTTACACCAGTGTAATTTTAATTGCATTTTAGGTCACAAACTATATTGGAATTTGAAAATGGGGCAAGTACCTCTCAAGGTATTAACGAAAGCTCGGTAAGTACAAACTCGAATTGTTCGTACACCGTTACCAGCCCAACGGAGAGATTGAAAACATTGGATTCGCTAAAACTGACCTTTAACGAGAACAAGTTTCCGATAAAAACTAAGAAAGAATGAATGCGAAATGTAAAGGAGTATATCCAGTGTTTTTTTGTTCGTTTTAAAAATTCTACTCGTATTTTTTAAGTGGAATTGATGATATTCCTTATGTACGTGTTTCACTTCCTGCGGTTTTCCATGATGACAAATGGAGTGTTTAAATTTATTATGAAACGCTCATTTTGCATTAGGTATTTCAGAAAGGGTGGGAAAAGTTTTTTTCAAACACAAAGACAAACTTCATTTTTAAGAAAACTTTTAACAAATGTAAGATTTTCAGACTTCACTAAAAGACTTTATTTCTCGGGAACTCAAAAACGGTGTACTTTAAATTTAATGCACATCAATCATACTTCGTATCTTGAGTTTGATTTTGAATCAAATTAATTCTATTTGCGAACTTTTAAAATGAAAAACGAACATTTTTCCCTGCGCTATTTCCTTTCCGATTTTAAATAATACGTCATACAAGGTAAATGAGAAAAGGAAATTTATCAATTAAAATAAATTGGAATTATTGTATTTTTGATGTAAGACATTACCATTTTAATTTTTATATTTTTAAATAAGGTGAAATTGAAATTGGTGCTATTATACATTATAATAATTGACTATTATAAATACGCAGGAAACCTTCATAGCGGATATGTATACTTGAAGTCGGTGTAATTGACATATTTAACAAATCTTTGCAGTCTTTGTAATGTATGTATTCTCATTAAACGGTTTGTAAGCTTATCTATAAAACTTTTTCGATTTGTGTACGCCTTCGCATAAAAAAGGGAAAATAAAAATGTTATTTATTAGTTTATTGATGATGTATGCCTCGAAAACAATTCAAAAAGGTTGAATTTAAAAGATGATGTGTGGTATCTAATACCGAATTTTATTTACATACATTGTATATTTTATTTTCAGAATTTAATTTTAGTTGTAAATAAAACTTGATTATCAATGACGTTTCAATTTTTTTAATCACCTAAATTTCTATTCGAAAAATTTTATCTTTGACGGTTATGTGCACTGGATTGAAAAGAACACTTGAAATTTTATTATTTAATTATAAATAAATTATATGACAAAAACAATTTGTACAATTTTATAGCAAGATTTTTAAATAAACTACAAATAAAAAAACACGTAATAATAATTGAAATGATTTAACTCATATAATTCGAAATCATCCGGGGCTTTGTTTTGAACAATAATTTCTAATAAAATTTATGTATGTATTTAAAGCAAAAGTAAAAAATGCACTGTGTTTGTATTCAATTTTTGAAATTGAAAATTTTAATTACTCTACGACGTATAATACAGGGTGTCCCAATGAAAAATAGCCCATTTAATCAGCTTACAATTTGTAAACGCCTAATTATAAAACATGCGGTTTTCACAGATATGTTATATTTTGCTATAACTTTTACAAAAATTATAAGCCGATTAAATGGGCTACTTTTATTGGGACACCCTGTATTATAACTTGTGTAAACTATCCTCATCGCTAATTTATTTAGCCCGAATGCAAATGAATCATCGGCACTTGAAGTTATTGCCAACTATAAAATTTCTAATTACAACCTGATAAAATCTCTAATCAATCTAATAAACATTATTTTTCGACTTCTCTACATATACTTCACTAACAAACGTATTGTCACTTGTCCCTTCAACAGGCCTAATATCTAATTTGCTAAATAAAACGTCGACATCATCTGGGGTAAGTTCGCTCTCGTCCCTTTCACTCACCGACGAACTGGCAACGCCGCTACAACAACGATCGAATTTATCGAGTTCGACAGATATATCTGGCAGTGAGGCGTATTGTTTCGTTAACGGTATCTCTTCGAAATTCGATGTTAATTCAGCACCAACGCCGGGCTCTCGAGGCCCCCGCAACATGTCGTTTTCTTGGCTCTTTCCTTGCCGTTTCAGATGGATTTCGTTGGATATCTGTTCGAGATTCTTCAATGTTTGCGAATAGGATTGTTTGGAGTTTAGTATTTCCTGTTTGAGCGATCCTATGCGGGACTTTTGAGTGTTTAATTGATCCTGACAGAGCGACTTTTCGTCGAAGTACGGGCGCGCTTTGATTATGGATCTGTGGAACTTTTCCTCGTGGAATTTCAGTTTTTCTTCGATTTCCTTGCACGCAAGTGCTTTTCGCTGGTGATCGCGACCGCATTCAGCTTTCTTTGTTTCGGCCTCCATTACCTGCAATCAATTTCTATTAATTTAAATGAACGTCTATTTATATCCCTCGCCCGAGAAAATGGTTCAATTAGAGTCCTTACTATTTTTATAACATAAATGGCTTCAATTAAAGGCCAAGGTCTATTAATAATGACAGCATTGAAAACTTCCACAACTATAAAAAATTTCCATGGAAACTAATTTATTTAGAAGTTGTTACGTTTGTTATTGGTATTACAAAGTTTACAGTAGTCTTAGTGTATGCACATTTGTATGAGTCTGTTTATCTTTAAGAACATAAAAATGTTTTATTCACTAAATATTTACCAATAATTTGTAATTATAGTAAGTTAAAACCATGTAAATGTAAATGACATAATTACATATTCATAGTTTAAATGAAGTAAACTTATTACGACTCAATTATACATTCCTATTACTGTTTTTCTTTCCAATAATAATTGGATCTTTTTTGATCCAGTTAAAAGCTTAACCGGTATTACCCTAAATCGCTTAATAAGGATTCATAAACATTATACATAGTGAATTACATTATTCATATTTGATGCCAGTCTAGTATGCGGTCTACCATAATATTTGCGGTCCACCTACATATTTCGTCGCCAAGTATATTTAAATATTTTGACAGTAATATTTTGCAAAACTTAAACTAGTTGTGAACATGTTTCACAAAAAAAAGCAAATGTTGATCCATTTAAACTTTTTTCTATCTCCTACAGTTTCCGAGATCCCTGTACTAAACAATAAAAATAACTCACCCTATATAATTTTGATACTCCCGTAATTCTCGATAAATTGGATTACTTACTTGCTATTCCATACATAATATAGTACTAGTAAAATCTTTCCATTTGCTTAATGAAGGGTGGATAAATTTTTTAATAATCTTGCCGTTTTACTTTGTATAAAATAAATTTGTGTACACCTCATAATAAACTAGATGCTTTAGGGTAGACTACATACTAGACGGGCACCTCATATAGTAGCCCTTTTTTTGTTAATTATAATCATTTTACCTTCATTGTAGCATGATTTAACATCTCCTGCCAAGCGTTGTCAAACTGCCATTCGTGTTGATTGGTCAAAAACTGCTGTTCCGCTAAAGCTACTGTTTCTTTTGCTGCCGCGTGAATTCCTTCAAATAAAGCGCAACGTTAATTACATGTCGTTCAGTCACATAAAAATGACATCATGACGCTAAATAGTAAATACCGTGAGCTTTTTTGTAAAGAGCTGCCGCTTCATGACATTCCTGCTGCGACTTCTTAGCAACCTCGAGGAGTTCGTAGTAAGGACGGGCCTTTTCGATGCAGCTTCCTAACTTCTTCGATAAGACCTTGAGTCGCCTGGTGCATTCGTTGAGAAGCATGCGAAAAGTTTTATTTTCTTCCTGAAACGGTTCGTAAAGCAAAATAAAAATGTGCGAATGTAGATTTCAATTGAAGATAAATTTCTTACATCGTATTCTACTTCTAATTTATTGATTTCATCTGTGGTTGTGTTCAATTTCTCTAGCTCGATTTGAATTCTGGGATCCAATTCGGTGTCTTCGTCAGAGTGTTCCATAACTTTCGCGGTATGAATTCACATTCTCCTCTGGCGTTACCTAAACGAAATAGAAAATTGGTTTTTCGAGCGATGTTTAATGATTTCGTTAGCTCCTCGCTTGTACTGCGAGACCTCGGGTCATAATTAAATAAACAACGTATCCTATTAATATTATCATGACGTATAATTACAACAACATTACATGGGAACAAAATTTATACACGCTTTCTAATTTTAATTCAATTTGCATGACAATGAGACAACTTTAGACCAGTTATTTTTTCTCGCCGATTTGGCGAATATTCTATTGAATAATGTAAGTTAAATTATAAATAATGCGCTTTTACCTATATGCAATTCTTTTGTTGACAAACTTCACTACATCACGAATTACAAACAACTGAAGTCAAGAAGTCATAAGTCATAAGGTGCAAGAAATTGACGTTTTTGTCATAAATGTGACATCTACGTCAAAAGTTCAGATTAATATAAAAAAGAAGAAATTTGACATTGACAGTGACGTTTAACAATTAGCATTGCCAACAATAAGAAATCAAATTATTTATAAAATGATTTTTGATTTAGAAAACAAATAAGGTAAATATATTTTTTTAATTTAAATATCCATTTTTTTGCCTCATTTTGCTTCTAGATAAACATACGATGGCCGATAAATCTTCCACCACTTTTCAAAGCTCGGATTTCTCCGCCGCTTTATTTAGGAAATTATTCGAACAGAAAGAAGCCAGCAAATTTTGCGATATAACTCTCCTAGTCAATAATAAAACGATTAAGGCGCATCGTAACGTTTTGGCGTGTAATTCGCCTTATTTCGACGCGATACTAAAAAACCACAAAATCATAAGGGAACAAATTGCCGTCTCTTGCATGGATAGCAGCTCGTTTAATGCCATACTAAATTTCATGTATACTGGTGAAATAACAGTAACGCACAGCATCGTCGAGGAGCTTCTGAAATTAGCAAATCAATTTCTGTTGAACAAAGTTGTAGATTACTGCGTGGAATTTTTGGGAACAAAGCTTAGCGTCTCTAACTGCTTGTTTACTTATTTCTTAACGAAAGAATTCAAATTGAAGTCACTTTGCGATATCGTGGAAAATTGGGTGGCAAGCCACATGGAAGAAGTTTGTAAGGAAGATGAGATTTTAGAGCTCAGTCCACATCAGCTCGTTGAGTTTTTCAAAAATAAGGTGAAGCATTTTCGATCAGTTATTATATTTGATGTTCTTTAAGAGAATTATTTATATTTTAGACTTTCATTTTGAGCACAAACCAAGCTTTGAATGTACTTTCGATGTGGGTGCTGAGGGATACGGAGAAACGAGAGAAACACTTTGGTCAATTAATTAAGTGTTTTCCAACCAACGATCTAGAACCTGTGGAAGTTTTCCATCATTTGGATACGAATAACTTGTACAATAAAAGCGAATTGTGCTTGTATAGAATCTTGGATTATCTTATAAAGAATAATTGGATGCTTTCTAATTTTAAGACTAGATATGATGTGTTACAAGTTAAATATGGACAGGTAAAGTTGCTATTTTTGATATTTGATATAATTGTTAATTATTTCATTTAACAGATTTTGAACGAAAACTGTATGGTTGACTCCAAACAAAGTAAAAGTGTGAATGTAGAGCCAGCAGAATTGAAGTCTTTCGAGAAAAAGGAACCCTTGATGATAAAAGCAAAAGTTAAAAGGAAACAACAGATTCTTTTTAAGAAACTGCTACTGTTGGGTCTTAAACCAGATATTCGAATGTCAGCTCTGAAAATGTTGAATTTAAAGAAAAAGTCTTTGTCATTTATCGACGATAAAGAAGATAATGAAGGTAAAATAATCTACAAGAGAATATTCCACAATATAATGTATTGGTACATTTTAGCAAATCAAGAATCCGATGAAAAAATGGGCATAAAATGCCCCATTTGTTTAACAACAATAAACGACAGCCTGTTACTGGAACAACATCTTGCACTAAGTCATGCTAAGAACGTAACTTACAAATGCGGATTGTGTTCATTCGTTTGCCAATACCATGGGGATTATTTAAATCACATGAAGACTCATTTCTCGGGCCCGCCCTTCAAATGCGATTTTTGTAAGCAGCACAACCAAACGAATTATTTCCAACTAACGGCTATTTTTAAGGTGACTTTAACGTGGAACAAATCACGAAACTGATATCGCACCGAGCCCAACATTTCGACGAAAACATCTACCAATGCACGTTCTGTTCGTTCAAATGCCGCTTGAAGCAGAATTTCATTTGACACATGAAATTGCACACGTTGGATGTGTTCAAATGCGACCATTGCGGCAAGACCTTTCAGCTCGGACAGAACCTCGAAGCCCACCTCTTGACCCACACCGCGGAAAAGAATTTGTCATGCGATTCGTGCGGCTTCCACACGAAATTCGTCAGTCATATGATCGCCCACAAACGGATTCACGCAGGTAAAGTTGTAGTGTTTGATTATAAATTTGAATTTAACGTTGTAATATCGTTTAGCTGAGATTCATCGGTGTTCTTATCCGCACTGCAAATACACCACGTCGAAGAAATCGCAACTGCTCAGCCACGCGAAGTCCCACAACGGCGCTCGGCCTCATACCTGCGGCGTATGCGGACGGGGTTTTATGGAGAAATCGCATCTGGTCCGCCACGAACGAATCCATTTGGAAGAGAAACCGTTCAAATGTTCGCACTGCGACTACGCCAGCTCGAGAAGGGACAAATTGAAGGAACATTATACTAGACATCACGGGGAGAATGCTTCAGCTAAAGTCCCTTACAAGGCGAGACCATTAAGAACTAACGTGGGAACCAGCAAATCAAGAACATTGGTGAGCGAGATTCGATCGAAATATTACGAGAGTATTTACGGGTTTTCTTACAGACGAATCAAGATAATTCATCGACTACATCGAACTCTAACATTACATTCACGCATACGAATAGCACATCTGTCGCGCCTACAGGACAGGAAGTCGGTTCGGATATTCAGGAATTAATTATGCAACATCAGAATCACTCGACATCGACTGGTGAGTTCATTACAAGCTTACAATAAATACTTAATTCGAAATGAAACGTTTTCAGCTGCGAATCTAACGGTTTTGAATTCTTCGTATCATCATTTCGGCGCGGCGGAGGCGGCGGAATTTCATCAAGCCCATCCGTCGCACGCGCAACTCGCTAATGCGAATATCAATCATCGATCGACCGGCGGAAGCAATCCTCAACCGCCGAACAATCCCATCGTTAATCATCACATGCTTACGACGGTCAGGTCTAATCCTTCTACATCGACGGCGGCCGCCGTCGCCGCCGCTATGATGTTGGATCCTAGATTTCATCATAATTCTGCGGTAATTAGTTCGAGCGCTTATACAGGGTGTCCCGTGATTAGATAGACGTAGCTTAGGAGGGTCGAAAATGCGTTATACTTTGTGCAAAAGTACTAGAAATTATTCTAGTAGGCCAAGTAATTGTTATGGTGTCATCATGGTGGATTGGAAGAGGAGGTCCTGTTCCTTGGCTTCCGAGATCGCCAGACCTAACACCTCCGGACTATTATCTTTGGAGACACTTAAAAAGTTTTATGTATTCTATTTCTTGTATGTCCATCGAGTCACAGGACACCTTGTATTTGATATTATTATATTACTTCTAAGTATGACTTATAACTCTTGTAGGTGCCGTACCATCCGTCGAGTACTCCGGTGTCTATGGCTATGGCTGCAGTTCAGTCGTCTCAGATACAGTCTACGAATCAACAGTCTTTGCAAAATTGTTTACCGTTGTTTTAATAAGTCTTTCGTTGTATGGGATATTAAAGACTTGTAAGTTTAAGGTCGTTTAGCGACTTAGTATAAAGACCAAGTAAAAGACGTCTCCTTAAGGGAAGAAACTTGTATTAAAGTTACAATAGGTATTTACGTATTGCGTATTTACGGTAATGCTTGTTTATTTTGTGCTGTAAGGGGTTAATTAGAAAAATATTTGATAGAATTGAGTTGTTTTTGATTAACTCTTCTGTATGTTTAACTGTAGTGTCCTATCGTTCATTTGAGAATGTTATGAGCTAGTCGAATGAAATCTGTACAGATAGAAAAATTGAAAAGTAGGGTACATTTGCAATGTGAAATATATAAAAATTTGTTCTCACGAATTACAAATAACTTATTTACGTAATAAATATTGCTTCAAATACATTTTTGTTTAATAAATTCCTAAATAAAATCAGAATTAGGGGCTACTTAACCACCATTTTAGCAATGTGTTAATAAGCAAATTAAAAAATCAAAACAGTTACAGAAAACACGTTTTTATTATTTTTTATGTTAACAAAATTTTTCATTTCAAAATAGTTAAAAGATAATTATTTGAATGCATAGAAAATAGTCGAGTTTCTCTGGAACATGCATTCAAAATATCACAATGCGTAATGTTTAAAACATATTTCGAGACCAGTCTAAATTGTTACAAATAAATGCATCTAATGTCTTAATCCGGCAGGGCTCAAAATAAACGAAAGGAGTTTTATTGAAAATTGAACAAAAATCGAGCGTAAGTACAAAATTCGCTTTACCATATAATTAAAAAAGGCAAGGAATTTTTTATGATGAATTTTAATGGATCCATCGAAAAGTAGATGTTAATTTATTCGCAAATTATGTTGTGGTTATCAAACAACTCCTATTTAAAAAAATTACCATTTAATAAAAATCGGTTTGTTTAATTCAAAGTTCAAACGATATGAAAAATAAACTTTCGTTTGACTTATTACCTATCTTTTAACTAAATAATAGCCTACAAAACAAGATTTAACTTTTGCCCTCTTTTATTGGTTTGTTTGTTTGTACTTTCGATTGAGACTTTTCTTTATTACTATTAGCTACTGTGTCATTTTCCGATTGATCTTTCTGTTTAATAGACTCAACTTTTATACCAGCGGGTATATAAGAATCCTCTTTCTCCGAATGATATATACTCTTAGATTCCCTCCTCTCTTGTTCAGATTGCCACTCCACCTAAAAAATACAATTATAATCTCCTATTTAACAGAAACGATTCAATGTTTTGGATCTTTGAACTTATAACGTACTTTCTGTTTGTGCTGTTTAACGTGATCTTTAACTTTATCCAACACCATTTTCTCTGTAAGAACTCCATCTTCGGATGAATAAGCTGCTGCCTGCCAAGCTACACCTAATTTAGCAATTTCTCTTCCAGACATGCCCTCTGTTAATTGGGCCATTTTGCTACAAAGGGCGCTATAATCGAAGTTATCCACCTTCAATCTCCTGAAACGCAATTCGGTATCATGTAATATGCATTTAATTAACCACTTAATTTCCAGTTTCTTACCTAATACCTTCGGTCGCTGGTTCCAAAACGAATTTCTGGAAGTATAATCTGATCAAACGTTCTCTTTCTGCCAGACCGGGAAGATCGAATTCCACCATCTCATCTAAACGATCGTTAACAGCCCAATCGAATTGCTCGGGCGTGTTTGAAGCCAACACAAGCATAAACTTAGGGCTTTGCTCTCCCGTTCGGTATAAGAATGCGTTAAGACTCGCTCTAAGATCCTCTGAAATATTTTCAGATGACCTTTTGCGCAGGAATGCGTCAGCTTCATCAACGAACAGAATCAATCCTAAAAAATTATGTAACAAATTGGTATGTTATATGTTATTTAAAATTATCCCTCTACCTTTTCTCGTACTGTTTGCCCAATCGAAAACTTTGTGGATTGCTGTAACACCATCTCGTCCCATCGGAGCTATATCTCCTCCAGTCAAAATGGCGTAATCCATTCCAGAATGTCTCGCCAATTTCTAAATTAATTAATTCAAAATAAATAAGATATTTCATGCTTGCATTTATGCATTTACTTTAGCGAACATAGTCTTTCCTGTACCAGGTGGCCCGTGCATAAGGATGTTCCTGTACAATCCCTTGTTCTGCTTTGTGTTTTTCGTAGCTATAGCGACATCTCTCAATCTTTCTTCCAGTTTTGGTGCTAATATGATACCGGAAAGGGCGTCAGAGTCCGTCTTTTTGAGGCTCTTAATAGTTTCGATTGGATGTTTGGCACTTTCCAATAAAGAAAATCTGGAAGTTTCTCTTACTAACGACGGTTTACCTTAAAAAGTAAATCATATTAGTCATTAGGATATTTTGAATAAATTGTTAACTGATTGAATACCTAGTCTAGATTCGATATATCTGGCAGTGATAGATGTAGTTCCTTTAGCTGTGTATACACCGAGTGCTAATAAAGATAATCCACCAGCTGCTGTAAGTACTTTATTCCAATCGGTCAAGAAAGTTTGAACTCCTGCACCCAACACCGAACCAGCAGTCCTAAAAAAATATTATTATCAAGTCCTAATAATTTGTAAATACCTCATTGTCTAATTCAATGTTCAACAAGAATTTACTTTATGCTTTCCAGTACAGTGACTCTATTTTGTTCTGCTTTCAGCCTGATCTGTTCCAAAGTCAAATCCCTGTTTTCCCTATCGATTTTTGCTTTAGCTTTTAATTCCGCCTCAACTCGTTTCATTTCATTTTTGTGTCTCAGTTCCATCTCGTGCTCGATGGTAGCTTTTCTCATTGCTTCTTGTTTGGCCACCGATTCCTCTTGTCTTCGAAGATTTTCATCGTTCATACGTTGCTGCTGGATTAGCTGATCATCGTATCTATAATTATAGTGTAAAGGAAGAATGAAGTAAATAAGTATTATTTGAATTATCACCTTTTTCTCGCTAACTGATCTTGGTACTGGGCCCTATTTTGATGTTGTCTGGTTTCCTCTTGCAGAAGTTTCCTTTTCTCTTCTGCTTCGGCCCTCTTAGCTTCGATTTGCATCTGAGAAATATGCGCTTCATATTCTTTAATTTTGGCTTGTTGCTCCACTTGTCTGGTTTGTTCTTGAAGTTTGGATAGTTCCAAAGCATCTTTAGCGTGTCCTGTGAAACATTAATATCATTTATATTCATTTCTCTAGTATTTTGAAGTTACATAACCTCATTGCACTCACTTGATTTTTCCAATTCTCTTGCAGCTTGCGCTGCTCTTTCGAGGGCTGTTGAATCGAATCTGTACGCCTCCATCGCCTTACGTTCGGCTTTCGTTAAACTCGGGGGCTCCTTGTCTCCCCCGGAACTCCCTCCAGCACCATCCGGCGAGCCTAGACCTAACTGCGACAGATCAGGAGCTTGGTCTTTATTTCTACCATAGCCGAATATCCAGGACATTTTGAACAGTAATTACGAAAAACAATTTTGATTTTTGGACGAAGGACAATTTTTAATTTAACCAAAAAATGATTGAGGTTAAATTTTTAACATGTGTCGATGGAATTGACACGGAACACGGAACACTTATTAGATTAGAAATTACAGAACATACGACAATTTTGGCAAGTTTCTATAACACAACTTTTGATTTTAGTTGTTTTCAGAATTTGTTAATAATTTGTTAATTTATTATTGTAAATTACTAGCTAAATCTGTCATCAATAAATAAATTAATAAAAAATTTAAAAACATTCAGACGAAAACGAAGAAATATGTGACTAACTTCAACTTCAAGTGTGTTTTTATTTCATTCTTGACATGTGACACTGACATAAATATAAAAAAAGTCAAATTTTTATTTATAAAATATTTTTTGTTAGTATAATGTGAATAATATGATCCAAAAATGCTGCGTAATTTGCAAAACATGTATTTATTTCAACTTTTGTACATATTCTGTGCTAATTTAGTGTATATTTTAGATTACTGTCCACTTCTTCTGGATTTCAGTTACATTGGTTTCGAAATTTTACATCTACAGAAATTTCCACAGCTTTGAGACCTTTTTATTTTACCGTTCACCCCGATTTGTTTGGACAATATCCTATTGAAAGAGTACGTGAAATAACTTACATGAAATTGTACTGAATCTGTTGTATCTTGCAGGCTATAAATGAATCTTCTTTGCAACAGTTAAGTTCCATTTTAGAAAATATTCAAACCTCCAAACCTATTCGACCGATTAATTTAGATTTTTATATTAAGGATAAATCACAGGAAAAAGGTATTAAAGCTTGATAAGTGCCATTTGATTTTATAATTAAAAGCTATAATTTTTAGGGACTTTTCGTCTTATAAAGATTAATATTAGAGGTAATGACATCCGCTCAACTTTGACTAATATTCTTAAAAGTAGCGGGCTTCCAACTGATTACGTTGAAAGTATTGTTCAACAACCTCCAATAGTACACCAATACAATTTAAAGGTATGTAGTTATTTTAATGTTTTTTTTATTAGGAGTATGCAGTATACTACTGTGCTGTGACAATAAAGTACCCGGAATAAAGTATCAAGATACAGAAATTTGAAACAGTTAATTATATCAAGTGCAGATAATTAAAATCGGAATTTCCGGGTACTTTTTTGTCAGAAGATAAATATTTCTGCTCAATTGTAACGAGTAATGCTTATTCCACAGGTTAAATATCAAAATGACATTGATTTTACAAAAATGAACGAAAATCATCCAATTTATGCCCATATTAAGATGCAGAGAGACATTAGAGAAGCTCAAGAAAATTTAAAATTGAGCAACTATTTAGTAAAGAATTTTTCCGAAGCTCTAATAAAATCTCGCAAAAGCGACTTGCATAGGTAAAAAAAACAATCTATTGAAAAAATAAAATTGCTTTGGACAATTAAAAGAGGTATTTTTTAGAGAAGAAGTTAAAAAATTACAAGAATATTTAACAGAGACATTGCAAGTTGCTGAAATTCGCTGGGAGAATCACTGGAATGAGGAACACTATAAAGGCTGCCTGTTAAGTTTTGAATCTTTGTTAAAACATCACCCTAATATTAAAGACATTTTAAAAGGTACTTGAAAAATAATGTAAATTATTTGTATTTTTTAAAAGTGTTTTAGGAAGAATTCTGGTGTTTTCTTCATTTACTGGTTTAAGCTTAGATGGACATATAATGCTCAATAGTGGAGAAGTACGTCACAATTGGTTGGATGTAAGTAATACGAGTTAATTTGTTACATTTTGTAAAATAATTTATTATTTTCAGTTCATAAAAAATGTCGATAAATACGAAGCAGCCCTAAAAAGAATTCCAATATTTGAAAAATCGTTGTCGCACGTCTTAAGGAACATAAAAGTTTCCCGTAGGTAAAAGCAAAGAAATAAACAACTGTTCATTTTCAAAACAGCCAAGTTATACAAGGTGTTCCATAATGACATGTTAATATGTGATTCTTGGACTCATTTTAAGAAAAAAATATCATGAATATATGATATGTGAAATGCATATTGATTCATAAAAGACATATGCCAAATTTCATAAAGGTATCTACAAATAGTATCACTGATATAAAAAATATGTATTTTTCAGAAAACTTTACTACCCTGTGTCTCAAAAGTTAAGACGTTTAGGACATAGGTTCATGTCAAGTTTTTTCTTAAAATGGATCCAAGAATCACCCCCTTAAATATTACCATGTCTTTATGAAACACCCTGTGTTTTTAGGAAATTCATGCCGAAAATAATGGCATACCAGTACGAACAAAATCTGAAACAAATAACCACATCACTGAGTGATTATGTTGGTCGTAAACCGTTTCCGAAAGAGTGGCCATCGAGTTTAGAAAATTTTGAAATCGTCGTTGAAACGTAAGAAACAAGTTTTATTTACTGCTGCAAATATTTTTATTATCTAACATAACTTTTAGAGAAGCTGGTCCTGTTATGGTTTCGCCTACTGGGCAATTCATTGTACCTTCCACAATACCCGGTTCGTTGTTAGTTAATTTTATAACTAATAATTTAAATGTAGCTAGCGAAAAAATGAACGAATACAAAAGGTAATAGTAATTCTTATTGGGTTTAATATTTCTCAATTCGGTTTAATACATTTTTAGTAACAAACATTTGGAACGGGCCTTAGTGAAAACTTGCCTAGAAGAGTTAGATTTGGCCGTTTTGATGAAAGAAGACAACGTTACTCCGGATCAAATGATCAAGTGCTGCAACAAATTGTTGGAGAACAAAAGCGTTATTTGCCTCTACACCAAAGATCTGCGATTAAGTATATCCAGTTATTATTCAGTTTTATCTGATGGTTTAGTTTGCATACCTTGGAATTTCGTATTATGAATATGTATTAACTCGAATTTAGTTCGCGTAGATAGGATCAGGTTAGAGACATTTCGTAGATGTAAAAAAATGTTTTTATGTGTTCACAATATAAATAATAATAGGTAAATAAAATCTAAATTTTTATGTGTAGTTGAAATGTAGTTTCTCCGAAGTATACAATCTCTTCTTATACGAAGAGATTTCTTCGACAGCATTTTTATACTGAAAACAAAATGATATAATAATTATGTAATTGTTACATTAATTCGTTACCTCGATTTTTCTTTAGGTACGTCTTTTTGTAAAAATTTCCAAAAAGTAACAACATGAAAACATTTTGCGGCACGAAAAAAAAGGACGCTATTTTGGGGTAGGCACAGTCTTGGAACAACAACTTCGCGTAGATAATTATAAATGTCAAAAATTGAACCTGCAAATAATCAAAAGTAGTTTCAAAATCCCGTATCCCGACGTTCCATCATTCAAAATTCCATTGCGGACATTTCATCACAGCGACAATTCATCACTACGACTATTCATGACTATTCATCGCACCTACTTTAAAAAGAAAAAATGTATGTAAAATTAAAACAAAAGTTTTGGGGACAAAATTATGTAATGGTTGTGTTCCCAATTTTTTTAAGTAGATATGATATATAATCGTAGTGATGAATAGTGGTAATGATGAATTGTCGCTGTGATGGAATGTCGCGTGATGAATAGTCGTGGAATCCAAAATCTCTATCATTAAACTCTGAACAAGTCTTACTTACCATTTGCACTTGCGTAATGAACTTTTTAAATTTAACGCTAGTCTTCCACGATTTGTCTATCGACGACAGGAGGTAGTATAAGTACATAACGACGTGTACTATCCCATTGATTAGTCCCACCCAAGTACCGGAACCACCGGAAAAAAATTTAACCACTAACCACATCAACAAAGTCATTCCGAAGTGGTGGTAAACGTGCAGGAACGTGACTTGTTGGTACTTTTTTCTTAAAACGAAAAATACCTAGAAGTCGAACAGAAATCGATAAATTACGGTGGAATGTTTTTTTATCTTTAGGTGAATCAAAAATTAAGTAAATATAAAGGAAAATTTTTTAGGGGCATAAAACATATAATACGTATTGTACGTACAGTATCGAATAAGTCCAAGACTTTCATCAAGAAAAAAAAGTGATACATTCGCAACATCCACAAACTACGAGGCGTTTTTGAATAAGTTATCGGCTGACATTTCCAATTCATGTAGAACCAAATTTCGATGAATGCCTGAAACATGTTTACGAGATCATTAATTAAAATATACAGGTATTTTACTAGTAGGAATAGAAGTATTAGAATTTTAAATTCGATCATTGTTCCGATTGAATCGAGGGTTATTTACCCGCAATACTTACCTCGTAGGCGATATATGTATTGGATATAATTTGTGTTAGATTGAATGTAATTAGAACCCATTTTAATTCGAAAGGCTTGCGGTTTTTCATAAGTCTCGGGCCCAACTTATAAGTGAAATGTAGATATGAAAATAATATCGCGGCTATCACTAAAGGGGATGACATTAAAAATAAACCGAGTTCATTCACACGTTCATCTGAAACAGGAATATTTTAGTATTTAAGACACTGTATTATTAAATTTTTATGGGGATACACAGTGACAAAAAAGTACTAGATCAATAAGAGCAATAATTTTCAAGCTATACTTTTAATTTAGTGATTTAGTGAAAAAAGAACTGAAGAAATCTATTTAGCAATTATCTACAATTTCGTTTCTCTTAAAAATGACAATAACTTTTTTGCTATACGATGAAGAGTACCTTATAAAAATTCCTTCGGTAAGCTTAACCTTGCAATATTGTGAACTATATTATTATCAAAAGCACTAAGGTCAAAGCCTTTGTTGTAGCAAGAAAATACCGATTTACAACACAATGACCGAGTATTCCATTATGTTTCGATCAAATGAAATTCATTAAAATCCACTGCTTAGATTTAGTAACTGCATTCCAGTAATTATGAACGTTTCAAGTTCGATTCAAGTACAAAAACCAAATAAATTATTATGTACCCTACGTTATGAATTAATATATTATTTATAAGTTTTTAATATGTATCTTATTAACATCAAATTGGGAATAATTAATTTTAATCGAGCTTAAATATTAAAAGATATTTGAAATTAAATAGGTACAAATTTTTGTAGACACAATAAATTAAGTATTTCAATTGACTTAAATAAAAATAATTTTAACTGAGATGAGATAGGTCGAGAAGTACGTAACTGTTTACTAACTTATAACAACATAAATAAATTAAATATAATAATAATAATGTACCTAATGAAACTAAAAACTGTTAAAAGGAACTAGTAGAAGAGATAATTTGAGCAACACTATTAGACCAATAGATGAAAATTTTTAAAAGCTTGTCTACAATAAATTTTAATAAGCTAATTCTAGATATAACAGAAAAACTCACCTGCCAAGTCGTCGAACAAATAAAAATAGTTTACGAAAAGCCTCTTTAGAACTAACGCCATTCCGAATCTTGTACAAAATTTTCTCCGCGATAATATACTTTATCTTCATGCCCCTCGAAAAGTAAATGTCATTTAACGGAACCAATACAAAAATTTCAATCATCAATGCGCTATTTAATGAAACCATTTGCATAAATGAATGATTAATAACAAAAGGTAATGAACTTTTAGATTTCTTACATAGACCACAAAATATGTGCTTGTTAAGATTCGTTTTGTTATAACATGAATAAAACGAGGAAATAATTTATAAACATGAATCGGACATTATATTTGCAAACTTTTACTAACAAAATTTGCATGTTTAGAGAGCAACTTATTTGGATAATTGCGAGTACGACTCGCCAAGCCTCAAGCCTAGTGTAAACGAGACTTTGGATCAGTTTTTTAAGTACATGGTGGAACTTTTTCATACTAATGTGCCACCCTGTATATGGAACAGTACATATAGTAAATTAATTATAATTCGTTAAGCAGGTGATTTTTGTTAGCCTAAAATTGCTTATTTATCTTATCCCACTTTTAAAGATGAATATATTTACGGAGTAATAATCGAAAAATCATTTTTTTGAATTTAAGTGACTATCGAAGCTATTAAACTTAAAAGTTCTAGGCCATAAACTTTTTATAGCACCCGGTTAATAACATATCTAAATAACTAATGAATAATTCAGGATTCTAAAAGGTTATAACTATTTAAATGAAACCGATATCCGCTAAAAATTAATTTATTTCGTTTTTCTTTTAATACAAGTTAATGAACTACAAATAATATTTGGTATTTTAGACACTACATTTCTGTGCCAAAATTATTAAAACAATTTTTCAGCTTTCTAAAACACCAATATGGGTTGATTAAAATACACTTTTTACAATAAAAAAAAATAAATTAATAAATATATTGATTTTAAAGCATTTTAATATTATTGCTAGAATTTGGTGTAGGAGCCGTCTAATATCACTTAGAAATTATTCCTTTCCGCTGGATTTTTATACAAGTAAACTCATCAGTTAAAGCAAAAATGATCGTAATCATTGCGACGATACCTTTCTTAATCACTACCCATTTATTTCAAGATTCGAAAATCATTGTTAATAAATAATTGAATCGATTATTGCAGTTTATGTAAATTGTGTTTACATATGCTGACTAACGATAAGTGCTTCGTCTCAGTACCAACTGCGTATATTTTCGTCGATAAATGAAGAAACTCGCGATATTGAATTTAAAATATAACCCAAAAAAAACTCCTCCGCTATTCTGCTCTGCGCCGTGCCTAATTAGTACAAAATAGCGTGCCAATTTACACATTACAATTAATTTTTCCAGGATATGGTTCATGAAAATCTTATAGTATAAATCAGTACACACTATAGAAATCCGACAGCTTCATAAAAATCGTTTCGAAAGATTCCCATAATTGTAAAACAATTTTAATAGCCAAAACCTGATCGTAGGATAAACAAGCTCAGTATCGTGGAAGGTCTACGTTTTCCGTCTCTTTCGATGAGGCATCTCATCCAATTGCGTTGCATTTCTACTCCAATCTCTCCTCCTTGCATCAGATTTGTTCAAATGCGACCACCTATGCGAAGAATTACTACCAACTCCTGAAACATTAAATGAAGAAAGACGTTTCAGAAGAAATTAATACTCTTACCTTCTACGTTTTTTCCTCTGTAAAGTTTTTGACTGTTGCCGGATGTCATTTGAACATTATATCTGGGTTTTATTTTCAAATGATGTCCGTTGGGTTGTGATAAAGTGCACGACTTCCCTTTGCAGGCCATCAAACGAACCAAGACGTCGTGTAAATAAGATCGTTCTTCAGGCTTCAAAGAGTCCACTCTGTTTTGCAGCTCAAAAGGATCTGAAGCGGATAAACATTCACACACTCGCCCTTTTAGCTTATTCGTCAATTAATTTACCTATTCTTAGATTGTAGAAAGTGACGAAACCGGTGGTGAACTCGCAGTAGAGGAAATTGTGCGTCGAATTGATGGTCCTCACGCACGAGTAGGTGTTGTTGTTGGCGTTCATGCACACGCAGAACGGCCCGCCCGTCCACAGCGGCGCCGTCTTCCAGTGCTCGTTGTCGTGATGGAAGCAGTTCATCTTCTCGAAGCCGCACTCTCGCATCAGCTGCTCCTTCTTGCGCATCTTGCGCAGCTTCTTCCGCAGCTTCTCCTCCTTCAGCCGGCGCTTGCCCTCGACGTCGAGGTCCTTGTCGTCGGCGGCGCGCGGCGCCTCGTTCTCGCAGTGGCACAGGTTCGGCTTCGTCCTTCGACGGGACAGCGGGATCACCTGGCTGGACTGAAATCCGTTATCACCAGTTAGTAAATCTATCCTTAGGAATGTCTCCAAGAAAGTGTAATATACCCACCGTTTGAACTTTCCTGGACCTTGAAGTAGTGGTATCACTAGGGCGAGTGGTGCTAGAGGGTGGTTTCTGTGTAAATTTATGCCGGTGTCTGTGATGTATTGGGAAGCTATTGGGAAACGTGGTTGTTTCGGTTGAGTTTTTGTTAGGAACATCAGTAGTGGAGGCGTCCGGAACCACATCGAAATTGGGTCTCTTCTTCCTTTTTTTGCTGTTAAATCTGCTGTTATTGACGGACATAGGTCTGTATATGTTTGGTTTGCTGGGAATATCGACGGGGGCGTTGCCTCTGGCGAAGAGCAGCTCGTTGAACGAGCTCAATTCCGAGGAGTTCGATCTTTCGACGGCGCCGGGCGGTCTGGTGTTTTTCAGATGCCTCCTGATCTCTTTCAGCGTCTCCAGTTTGTGCTTGAGTTCCTGTATCTCGTTTTCCACTTTGTGCCTGGACAGCCGCCACGTTTTCTTGTCCCTGTAGATGTCGTTGGTGCAGGTGATTTTGCCTTTGCGCACGAAGCACGCCGGCCTGCCGATGGAATTCGTCGACAATTCCGTTCTAACGTTCGGCAACGAGCCCAACGTTTCGTTTTCGAGCTGGAATTTAAATGGATTTATTGGTCGATTCGGATTTATGCGGCGAGTGGGGTTTACTCTGAGATCGTGAATTTGCTCTTCTACGTCTTCCATGGATTTTTCCAAGTGGGCCAAGTTTAACGTTCTCTCTTCCCTCGTCAGGAAATGGGGCTCGTTTAAATCCTCTTCGAATAGCATTTCGTCCAGGTCGGAATGACGCTTCAATCTCAGAGATTTTCTTGAAATGGTCTGTAACTAAAAATTAAAGCTTGCCATTTCATTCCATAAGTTAGTTGAATGAAACGCTTACCGGTAATCTTTTGTATATCAAGCCGTTTTGAGTGAAACAAGCGCATTTTTTGTATGCCTTCGGCGAAGGCATTGGGATGATATCTTGGTTGGTGGAGGGTTTGCATTTTCGCCTGCGCCATTTTCCGTTATCATTTTTGCAGAACCATTTTTGGCCTCGTTTACAAGGCAACCTCATGTCCGATCGCAGGCATTCAACTGCTAACCGCTCCATTTTAGAAGGGGGTAACACGGGCAGCAACCTGTTGTCCAATTGCATATCCCCTGTAAAAGCAACGATTAATAACCGTAGCAGGATTGAGGGGAAAAATCTCACCTTGACCAATTTTCGAAAACGCCATACCGATGTTATCTAAATTAGTCTGCTCTTCCAAATCCTCTATGATATCGTCATTGGAATTTTCTATGTCTGCTTCATCGTCTTCAATTTCATCGTCGTCCTCCTCGTTTTCGTCATCATCGTCCGTTTCTACGTGCGTATCCGGAGAAAAGTCTTCCGAAGAATCGTAAACTCTCGACGATTCGGTCGATGAGAAGTAGGACGTCGCATCGGAGGTTTCCGAATAATTGGAAAATGTGAAATTTTCGGTGATTTCCGAATGATCCACGGTGAAGTTGGTAAATGATGCGTTGGAGTTTTTAGCGTTTTTGGATCTGTCGTGAGGAATTTCCCGTCGTCCTGAACTGAAAAGTCATTTTGCATTAAGGAATTGAAATGGACACCAAAATAATCCAAAGAAAAAATAGCCACAAACGCAACAGTTTCGGTAAAATTAAAAGCATTATTTATTGTATTTCCAGAGTTTCCAAGACATTTTTTTCATTCATTTTAAACTTTGTAAAGTCATGATAATATCGAAAATTACCGCGTTAATATGGAATATGGAGTAAAGGTAACCACCACAGGTTCCCTTCCAAAATTTGCTGAGAAGTGGTGCTAATTAAAACTTGTAGCGTGTCTTGTAGTGTGATATGTTCTTTTCTATTTTGTCAGGTTTATTTTGTCTTGGATTATTTTGACTGGGTACTATAAGAACTATCACTTTGTTGTATATTTTTGCTTTTTTTGGAACAATTATTTTACTCAATTGGTTAGAACGATGAAAATTCTTAACTCAAGATTGATATTTATTGCTTGAAAATTCGAACGGAGGAAGTCGCAATTGCGATTAAATGTGAAATTAAGCCAATTGAAAAGGAAAAGTGCCAATTTAGTGCAATATTCCGAGACAAAAACAAATTCATTACAATTGTTAATAATCTCGGTGAAAATATTGCCGATACTTTTAATCTATTTAATAGTTAATTGGTTAATTTTACGAATCATTTCAAATAAATCGTTACTTATGTAACAAAATTGATTATAGGGATATGAAGACGAACGAAACACAACTTACTCAATTATCAATTCAAAATGACACATAATTGTTTACAAAAAATAACGCTTTGTAATAATTAGGGGAATGCAAATTCGATTTGGTAATTTTTGGTGTATGATCATTACAAATTATCTTTTTTTAATAATAACAAAAAAGTTAAATGCATCTCATTGCACGAACTGAGTGTAATGTTAAAAAATGTTAAAAAATGTTAAAAAATGTAAAAAAATTAATAATACCTTAAAAACTTTCTAAACCATTCTTAAAGGATACCAAGCTTAGTCTTAAAAAATCCTTGAAATTACGCATGCGGATAATTATTCGGTATCAAAACACTTATTATTGTTACATCATACAAAAAAATCTTGAATAACGTTATTAATAAGTTGTAATAAAATGTGACTGACCTTTCGATTAAAAACGTATCGGGCCATCTGTTTTTCCTCCTCTTGGCAGTGTGAAACAGCGGCAGGACCGACCGCCCGTCCATGTGTTGCGGCGGCTCCACGCCCGCCATGTCCAAAAACGTCGGCGCCAGGTCGATGTTCAGCACGATATCATTGACGATCGTGCCGGGTTCGACGCCGGGACCGCGCACCAAAAACGGCACCCTCACGTCGAACTCGAACGGGAAGCTCTTTCCCTGCGAAACCGCCATTTACTAACTCACCGTAAATTCCATATCAAATTAATTTTTGGCAATCCCTTTCCTTTAATCATTCTAGAGGACGTAGACAACTACATAACTTTTGTCTATCAAAACTACAAATTGCACATGGGACGAGTGTTAAACAGACAAGCGAACATTCTTGGCGTTGTCTTAAAAATCATTTCAATGCAGAGCAGAGTAGAGCAGGGAATAGAGAGTAGAGGGAGTAAAGTAGGTAGTAGAGATTAGAAAGTAAAGGTTAGAGATAATAGAGTAGTGAATTCAGAGACTCATATGTTCCGACACCATGGTAGAGAGTTGATTAAAGTAATGTGGGGAATTCCGGTGTGGGATTAGTGCAACAAAATTCGGATTAAGTAAAATTCAGCTAAATTCAGAGTGCTTTCGGATAATTACCAGCAAAACGCTTACCTTAATCAATCCGAACTGGCCCAAGTGGTATCCGTGGTCGGAGGTGTAGATTATGTAAGTGTTGTCCAGCTCGCCGAGATCTTCGAGCTCTTTCACCACCCTCTGGACGGCGTCGTCGACGGACTGGAGCGTCTGGAGGCGCTTCGTCATCAGCAAGTCGGTGAATTCGCGGTGGATCGGTGCCATGTTCTTCGTTATTTTTAATATCCACTGTTTGTCCGGATTCGGCGCGTAGTCGTAACTAGGCGTACTGGAAACGGTCAAAATTAAATAATCAATGAAAAAATTGCCGTTGTGCAATGGTCTAAATATTTAATGCACTTCATGGTAATGGATGTAAACAGCACAACTGGTTCATCTACATAGGTTGAATTATTCGTAAAGAGAAACAAAGAATCTTTGGAGCTGATGAGAAAGAAAGCGGGTATTATCCGTGTAGTGATAGTTCGAAGATTTTTCAAAAATTCTAAATAAGTTTTTTCTGAGAGTTTTTTCAAGTTTATGTAGCTCTTGAATCATCTCTTTAATCTTATTTTTTAAGTTCCATTCCAAGTTTTTAATTTCAACGGTTATTCAAAGGAATTTATAGAATTGTAAAGATGACTTGATTGTTTGTTTTCACGATTTCATTTAGTAGTTTTTGTGTGCATTTTCAATGTATTGGGACTATTATGAAAGAAAAAAATTAAGTGAGATAAATTGTTTGATAATGTTGTTTGATAACGTCCTGATATCTCGAGGCCTTAGGAAATGGACAACACGAAGTACCGAAACTACAAATCACCGAGTGATCATGTGCGTTACAAATACGCGTTTTTTTAATTGAATCGTAACAGTTAAAGAGCAGAAACCGTGACTAAAGAGACCTGTCCGGTCGATGACAATGCGACCATGAGAACGACCAATGTGCCGAGCCATAACCGAGGGTGATTTGGCGGAAAACGGGATTTCGAATAGCGCATAATGAAAAACGAGTTCGGCACGTTAAATCGAACGCGATTATCTCGATTTTCAACGGACGTTCCTTGAACTCATTAACTGATCATTGATTGTCGTCGACGCGACCGAATGAAAATAACGCGTTTCAAAAAAATGACCGAGTCAAGAGGCGAGAGTGAAACGGCATTTGCTATTAAAACAAATAAATAATCAGCCATAACTAAAGCGGACATTTCGCAATAAAATCACTAGTAAAATGGCAATAAAATTCCGCGCGTGATGGCATATTTAACTTTCCTAAGAAACTGCATACCGGGCACTCGGCGTGAGGAACAAACCGAGTAAATTTATCGTTGTATTGTCTACGCTAAATGTTTTTCTTCGGCGAATACCTAAATTAACAGAAACGCTTGAAGTTTTATTCGAGAACCTCCACGAAAAGAGTGGAGTAAAAACGACGAAAAAGAAACACACAGAAACTCATTAAAAACGAAGAAAAATCAACTATCTCTCGAGAATCCTCAGGATAAAAGTTCATTTTACGAAATAGTAAAGCACAATATACTAATCACAAAGGAATGATTTTATTAAGGACCACATTGTATAACCATTCTTATCGCTATTATCCAGAATATTACAACTATTCTCTAATAATTCCCCTCGTGACTCGAATGTATAAACCCGTCGACTTGATATGCTATCTGTCTATATATCACTTCCCGCATATTCACATCATAGGTAAATCCATTGAAATTCGCGCTAACTGTGCAATACAATATTCGGCGTTTCACGCACAATCGCACACTTTCTCTTTGTCTCCCCGTAACCCGTGAATGTTTGTGTGTATTTCGAACGGCGTCGCCGTTAATTTCGAATCCAAATATTTGTTTTGCGAATACTGCATATGCATTTAAAGGTACTTACTGGTGCGAGGATACGTTGAAAAACATGTTGGAAAACTGAGGAGCGGAATCTTCGGGGCCGTGCGGTGCCGGAAAGGACATGGTGAGCATTATCGGCTTGTACTGGTACTGCTTCTTCGAATGTCTCAAAAACGCGATGGAATCGTTCGCTATTAGATCGGAATAATAATCCTGAAATAACAGAAACATGTAGAACTTTGTAGCTCTTGGTGTATAAGCTTTACTGAAAGTGTTGTTTACAAAAGGATTTGCAGGAATTGAGGTTTATGTTTATCATTTTATACTAGGGACGGATGTAAATTGGGCGCAAAAGGGAATATAAATTTTAATCCAATAGGTAAATTGGGCGTAGAGAATAAAAGGTTCTTTTCAGATAATTTTTCACAAATAATTTTTTTGTGTGGGTACTATTTAAGTACCGACTAAATTCATTGATAATGGTTTTATTAAATAACTCATGTGTACCAAAATGCAACTTTTTACCTTTTGATAATCGAATCCATGCTTGATTTTCTTTCCATTCATATTAATCGAATAATTGTAGTACTTGGAATTCATAATTAATCCGCCCCATTCCCGCCAGCCGGGAGGAATGTATGAACCGTTATATTTGTTTAAATATTTTCCAAAGTAACCTAAAAAACGAGCCAATTAAGTTATTTTTGTCAATGATTACAAAAAAAAACAACCACGTTAATTGGAATCAATGAATAAACGGATAAGCCGAATTATCAAGTCAAACAACATCGAAATTAAAATTATCAAAACACGCAATGATAAATGTAAAAATAAATAAATAACAAAATAAGTACTTGTGGAAACATGGGACATTTCTGTTCACAAGAGTCGTTTATCTGGCCAATCTAGACACTGCGCTCGTATTAGTGTGTCCCTGGATGGAGTTGACGAGAGAAAAAAATCATTCTTTATATAAATCCTGCTTATGGATAAAACAAGTTTGCCTTATCCTAGAAAATATGTGCAGGGTGTCGCTGAAGTAAAGAAACTTTAAAATGAGTCAAGAGAGAAGTACCATTATTTTAAATATTTTCAGAGTAAACTTTTTTTAAAAGAAGTCGTTTTCTTTCAAATTAATATACAAGTACACACTTTACAATCAAAATTCGAACTTTTATAATTTATTTCTAGAACAAAAGTAAAGACTAAATACATTTCCAAAAAAAATGGTCAATTTAGTTAATAGATTTAAATTTCACAATGTTTGTTGTGCGTTCTCTATTAGAATTAGGTATAAAAATACAAGGTGTCCCAGTGAAAAGTAGCCCATTTTTGCAGTATGTTCAAAGTTAAATATCTTCTCTATTTCTTAAGATAACATGTACAAATTATACATTTTTGAAAAGTAGAAGAGTGTATCTTTTAGATGACGTTGAAATATACAGGGTGTCCCATTTGATAACATTTGGTTAAGGTGAATTGAAGGATTTTGATAAAACACCCTGTACACGTGATACACAATTTCTGTGTTGCTGTAACAAAAGTTATAGCAAAATTAAACATATCTGCGAAAACCGCATGTTTTTATGATAAGGCGTTTAAAAGTTAAATTAAAAGCCCGATTAAATGGGCTACTTTTCATTGGGACACCCTGTATAACAGAAAATAATAAATAAGAATGTATACATGAGAATCCACATTTTAATGAGGCAAACTTATATTTCCAACAAGCAGGATTTTTTATAAAGAATGAAATTTCCTTCGTTACGAAGTTTTCCTCTCATCAACTCGCTCCAGGGATACACTGTAACTGTAAGTATGTTATCCAAAATGCAGATAAAATAAATGTTACTAATCACCACGTTGTACTATTACCTATTGAAAAGCATTTAACAACAAAATATTGTTTGATAAACGCGAGTAAAAGCTTTAAAATACAAAACAGAGACAAGATAAGTACATATTGATAAAGAAACGAATGGGGAAGTAGAAGATATACTAAGTATACTGTAAGCAAACTGAAAATGTGGCACTTTTATATCATTATAGTCATTTTCATCTATCGTATAGTTTGTACATTTGCTAATATTATCAAAAAGATAAGGACTTGATCCTCTAGGTGTAGGTACATTTCAAACACCGGGTCCTCCTTACCTGTTCTGTATCCGGCGTTGGATAGATAAGTGGCGAACGTTCGAGTTTCGTGCGTCGTTTGCCACTGAGTGCTCGAGCAATTATCATTGTTCGTAAACACGAAATGATTGTGGACGTACATTCCGGTCAAAAGGCTAGACCTGGAAGGGCAGCACATGGGCGTCGTGACGTAAGCGTGCCGGAATTCCGCCCCGTAATCCCGGATCGTCTTCAGCGTTTTCGGCATGAAATTCAACGAGCCCAATTCGACGTCCTGATCGTCGGTGAGTATCAGCACGATGTTGGGCTTGGGGGCGTTCCGCGACAGCGGCGAGAACGCCTGGGATTTTCGTTGTCTCCGGTGCGAGTTGGCGCTCGCGCTGCATATGACTAGTATCAGGAAGGCGGAAAGTACCGATGCGGACGCCATGGTCACTCCGCGCCTCTTTCAGCTCTATTAGGCGCTCGAAAATTGGGGTTCTTCGCCTCTTTGCCAAGGGTTTGCCATTTAAAAAAAAAATCCTCTTACTCCTCTAAGTGTTGAAGTTCATTTTCTGATTTTCTCTGATATTTTTAACTGCAAATAAAAGATACTTTACCGCTTAATTCGACTAAAAATTTATTTAAAACAGAACTACGAGAATCAACAATATTTTGCAATTTTACATTTCACTTAACAAAAGTCTCTTACATCGAAATGACAATAAAAATGGTGCTTTTGCTACACCGAACGTTAAACGTAATTAGCTAATTGACGATCAGATAAATGCGGTTGTTCTCGAACACTGTAATAAATAATTTTATAACAAGAAACGTTAAAATCCTAAAAGCAGTCATTACGATTTAATTAGACGGTTTCGAACACGCTGATTAGTTCATGTTTAAATGCGTTAAAACATTTTTTCAGATATTAAGTACACGTTACTGTAAATGCTGCGAGTATTAAGAGCAAAGTATACCAATTAACGTTATAATAGACAATTTTGGAATAATCACATTTGAAGTATCAACAATCAGTGTCAATTCCATAAATGGAAACCATTGGAAGAAATAGATAACAAAATTTTAGAGCAAAAATCATGCACCAGCTAATGAAGCAACCGCGCACGTTGGAAGACATACTAAATATGGCGAAGAAGCAGGACGACCTTAAAGAATGGATGAAGAAAAAAAGCAAGGTGATGACGGAGAAATACAAGGAGGAGCTAGTGAAAAACCGCAGCTACATAGTAGGGAGCCCCCATACCAGTCCCAGTCGCGCGAAGAAATCTTCCCACGGCAAAAATAAGGGCGAGAAGTAAGTTATCCGGCTCATCAAAAAATTCTTCGCTATGTTTCGTATAACGTGTCTTACATGTAAAAATCTTCCCCATTGTTTTAGTCTAATAACAATTTCTTAACAGTAAAATTGTTTACTTCCTTTTGCCGGGGACCTTTCGTTTGTGGAACCACAACCGATTTCGAATTCAGTATTCCTAAACAAGAGTACCATTTTGCATCAAATCAATATGCCTTTTAACTTCTATTTGTTAATGAAATATACTGCATTTTCACGTTTACTCAAATTCCGCAACCTATAATGAAGATTCTGCGATTAAGTACGGGTCTCCAAAATGTGAACTCGTCGTTAATTTAATTGATAAATAGAGAAGATAGAGATTACGACCCTGTAAATTGTGGAATGAAGATTGTATCGCAAATAAGAGGCGAGGAAAGCAACTTGAGGGTATAACAAGAGGGCTGACGAACTGGCTTATAGAAGACATGTGTCTTGATCAACGAGAGGTATATCGTTCGTAAAAAATGAGGAGCTGGTTAGAAAACCAATAACCCGTTTTCTGGGGCGCTTTAAAACCGTCCTAGAGGGATAAGTGCATAGGCGTACCTAATGGAATATATCGGAATATAGTCCAATGAGGAATGAAAAATGAATCCTAATTTTTTATAGGTTAATTTAGGTTTCTTTAATCAGATGAAAATTAATATTTGGTAACTAATCATAATGAATCTGATAATAAATATTAGACTCTCGATTTTGCAAAGACGGGAGATAAAAAATCACTTATTTTCCAAACCCAGTTATAACGAACACAAGGCTATAGATTAACAGGAATAACATTTAGACGGATATTCTGCAGCGGTGACCTTTAAGAGATATTCTCGCTGGTTTAACGTAATGCCATTGCATTGTAAGTTTTGAGTCTCGACTGCAAGTAGACCGGGTTATATTTGGATTATCGATTACTTACTTTTAACTATATGCCTAGGCGAAAATTGATTATGTGCTAATTTTCATTACAAAGTGGAAACCTAGATGCACGTAAGTAACCAGCGCACAGGTAAGAACGCGCGAAATTATTAACCTGGCTCCCGACGTGACGAGATTTCTCAAGTACCCGACAAAACTGGGCTAATGAAGGAAAAAAACAAAATAGGTAATTAAACGGGTCAATGACAGAACTTTTTTTTCTCTAACAACCAAACTTCTATACATTTTTATCCTTACACCGTTTTGTTTTATCATTCGCTACAGTTACATTTCCTTTAGTTAGGAACCTTCTGGTTCCAACAGCCGCAATAAAACATCGAGGGCGTAATAAATTTTTCAAATTAATGAGTCGGAAATCGCGAATGCCGAAATTAATCATCTCTCTAAAGAGGTTTATTCACGAATGATTTGCTCGAAGGGCCAGCAGATTCTTCTAATTCAACGGCGTCGCGTTTCCCTTTGTTAGCGGCCTTCAAAGGAATGCTGAAAGAACGTGTACTTTCGGAATGGAAACGAAACGAGCGACCGAATGCAATTTTAAGTAAACGGCCGTCAGTAGCTTTGATTATTCGATTCGTTTCGATAAATAATCGAGGAAGAGTAATGAAGGATGAACGGGACTTTGAAAGACAGTTCTTTCGAACGGCTCGAACGTCGAACAATGGAAACGGAATTAACTGTTGCATAAAGGAGTTGGGTAATTGGAGAAAATTCGCGTTTAAAGAGCTTTATATTTGCCCGACTTTGAATATTACATTATCACAAAGAAACGAATATGTTTGATTTGGGATGATATCAGATTCTTGTGTGCATATTTACAGGGTATATTGGGTAGGTTTTTAACTGTATGTAGTACAGGTAAAGATGTAAAGTCTTCATTTCAATTGGTCGTTGAAGAGTACCCTTCAATGTGGTAACAAAACAAACTTTGGGAGAAGGTGTTAAGAGTTTCGTTTTAAAAATTATACCTACCTACGAAATAACAATAGCGTGAGAAACCTTCATAGAGGAATCCCTGCTATTACAAGCATTTTATGGCACCTTCAAAATTTAGGATAATATAATTCACAAGTGGGTTTTTTGATGCACTTAATATCTAATAGCTTTGGATGTATGTGTACTCTTTGGGCTCTTAGGGCTCATTAGGATCGAATCCTTAATCAAATTAAGATGATATTGAATCAATTATGGTGATGATATACATATTCCCTATTTTTTTTATTTTTTATGTACGAATTGGATTAATAATAATAAATCAAAACTCACAACTTTTAGTATTTGATTTTATAGTAATGAGATCCAATTCAGTGCAAATATGACCTTGATTGCTTCAGTTATTCTTTCCAATCTGTATGTATTGTTTATTATAATCGTAAACAAGTATAATATTTTCATGTTTGTATAATGTTATATTAGATTATCGATTTGATTGGTGGGTATTTTTTTAAATTTTTATCGCTGTTCTCCTTGTATATTTTGATTGATGTGCATGTTACAATTAACGTGAGGACATGTACCTACACATCACGACATTCAACGCATATTTTAAAATCGTGAATTCAATCGAATCGTTATAACGAAGCCGAAAATATTTAAAAACAATCATGCGCTAATTAATTTGTTATGCGAAAAACATCTTTTCCCATCGCGCTATTTAGCGGAACCTCCGCAACATCGGCGATAATGCAAAAGAGAAAACCATGTGTGCGTTTTTTCCACGGCAAAAAACGAGCCAGCCGGATCGCCGCTCGCCAGTCGCAAGAAAAGTGCATCTCGAATCTCGAAGTCTCGAAGCGATCGCCTTCGCTACCTAAATTTATACCACAAACAAAACGCGACGAGCAGGAGCCACGTGCTCTCGCAAAGGCACTTACCTCTCCCGACCGGGCCGCCCGGCGAAGGAACCCCCTGCGAATTGGAGAAACCGGGCACGGGAGGAATTCCACCGGACACACGACGCACAAACACCTCCAGCAGTTCGACGAACGAATACGCAATTTTATCGCGCGCGATATCGGTTGCGAGAGCAGCGCTCGGCTCGTCTCAGGCCGGTCAGTCGCGGCAGACTGGCTGAAAAATTTCACCGTTTTCGATCGGAGGCGATGCGATCGACGAGGCCGCGTAGCGTGCACGAAGACAACACGGCCCGAAACGCCAAGCACGCGCTCCCTGCCGATCGCCGGCACCGTCTGCTCGCGCTCGACGAGCTCGCTCTTCGGGCCGGAGGACCCGGCGGACGGGGCGCCGAGGCCCGCTCTCGCCGAGGCGGGTCCGAGGAACCGCCGGAGACGGTGCATTCTAAATACCTGCGGCGTGCGTGTACTCGATACTCGATCTCGATGCGGTTGAATGGGTTGAAAGAGGAAGATATTAGTGAGAAATGTCTTGAAATTGCCAAAAAATCACTCACTGTAACGATCGTTTTGTAGACACCTAGAGTCAAGACCAGTGGAAATATAGAAACTGGTCTTTTACTAAGACTACACCTACGAGTATACAATTAAACTTATATTACATATCAGTAAACAGTCTGAAGAAACAAAGTACTTACTCACTGAAATTGCCAATAAGAATTAAATGTATATTTTTGTTTCTGTTATAATTACATGGGTAATTATCTGTATATTTTATAGTTACATGGGTAAATTGATAATTGCTCCATTAACTCACCCTTATTTTACCTGAAAAAATATGCTAATGTCTTATTGCCAAGTTCTACATACATATGCATAGTCTGCTCTATTATATTCTATGATGTAGGTTATAAATCGCTAGGTTATGTTGAGGTGTTCTTTGGACCTTAGTTTATTCATTATACTGGGATAAATTTTAATTAAACATTCTAGATTTTAGTGTTTCACATGAGAATTGAAAACATTGTTAGTATTATCTAATGATGTATTGTGTGCATGGGATGTATTATAATAGGTAAATGGATTTTACAAAAGTAGGAAGAGAAAGCCGATAATGAAAACAGAATTGGAGAGAAAAATGCAATATAAAGGCATGTTGGCGTTATTGTTAAGACGGTAATATATAAAATGCTAGTTTTATGAATACCCTACCTTTATACACCATCCGTTATTTATTCCTGCAATGTCTTGTCCCTTTAAAAGTACGTTCTTTAAACTCCTGAAGATATAAATTACAGATTTGTTGTTCGCTCACTAGTAACACTACTATAATGAAAATAACGACCGGAAAATGTCCTGTAATACGATTACAATTACACTTAAATCTGGCTTTCTAACAATAACTTACAAATCATAATAGATGGCCCATTCAATTATTTAACAAGCGCACCAAACTAAAAAAATACGTGCCCGTAACGTTGTTTATAAAACGGAATTCACAAAGCGCGTTTTGTAACCGAAAAACCAGGCCCACGCTCTTAATAAGACGCTTACGTTAATAAGCACTTGACGAGAGAAATTCGTATAAGCGTACTTACTTGTGAGTTACTTACGGAAACCGGCGGATAATTCCACATTAAAATTAAAGGCGGTCGTAGAGTTTATTCGTGAGGCAAAGAGACGGCACAATGCACATATCCCGGATGGCCGTAATAACGATAACATCTAACAATTGTAATAAATCTGGTCATCTAAACGCCATAAATCATTCGTCCGACTAGAAGTTGACACTTAGCACGCGTAATTCTGTCGCTAAATTTTCCGTTTTTTAACAATTTGCATAGGAAGTTAGAAATCAAAATGTACTAAATATTATTTTTTCTTCCGTTGTTGGGATTAAATGGCCCTTATCCACCCTAATCAAATTGAACGCAATTAATCTCCAGTGAACTAAGACCCCTAATACCTAAGTTCCGAATTTCCGATTAAAATAGATCACGGAGTGCAATTAGTCTTTATTCCAAACTAATAGTGCCTACAAAATAAGTGGAGTGGATAACTCATTTATTTGAGTAGGTATTGCTATTATGAAATATACTGCTCCACTAAAGTTAAGGAAGTTCACAAATATTGAGATTAATTTAAAAGTAGCAGATTTTTTGATCGCCAAATTTAGTATGACTTGTAAAGGTAGGGACAAAAAAATCCACTCGGATATGAGAGAAAACATTTAATTTTGCATATTCGAAAATTTCGTGATCAAAAAGTCTGTAACTTTTAAAATAATCGCAAAATTTGCGAACTTCCTTAACTTTTGTGGAGCAGTTTATAATTGAACTTAAAAATATTTACTAACTTCATTGATGAAATGAAATTTAGTAGTTAAGTATAATAATTATCAAACGATACCTTTTTTGAAGAATCCAAAATTTCTCTTTGATAATCGCTAGTAGTAGACACACGTACTGTATAAAGTTTATTTTCCATATCATTTTCCCATGTCATCCATAATTATCAATAAAATTAAAAAGTAAATAAACAGTATATTGGCATACATATCATATCTCGTTTCTTGTCATCTAATAACGTCATAATATTTTTTTGTTGGAAAACCCATGTATAGATAATAAATTTCTAAAAATATAAACTACGGTTTTTTGTTACCCAAACTTCAACTTTTACAACGTTTATTGTAAACAACATTTTAAAATACATTGACGTCGTTGAGTCTGTATTTACATCAAATATGTAAGAGTTCTTACGGGTGTCTAGACGTTTTAAAATTATACTTTCCTACATACAATGCGCGGAAACGATAGCACTTATCTGCTATACTTCATCATCGCCCAATTTTGCGCTATTTCGAGGTAAAATATTCCGAAAAATTCCAGGCAACTTCATACGTAAAATGCCAAATAAAACGCCAAACATATATGCTTGCTGGGTTTATTGTTAACAAAAAACATTGCAATGCGAGTCCATCGCTTTTGTGTTTTGTTCTTTTTTTGTCTTTCGCTTATTTACAAATATTTATATCAGGTCCGTAAGTCGAAATACGGTCGTAAAAAAGTAGGCGATTCGTTTCGGGTTTAGGCTTCAGCCTTTTCCGCGACATTGGAAGCCCCAGTAGCCGTGGAAACGGTGTCGTCCGGTTCCGATCCGCAAACCAAAGACGGGAATTTCCTCTCCAGAGCTTGCCTGTATTTCGGATGGCTGCAATATTAAAAATCATTCTTTAATCCTGTTAACAATAACAAAAAACTGATAAATTTGGAAGTAAATATGTTGTAGAATTATTAATATGTCTCTTAAATAAGGTCTGATTTCATAATAAAGCATTAAAGTACCTTTAACAAAAGGATGCTTTAAGATTAAATGTTCTTTAACTGTGTTTCTAATGTCAAATGGTTTCATAAATAAGTATAAAAGATTCAATTAGGAAAAGGTTGCTAAGGTGTTTTAAAGCGTTGACTAAACTTGAAAAGTGATAATTGAACTAAATCAATACATTTCTAAAAAAATATATGGTCTTTGAGCTTGTCTGAGATTATTTTTGATCATACATTTGTTGGAGAACGATGGAAATTTCGATGAATAAAATGTAAAACTACAAAAAAATAAGTAATTCCGAAAATATGATTTTCTCTTATATTTCATGCAAGAGATGCAAAATTGTTTCTTTTGAAAGACGAAAACGTTGGTAAAAGTCTAGCTTGTCGTATCTCTAAAAACTGACCCTTCTTTTTCGACTTTTGGTCTTCTAATATAAATAAAATCTTCTTCTTCAGTCGAGCTGGACCTATAGAACTTTCGATATTTTTCATCTCACAAAACTGGCAGAAAGTGTAACTTATTGTTAGCGGTATAAACACTTGATTAACAAACATAAACATAGATGTTTGGTGGTTACTTGTATACTTTGGCAGATTGGTTAATGTCAAAATATCTGTCTTTAACTTTAAATGCCACAGGCTGAATGATCCTTTGAAGTTGATTATGAAATCAATAACATCTATTGAAGCATCCTTAATATCTCTTCATGAAATCGTAGAACAAAAAACTAACTTAATGAATCTCTCAATTTTTTCTTATTTGTCTTACCTAATGCCGTATACGATCGGATTGTAAACAGCGTTAGCCTTCGCGAAGAGCGAGCACCAGATGGTGGATAGCGGGCTGAGTTTAGCGTTGCCCATTATGCCGGAGAAGTTCGTGACCAAGTAAGGTGTCCACGCCATGAACCACAAGGTGATGGTCATGAGGGCGATCTTGGCCAGTTTGCATTCGGCGCTGGTTTGGGCAGCGTCGGAGGACCTCAATGATGCGACGTTCATTTTCTTAGCTTGGTCTCGCATGGATTTTTCATGAGCAGCCACTGCCTGGAATAAATCCGCAAATTAAAACTTCCACATTTGTAGTTACTTTATGTATACCCAAAAGATATACACAAATAAATCCACTTATTCTACATACAAATTCCGCTTAAATTAGAGAGTCTCTCAAAGCAGCGAAAAACGCTAGATATATTCTTGCATACTGACGAAGAATTTAATTTTATAAATCCAATTTGAGAAGGAAACTTGCACGGAAAGCCCGTACAACGTACAAGGCTAGATTAAACAATCCAATTTGGACTTTTCTCATATCAACGTAACATCCCTTTGGTCGTGGCTGTTCTAATAAAATTATACACGCGTGACGGGATCCGGGCCCGGATTTATCAAATTTTTTTGAGCTCGTTAAATTTGTAAATTCGTTCGTTTTCAAAAGACTGAATTTTTCATGAGACGATTTTTTGCCTAGTCGAAAAAAAATTTATTCTACCTTATAAAACGATTGATTATTTAAGAACTAAATTCATTTAATATTCACAATATAAATGAAGTTAATAATAATTATTTGTCCAAAAATAATAAATGTATTAATGTGTTTGACTCCCATTAAACACACATATTTCCAACTAAAATTTATTACATTAGGTAAATGTTGGCATTACTTTTCGCCCCTAAATGATCATCCCCTAAATATGTACTTTAAATGTTTCGTTAATAAATCACAGTCAACATTCGCCGGAGGGTGGTGATTCGGCCAGTCCGTTCGTGTGTCGCGTAAACTGCATTTGTCAGCTTTATTTCTCCATTTATCCGACTAGAGAGGGGCAATGGCATTAAATAAACATGAATAGTACACCCTGGGGTGCGCGAAGTAGATTGTGCCTTTATTTGCAGCAAAAATGTCAGCTATATATTCTCGGAAGGGCTGCAATCACTCCGCGAACGGAAACAAATGGTCCTCCGAAGGTGCATTTCCACTATTTCCAGAAGCTGAGGGATTGAAGGACGCCGTCTGCCGAGATTTATTTATTCCGAAGGGGTAAAATACAGGGCGGCAATTCTAAGATTGTGATGGATTTTGTTGGAAAAATTCGTACCTGTACAATGAAAAAGTAGGAGTAGATAATGGTGAAGAGAGGCACGAAGTAAACGAAGAAACCGTAGACGAAGAGATAGGATTTGCTGAGAGGATCCTGGTTGAGGTAATCGGTTCCACAGGCGGTCATGTTGCCCTCCGGGACGTATCTGCAGTGAAACGACAGTATTACAATAATATTGTATTTTTTTTCGTGGTGTTTTTATTGCACCTGTTCCAGCCGAATAGGGGCGCGATAGTCCAACCGACTGACATAGCCCAAATCAGCAAAATTCTCAGCATCGCTGTCTTCTTTGTGAGAGGATGAGCACTTAAACCTTTAACGATAACATTGTATCTGTCCAGAGCGATGAAGACCATTGTCCAGATTGATCCACAGCCGAATAGTGAACCAAACATTCCATACAGTTCACAAAAGAACGGACCTGGACACAACAGAACATTAAATTTAATACAAGTTTCTAATAGAAATGAGTTTAATCCCTTACCCAAAACCCATGTTTCATAGTAGCAGTTAATAACCATAGGAGGAGCCATAGTAGACATCATAAGAAAGTCCGAGAAAGCCAAATTTACAACCAACAAATTCGAAGGCGTCCTCAGTGCCTTCGTTCCCAAGAAGATGTACATCACCATTCCATTTCCGATAATGGAGACGAAGCCCAAAACTCCGATCATGAAGCCCAAAATGCCGTGCCATAGTGGGTTCATCGGGGCAAATTGGTACCAATAAGCGTCTACCATGTGTAACATATCCGGCAATACCTACATTTACAAATCAAATGCTCATAGTTGAATTGTGTGCCATGAATTTTGGATTACTTGCCTTGTCCACAACGGTCATGTTACCGCCGAAGCCGGAGGCTCGCTGGGCGGCCCAGCCGGCGTAGCTCGGTTCACCCATCACAGACATATTATTGCTAACGCTAGAGTAAAAAAAATCACAATTATTATGCCTGACTTTAGATTTTTTGTTCAAGGATTTATGCATCAGATCATATCAATTAATTCAGAAACTTCGCTATACTGTGATTGATCTGTTTAGGCATTACGAAATTGCCTGAATATGTGCATCTAATAGGAAATAATTGTTTTCGTTTTCTATTAGATCGAGTTTTTCGCCACTTTAATGCTTCGCTCTGTGTGTAATTGATTAGAGCATTCAGTTAATTGTATAGGTACATACCTAACTCCTACATATTGTTTTACCTTTGTAAGCTGTATGAACAAGACATTTTTTTCCTTCCAAATAAGGATTATTACACGTATACATGCAATTTTATAAAACTTGCTTTTTAATTAGCCATTTCTTTTAATTACTTTAATCATTTTAGAGCATATCATAGGGGCACTTAGGTATCGGGGTAAGGGTACTTATCTAAAACCTCTACGTTACTGCTGTTACAATATATTGTTTAATTAAAATGAAACATTTTCTGTATAAACTAATTTACTTACCGTAAGTTGGTTAATCAATAAGTATAAGCACGGTTATAGTTGGAGATAGTTATACCACTTTTACATTAAACCAATTCGAAGACGCACCTGGGCTACGACTCGATGTCTCGAGGAAATTCGCTTGCTTTTATACGATCTTTGAAAAAAATATTTAGAAATCTTAATTAGATAATACAAATCGGCTTCTTTTAAGGATTCCCGTTGACGAAGGTGCCTCTAATAGAATTAAGTTTCTTTAAGGAATTGCATAAAAAAAATTTCAAGGTAAGGAATATTTGGTACAAAAAAAATGCTAAACACACAAGATGAAGGAAATAAAATGATACATTTTTATATTATTGTTTTATTTATTGTTTGGTTTGATTATACAATTTAAATTTTATTTCTGTAATAGTCTAATACGATTTTTTATGAAAAGCTTGTTTTTTTATTCTGTTACAAGCTTTATTTGCTAATAAAATCATTTTAAATAAAGTATCAGATTATATTTAATTCTGTGAAACTTTATTAGACTAGGTTTTATTTCTTTGAAAACAATTTCTTTTTCAAATTAGAGAAATTACTATATTTTACAAGCTTTATATAGACTTATAAAGATTGCAAAATTATATGAATTGCAATGAGCAACTCTATTTTATTTTTTATTTGTCAGCTCAATTTTCTACAATACGCAGAAAGTAATTATATACAAAACGAAGAATTTATTAATAGTATTTCTACAAATGCAATCAATGCAAAAATTCATGGTGTCGGTCTAGTATGCAGTCAACCCAAATTTATTTTATACAAAGTAAAACAGCAAGATTTTGAAAATTGACCCTTTATTAAGCAAAAGGATAAATTTTACTAGTATTGCATTAAACAGCATGAGGGTAATTATAAATAATAATAAACGAAAAGATTTTAATAGTATTATATTATGTATGGAATAACAGGTAAGTAATTCAATTTATCGAGAATCACTGAAGTATATTAGAATTATACAGGGTTGGTTTTTTTCGATGTTTAGTACAGGAATCTCGGAAACTGTAGGAGATAGAAATTAAAAAGTTTAAATGGACAAAACATTTGCAATTTTGTGAGACATTGGTTCACAACCACTTTGTTTTACAAAATATGGCACCTGTCAAAATATTTAAATGTACTTGGGCGTCAAAACATGTAGGTAGACTACAAATATTATGGTAGACCGCATACTAGACCGGTACCAACTTCATTTATCATTTATTATTAAAAGTATAAATAATTTAATGCACCGTAATTACTAGAATATGATACATCCCTAGCTTAATTGATTTCTAATATTCCTTAAGTCTTGTATTAGCTCATCTACTTGCTCTAAATTCATTTCGAATGAGACAGAAGTATTTTCAGTTTTTTCATTGTATTTTTGAACTCCATTCAAGTCAACCTGTAGATACACATCTTTTAAAGCAGTTAAGTCTGACGATCCCAAGATGAATTTAATTCTCCAATCGATGTTCTCTATTAAATTATTTCCATTTTTTAATACGTAAGTTCTAGCCAAATATTGAAATATATCATCTTTTCGTATTTCGTAACATATTTTCAATGTTTCGTGGATTTTGTCGTTTATATGCAGTAAATTCGCATCAAAATTATTTTCTATTGTGGACTTTTTATAAAATAATTGTATGTTTTTCTTGGATTTTTCAAAATCGTCCTTAGTCCACTCTAGGATCCCTCTAATATTGCAAGTATCAAAAGTTATTGGCTGCTTTTCTATTAGATCGTCGACACAATGGTGAATGAACTGAGGAGATAAAAAAAAATTAAAATTTATAAATCCAATTGTATTATTAAACCAACCTTTTTAAGTTCATTTATATCTGTTATTTTTAAAAGAGGATCAAAATTTAATTCGCCCATTTCAGCATCTGTCACTGTCAAAAATTTTGTTTACTTTTTCTTCTTTCTTTTTAGAATATTCGACAAGGCCAGTATCGGCCAGTATAGGCCGATGAATCACGTCAAATGTCATGTTGTCATTCTTATTATCTAATTGTTCCATGGCTTTGACGTAACTTTGAGTGACGTATGTTTCGTGCGAAAGGGCGAATAGCGAACGAGAAAAGATCAACCATTTTGGTTTAATTTTTGGATAGTGTTTGGAATCTTCCGTTATCAACTAAAAAAATTAATTTTATTGTACATTTGTACATTTTTGTTACTTATTTATAATCAACGAGTTAAAACCAAGTAAGTTGTTGAATATTTGTAGTCATTTTTGATGTTAAAAGTCTTTTATCTTTGATAATCAAATGGTTTCACCGGCGTGGGAAGAGACGCCGCTCCTCTTTGTTTAAACGCCGAATATTGTATCAAAAATTGATTACTTATTGACGACAAATGTTCATTAATTTTATTAGTACTACAAACCACAGTATTCTAATGTTTTGATAATTCGGAGACCAATGAATTGCATTTTACCCACCAAATTTTTTTATTAGAAGCTATCAAATTACAAGACTTATTTGCTATTTTGCTATTTATTGTAGTTATGGCTGATGCAGCGCCAGAAGCTCCAATTGATAATGGAAAACCGCCATCAGGGCCTCCACACAAGCTCGGCGGTGGAATGGGCGGTCATATGGGCGGCGGAGGGCGAGGAGGCCCAGGCGGTCCCAGAGGCCGTGGTGGTTTTAGGGGACGGTAAATATTCATACCACACATTTTACATAACCTCGCTTAAAGTTCTAATTTCTTTAGTGGTGGACCTGGAGGCCCTCCGGGGCGCGGTGGTCCGATGATGAGGGGAAGAGGTGGACCTCGTGGAGCGCCTAGAGGACGATTCCCGCCTGGCGGACCAGGTGAGTAACCAGCTTTCACCTTAAAATTACTATTTTAAATTTAAATGTGTTTCTAAGGTGGACCGGGAGGTGACTCTGGTGGAATGGGAGGCAGAGGCGGCCGCGGAATGGGCAGAGGAGGTCCGGGCGGATTCAGAGGTCGCGGAGGCGGCGGCGATCGCGGCGGTAGAGGAGGTCCGGGAGGACGAGGCGGCCCGAGAGGTGGCAGACCGTTCGGAGGACCCCGAGGTAGGGGAGGATCCGGAGGACCTCCTGGTCAAAAAAGATCTCCCGGTCAGTTTGGCGGTCAAGGAATGCCAGGTGGTATGGGAGGACCGAAAAGGCCTAGGTTTGATAATGGTGGACAGAACGGCTATAATCAAGGGTGTGTACATTGTTTCGTTGAACGGTGATGTTTTATTGATAGCTTTTATGTCTCTTAGTGGACAACAAGGTTACTCGCAATACGGTAGCGGCGGTGGAGGCGGCGGCGGCGGCGGCCAATATGGTGGTCAGCAAAGCGGTTACAATCAATACGGAGGAGGCGGTGGCCAACATGGGGGATACGAAAGTGGTGGTTACTCGTCACAATATCCAAGCGGGGGCGGTAACAGTAGCGGATATGGAGGTGGAGCTGGTGATTATTCGGGAGGGTATTCTCAACAAAGCACAGATCAATATGGGCAAGGTGGCTACAACACTGGAGCACAAGGATACAGCAGTGGCGGTTACGAAGATAGAAGTGGCGGCGGTGGTGGTGGTTATGGAGCCCAAACTGGTGGATATGGTAAGTTTTAAAATTGTTTATTAATTGTTTTTACATTTATTTCTTACAAACAGTTGAAAAGTGGTGCGCCACTAGCATATTAGTAGCGAATATTGTTAATAATGCTAAATGAGAAGCATTAACTTATGCAATACCATTCTTTCCTAGTATCAATTAAAACATATTGAAACATGTTTCACTTTCAAAATAGAACTATTTATAGCGCATTTTCATAATTGAAAAATAAATCGAGAAACTCCATATAGTCGAATTGAAATCATTCAGTTACAACCTGAATAATTGATTGAAACAATACAGAAAAAGACAAATATTTTCTGGTAATATCTAAATGACTATTTGCTTATCTGTAAATTCGTCTTCGAAAAAATAATAAATAATTTTTACAGGTTCTGCTCCTCCTAGGCGATACTAATAAAAATATTCCCAAAACATATACAATTAGTATTAATGAGAAAACTGCGTTGTGTTAGTGTAATTTCTGACTATGAACTTTTTTTTATATAACAATTTTAGTGCTAAGTTTTATTTGTGTTTCGAATGAAAATGAAATTTGAGTTATTTAGTGGCTTCCTTATGCAAATAACAAGAAACAAGACCTTAAAAACAAATTTTTAAAAGAAAATAGGCAAATATGTTCACAAATAAATTTTTTTAACAAAATAATGATCTGTTATTTGATTGTAGCATCTTTCCAATGGACCTAAGAGTGTGATCGAAAATAAATATTAATTTAAATCTTTTAATGGTTTTTTATTTTTAAGAATTTGAATTTGTTTAAGAACTTCAATTTTCATTATATCCCCTTGTAAATATGTAATTCCTACACTTACAAAACCATTAAAACGTAGTTATATTAATAAGTACCTCCAAGTACTTAATTATTAATGAACAAAATATACTTATGAAATAAAATGTTTCTATTTATATTGTAGTATAAAATTTTAGTTAAGTAAACGTAAATTAACTAAAATATAGGATATTGAAAAAAGTTATTTAAAAATATTTTTTTCGTCATACGATATTGTAAAAATAAATTAAATATATTGTGCATTGTGTGATCATCTTATTTTTGTAACAATTACCTATAAAATATGATTAAATAGTTGAAGAATTTCCAGTAAAAGTAAAAGTGAGTTAACAATAACTGTTTGTATATTGTGCATTACAAAATATGTACATAATGTGTAAAATAACTCTTATTGTGAGTAATAGTTACTAATCTTGAATTATACAAACTAACAAACTAGTTGAGCTAGTTACTCTAAAAAACGTTTGGGGCCATGATATTTTTTTATATTTTTTCGACTCATAAATACATAAAATCTTAAATTTATTAAGGTGCAAATGTCGATCATGACAAAATGTATATGAAGAAATACATCAGGACCGAAAATTCAACAACTCATTTCAAATGAATCAAATTCAAATACATCTGAAAAATCACTAAAATATATTCTTCATATGAATTGAAAACTTTAAATGTAAGTATATAGCAGTAATCAGTAATTTTTTCTTGTTACCTGTTACCTCTTTAAAGCGGCCATCAAACAGGGTGTCCATTTAACACAACAATCGTTGAAACAAAATTCAAACACTCTTATACCCAGTATGGACATCCTGTAAACATTGCATGTATTTATGTAAAAGTTATTGTAGGATTATGTAAAAATTGTACTTTGCCTTTAGAAAGGATAATAGTAATCAAATAATAGAAGCCACTACAAATTATACAATTTGAAGAAAAATTATTAGTGATTAATTTTTAACATTAAGTTCTGATATTGAAAACCAAGGAAGAAACATTACAATTAAAGCCATTTAAATAAGTTTATTGTTGAGGTAAAGTATACATAACATAATCTATATTTTTGCATTAAAAGCGTAACCTTTTATTTTCCAGTAAATTTAGATTTGGTGCGTTGATATTTCACAAACACTAACAGTCAATTCAAAGATAACGTATTAGTAAAATTATTAAGGGTTCAAAATCGTTTATCTGAAATAAATTGATCTGTTGGTATTCTATAACAGTCTAAACCCAAAATAGTTTTGCTCGTGACTTGAAAAGTTAAAAGCCAAGTACATAAGTAATGATTAGCGCATAAGCAAAATGTACAAACACATGTTTTTGAACAGCCCCAGTATCAATTTACAATTAAAACATTGAAGTGAAACTATTTAAAAAGATAAACAATCTTTACATTATTGATAGAATAAAGAGTATAGTATAATATTCCTTTTATGGATAATATTTTAAATGATATTCATGTACTAGGTAGAATTTTATCTTTTCATTGTAACATTAAAATTTCATGATTGTAATAGGGCGAAAGAATTCAATTTAATTATGTATTTTTAAATGTTTTCATCTCTATTTCGTTCGAAACTTAAAAATAATATTCTATATTTTTAGGTTGATGTATTCGATGGACTCGCCGAAAGTAAACACGCAAGTATTGAGGTTTTGAGAGTAAGTGTACCTCAGATATTTTATTTTTATCAGAAAATCGAGTCATGAACGTACTCAGAATTACATTTCAGTACTGAATCCAGTACGGATTTGACGGAATTTTATTTTCAATCGATTAATTTTTGGATTAAATATACATTTTGCAGAACGTAAGAACCTACTAAATATGTATTTATAATATCCTAAAATGATTTTACAATGGTAAACTAGAAATAGTTTGGCTCAGATTAACTTTATTTTCAATAATTCTTAAAGCGAAGTCTGCAAATTGTATCCAGTTACAGTAAACTATATTTTTCTTGCAGTTCAATTTAATTTGATTAACTAGGCGATACCGTCCTAAAAAGCAAATTTAATAGATTAAAATCCCTTTAAATTTGCTTTTATTATCTCTTTTAAGTAGCTAGGAAGAAAAATTTAAATAAATGAATTAAATTTTATACGTGGTTTTATTACTTGACCTACACCTTTTTACACCATCTTGTGCTCTAGTAAAATAAGTTGCTGTGATTCTAAACTAAAACATCATGTATCTTCCATCGATACTATGCAATAAAATAGGAATCTACTGTGATTGTTAAACATAATTTAAGCAAAATGATTTTTATTGCTAAATAAAAGAATACACGCTATTTAGAATTAATATTAATAAACAAAAGTGTTTGTAATTTATTCACTCCCAGCTATCTCCGTATTTATTTTTGCTATCTATTGTATTTGGTCGATTGCTTCTACCGGAATCTCTTGGAGGCAAGCTTGCCGGCGGTGCATTATCATTAATATTTCCTAATCTTTGTTGCTTATATTCTTCTCTGTTTTTCAATCGTAATTCTTCATAAGTTGTCGTGTATTTGCGTTCAGGCGGCATCTCTTCCAATGTTTCTGCAACTGGGTTATCCAGCGACGGTCTGTAGTAATCATCGAGTCCTGGATTTTCAGGTCGAGATGTATCTATATCGAGGCTACTGTATGGGCTGATGTCTGAGTAAGTTTCTGACGGAGAAATCCCAGAGAACGGCGACAACGACAATCCGGCTCCGAAACCGGGATCGATATTCTCGCGGATATTTCCGCGGCGTTTTTGCCTCAACATCTCCCCGATTTTGCTTTGAGGCAATTGCATGAGTTTTTCGGCACATTTATTTTGGTAAGAAAATTTACCGATGAAGTAACCGACGATAACAGCAACGCACACTTTAGGCGTAGGGCCGAATCTCGGACTCCCCTTTAAGAAGCCAGCCTTGACTGCATAGTAGGTCGAGCCGGCCAAAAGTGTACTTAAGGGCAGGCACCTCTTGTAAAAACTTTCTTTATTGCACTCTTTTAGAACCCTAATTTCTTCTGGTGAAAACTGGTAGCCCTTGGAGTCGGTACGTCCGGGCTCTCTGATAGTATTGTCTCGATTTGCCATTTTATTTCGGGTTCATTTCGGATTTCAGACAAATGAAAAAAATTAGGTTATTTTGAATTGTGACAGTTCTAATGTCAATTTGTCAAATTATATAAAAGTGACTTTTGACATTCTGAGGCCTTTTACTGGCTTGATATACATTTGACATTTCTTTAAATCTAACATATAAAAAAGAAGACATTGAGGTTATGTAAAAGTTTTAAATTTATCGTTTATTTTTATTGCATTGGATTAAAGTATACATTGATAAAAACATTAACAGTGTAATTAAATGTTTGTGGTTATTTACAAATTTTAAAAATGGATTCAGAAAACGAAAAATATACACAAGATAAAAGAATGCCTTGCAAATATGGTAAAAAGTGTTATCAAAAAAACCCGGCTCATCATGAAAAGTACAAACACCCTACAAGTATCAATACCGTAAACAGAACAAAAGTGAGTATCTTCACATATTAACTTCAATATTTTAGTTTTAATTTGTAGGACAAACACTTCACACCTGCATTAAAGAAACTTAAAACGAATACGAAAGCAGTTACATCAAAAACTGAATCAGACTCAGATGATAACGAATACCACATAGATGACTCCAGTTCTGACACCAGCTTAAATAACCAGAAAGCTAATAATGATGTGTCCGATTCCGAGGATGAAACGCATCCTGATGCTCCAGAAAATATTGCAGAAATTATTTCTGAACAACCCGTTGCAGAAGAATCACACCAAAATTCATCACTTTCAGAAGAATCGAAAGAAACTGTTCGTTCTTTAGAAACAGAAGAGGAATGTTCAAGTTTTATTAAGGATAAGTTTCTGGTTACGATGCCAGATGATTTTTATCAATTTTGGCATTTCTGTAACAAAATTAAACCTAATAATCCACTAGAAGCATTGAAGGAAGTGGGATTGTATTTGGTTGGGCCTTTCGATGTACTTGCAGGTAAATCATTTAATACCTCAACAAATAATTAATTAATTTTCTAATTTGTTGTGTTGCAGGCAAATTTTCCAATACAAATAAATCTGAAGCCGATTATTTAGTTCATTGGAGGTATTTTAGAGATCCACCCGAGTTGCAAACAGTATTAAGAAGCGATGATCCAAGTGGGTATCACATTGGTTATTTTAGAGATTCACCCAGTCAATTGCCTGTATTACTAGTATCTAATTATGCAAAAAAGAATGGAGTATTGACTCAAATGGGAGGGAATATATTTTCTGCCGTTAAGTAAGTCGTTTTATAAAAAATGCAAGTAATTTTGTACTATATTTTTTTTGTTAACAGTATTTTCTTAGAGGATTTAAAGAAAAGTGGCAACCCATTTAAGAAAATGGCAATAGGAAAAATCCAAACGTCTTTATTAAAAGATTCTGATAGACTTGGCCTAGATATGTCTAAAAAAACTAAAGATATGGTTACAAGAGAAAAGAAAATCGTAACGAGAACGTTTAACAAAATAGGTTTAGTCGTCCCGATGGACAAGAAGTAATTTTGGAAATAATATTCCTTGCACTTGTCACAATAATAAATTGTTATTATTTTCAGAACGCAAGTAGGATATCGTCCGCTAACATTTGACAACAAAACTTTGGATAAATACCTAACGAAACTTCAAAATGCTAATACACAGAATGATAAAGAGCAGGTATTATCTGAGCTACAGCCGGTTTTCACCTTCGCTAGCATCGCTACTGATGAATGTGATTTTGGAACAGGCATCGAGCTCGGCTGGAACATAATTAGTCACGGCATTGATTCCCTAAATGGTACAGCCGAACGATTTTTGGTGACTAATTACAAGCTATTAAATATGGACCAATTCGCTAAAATAGCTGAAGCTCATATGAGAAATAGGAGGGATACTTTATATTTAAGCATTTTATAGTAGTAATTTTTTAGTACTGGTTTTTTTATACGAATAAAATTGTTTTTTGTCAGTACTACTGTGTTTGCAATGTTTATTGACATGTTCATACGAAGTTTTTTTTAATGGGTCCAAGAATCACCCATTGGGTCTAGTAGTAGTAAGAGGAATGAGTAGTAGGAAAGGGTAATTAAATGTGAAATAAAATGCGCTTAAATTAATTTATAAAATCACAGACAAACCTATCCTTGGATTATTTACAAAATAAAGAAATTCCTAAAAAAATTATAGAAACTATTGGTATTCTCGCAAAATTACCGCTAAAAATTATTATAAATACTTCTACCGACTACTACACTACCTACAATTATTGAGCTTTTAGTTTTCCGTTTGGAATCGATCCGTTCCCGTTTTTCAAAAATCCGTTTCCCATTTGACAACCGTTCGTTTGTACGGCGTGCTTTCCGTTCGGGATGCTCCCGTTGTGGGATTTGCCGGACGTTTGGTCAGCGCATTTCGATTTATTCTTGTTCTTCACGTAGCTGTTCACGTAGAAGCGCCCGAAAAGGTAGAAGAAATAGGCGGCTTGCGTCGTCAGGAGGACGTTCAGGAACTTTGGGTAGTCGCATTCCCTGAAGATCACTTGGAAGTTGTGCCAGAATACAATGCAGAATTGGATCTGAAAATTGAACATAAACGTCTTCAAGTCGGAGGTCAGTAAAAGAAATTTTTGGGTTGTACTTTGGAATTTACACCAACAGTTATTTTATAACTGTTATACACAAATTATATAAGTGTCCCGCATAAGAACCAAATAGTATTAAATACTTAAAATCGTCTTATGCGGGACATCCTATATATCTTAATAATAAATTCAATAAAATTCCTTTTTGCCGTATTTAAGCTACTTGCAGTAGTAGCTAAAGTAATAAATAAAAGTTATTTGCTACCTAGGTATTTAGAGAGGAATCCAATAATGCAATTTTCTTGAACTTAACTTTGTAATTGTGGATAATTAAGCGTTAAAGTATTAAACATTTTAATGAACCATTAAAATTAGATTTGCAAACATTAATGAACTCCTCAATAAGAAACTCATTATTTAGGTGCTTTTTTATGTTATACGACAAAGTTTATTTTGATGATGCAATAAAATAAATTACAGTTTTTTCTTCATCAAAATGCGAAAATTAAATACAGGATATGACTGTATTAAAACTAAACCTAAGTTCACAAAATACTCAAAATTACACCTATGGGTTGATATTTTATAATGTCAAATTGGGTTTAATTTCTTAAATTTTTAGCAGTTTGAGCACACGGTAAATATCTTTAGAGGTTTTTATTGTTTTTACTGTTATTATAAACTATTATCAATGACTGATGATCATTTATTATACTGTGTGGATAACTTACCATTTGAAGTGCAGTTACATGCCTTTTCCACCACAAGTACTTTTGATATTGCGGCCCCAACGATGAGACGAAATAATAGGTGTACATTATGACGTGAATGAAACAGTTTATTACACCTAAAAGCGTTCCATGACCACCTAAAACAGATTACTTCCTCAAATCAGGTTACCACTTTAGGTTTCAATAATTCATAATTCAATTAAATTCTCCAGCAATGTCAATGATCTACTGGAATTAAAAAATACAATGGACAATTTTGCTGCACATGTTACTTCAATTAAATCTGAGAATGAGGTATTTAAATTTTTACATACCTGGTAAAAATGTAACACCTATCCAAGCGCATACCGGCATCAGGGTGTGATGGTACAAATGTAGATAGGATACTTGGTTAAATTTCTTTCTTAAAACGAAGAAAACTGTGTCCAGCAATTCGACTAGCTTGCATATGAAGTAGAGCCAAACAGCCCTAGCCATCTAAAAGAAAATTGCATTTAAACACAAAATTGATTTGAGGAATTGAATTAAGTTCTTTAAATTAGTATCTATAATTTACCTATACGATACTGATTTATAAAATATTAATAGGCGTTTTATTTTAAGAAAGGAATTTCCATGAATTTCCATCTTCCAAGGTGCTATGTACCAAATTAACGCCCGTGTAAAACACGGTGTAATTAATTTAGTAAGTTAATTACGAAATTATGCATAACTTTGAGTTTATCCTTTACATCTTAGACGGTTCCAAGACATTAATTGACCTTCCTTCGACAACAGAAGTAAAATAATGAATTTTCGTCGATTTTATACTCGAATATCGCGCAATACGTATTGATTGACTCTAATCGAATTACTAATTAATTACAAGCAAAAGTTTGGATCCGGATTTAAATTAAATTTTTAAATATTCCCAGATAATTAACGTAGCATGTAAGTTCGAACATAAATTCATTTACGCGGTTTAAATTTATTATTAAATATGCAATATTAGCCGATTTCAAAATACATGTACTCGTATTTTCGCTTGAATTATCATGTTAATGATTATTGTGAGGTATTCGATCGCATTTACCAAGACTTCCTTTTCACCTATATTTTGATTTGTGAACATTGTAAACACTAGTACATGTACTAGGTAAGCAAGAATTAGTTTTTTAAACTTCTTTAGTAATTTATTTGAATTAAAATTTCCTTACGCGAAGTCCTTTTTCTCCGGTAACGACAGGCTGGCAAGCCAGGTTGTAATCAGTCCATCCTCCGACAACACCCTGTAAAATTGCAATGATTTAAAAAACATATAGGTAGATAGATACATCTTACTCAGGGACAATTATAAAGCTTTGGCTCTATAATGGTATTACCTTACTCTTCCAGTTTGGTTAATTGGCAGGTTTTCGATCTTTAAAATTACTGGTTTTATAACAGTCTAGACTACTTTCCTGTTAATTATTTCATTCATCCGTAATGACACACATCTTTTTGGCTGTATTATGTACTTTTACTAGATGCTCTTGAGGTGAATTTACGTGTCGATATGTTCAGCACAATATTGTGTTCACTTACAGTTTATCTACTTACTTCGTAAAAGAGGTAAGCACTGATCAGTACTTGGAGGAAATTGTATACTTGTATGGTTCTCTTGAGCTCGTAGGGTTTTCGGTCTTTCATGTACCTGGGCCCTGCTTTGGTACAAAAGTAGACATAGGTGACTAGAATTAGCGAGAGATGACCTAGTTTTCCGCTGAGGAACCAGTCCTTCGTCCTTGGATCTGCAAAAAATATACCAATTAGAAGCAAACGTATTATAGGTTGCACCAAGTCGTAAAAAGGATTCTAATACAACTCAAATAATGAACATATTAATTCTCTTAACCTTATTCATAAATCATTTGGATAATCATCCGTAGAATTACTTATGTTCATATTTATTCAACTATGGTAACTGACACACATATTGAATTGCAGCATTTAGCAAACATTGTGAAGGAACAATTCCGCTGCAGTTTTAAAGTAAAAACTCATCGAGGAAAATGTTAACAAAAATCTACCGCAATTTTGTAATAACCTTTGTGGTACGATATGCAATTTACAATTTGAATAAAAACTGAAAATACCATGTAGTATAACTAATTACAATTTTCGCGATCTCTTTGCAAATTGCCAGCGTTTGTTCAAATATTGATTCAGTAATTTCAGCTTTTACACCGGTCGCGGATTTTGCTAAGTTAACAGCCACTTAACGTTTAGCAACCAATAAAATGCTAAATGCAATTGCGAAGAATTTCAAATCGAAATCGGCCGGAATTTACACTTGCAAGAAGAAACTAGCAAGGTCGCAGTGGAAGCAATTAAGTTGACGAGACAAATTCAACTATAAAATGTTATAAAGAAAATGATTAATGCTAAGAGCAGGTAATATAATTCCTGGTTCTCTCATTGCCAAATATGTTTAATTTTCATTGTGTTCGTACGGATTTTATGTCGGTTATATATCGATGTAAATATCGCTTAAATACCTTTGTAATTATTCTTTTTTATGAGTTTTAATTTATTTGTTTTTATTCAAATAAGGTCATATTTATTATTTTTATGTTTACTCTTCAATTGGATCTTAAAGTACTTCCTACAAACTCTTCAATATTTAATTATGCAATATTTTATAAACTTTGTGAAATATCTATATTTTTTGCATTTAAATTTTGTGAAGCTAATTGACTTTTTAGGATTTAAAATTGAAGAAATTTAAGCAAACAAAAAACCTTACCTGAATATTCTTTAATAAAGCGATTGAATCCTTCCATTGCGCTAAAAATCTCGGCCATTTTTTATTTACTGAAACAAAAATTAAATGTATTAGTACATTATTATTTTTTCAAAAAAAAAGATTATCTACATACCAACCTACTTGCAAATAAAATTGCAGTAAGATCCGTATCAATACAAATGTGTGCCAATAATTGTAATTGTGCCCTTTCTAATTATTATCGCAATCATAATTGTGTCGAAAAAATAAGTATATCTACCTACATATATAAAAATTGTTACATTTTGTAATACGTGGATTTCTCAATTTTATTCAGAAATTGAACAAATTTGTTTGATAAGAAACAAGAACAATCGGCGCAATACCATAGTTTTTACAAATCATAAATTACTGGTCTCTACACCTATCGTATGTTATTATTTCTTCAATTATATAGATTTTATGAAAAGATATTCGTATTCAAAGATAGAAGGAATATGAACATTACACAAATCATTTGAATAAGGAAAATTAACAATGGCATGATTCGTATCACCAATACGACCAATTGCTTGATTAATCAATTTTAATATTTCTTTTTGAAAGTTTCTCCCTTTCGTATTGAATGTAATTACATGTTTGGTGCATGAACATGCTCGGCTTGTGCAATACCTACTTGAGCATACGAGCGAAATGCATCGAAATTTTACAATATATCCGTAATGATTTCTTTCTTACGACAACTGCAGGATGTTGTAGTATACGTAAAACTATGTAATTTTAGAATTGAATAAACAATTTCACTCAATCAATCATCAATAAATAACACGTAAATGAAATTGAAAGTTAATTACATACATAAGTGCAAGAAGTAGCAATTTTGTTATAAAATTCTTCCGAAAAAATATTGCTTTGTGAGTGGGTACTCGAATCTTTATACTCTTCCTATTAGTCCTACATTACTCGAATCATAAATATATATTAGTCCTTGGTATTAATTGACAGTTAATTATTTGTTATCGATTTAGGTAGGTAAATAACAATTAAGAAAATAAAATTTTTCCCCAATTTATATTTTTTTATCTCACAGGCATGCACTTTGAATAATTTACCGCCAATTAGTTATAAGTTATAAGTATAGGTATTAGTAATCCGATAATCTTTTGCTGTATAGTAAATAATGGGTATTGGGCATTGCCCAATAACAATTTTTTGCTGACGCAAATATCGAGATAATACCTACTTACACTTTAAAGTAAACATGGTACTGCTAAATAAAACCTTTTGTTACCCATTTGGTGGTTTTCTTCATTTTTCATCGTTTTCTTCATCAAACGATTAGTCCATCAGGTACTTCTCGGAACGCGTATGAATTTATATTAAAGAGAGTTTATACTGTTTATACTTGTATATAGAGTTGCTGAGTTGCTTTAGCTACCGGTGCCGGTGGTTGCAATCTATTTTACTCTTGGGATTTCCCGCGATCTCTGCTACATGATACGTATTTGCCGGAAATATTTAAAAATTACGATGATATAAACTTATTTGAAACGGAAATTCCTACACATACGTAAATCTCACGAGTAATTTGAACCTAAAAATGACGGAGCATCTTCAAATAATGATAGCTAAACCGAATGTAAATTACCCAGATTTTTAAATCAATGGAATCTTAGAGTTTTTTCGTATACGTAAATTTATCTATTTTATTTACGATGCAATAATTGAAATTGATGGAAAGACCAGGTTTATTCAGACTTTAATTGGATAATTACAGCCAAAAATTTGCCGATTCAAGGGTAATAAGAGATTCAAGGGGTATAAAGTGCAATTAATAATTGGTAAAATAAAAAATCGAATTTTGTCCAATTCTAATTTAACTACCGATAGTTGAATTGTACTGATTTTGTCCAATATAACACACAAAAATAGTAAGCAGATAAAAAAATTATCATGCTAAATATCATGTCAAATAAAAATTACGTTTGACTCACCTTCGAGGCCACTTATTGCCAATTATATTGGGATTATTCGGATATCTAAACGCAAGTATACTTATACCGTGAAATACTTAATATTGAGAAAATGTGCTGGCTGCCTTGAAGGATTAGTAAATGTAGGCACAGAGGGTACATTTAAATCATTATCATATATTATCATTATCATATAGGCACCTAACTAAACGGGCAATTTGGTATCCTTAATACGTAGCTAATATAGCTAGATAAGTTCAATTAAGTGCAACGGTAAAAATACAATTTAAATGCACCAACCCTGCACGATTGTTAAAAATCTATTATGAGTATAAAAATTCTTTAAATGTGAAAACTCTTCTAACGTTAGATTAGATATGTATTATCAACGCTTTTACCTTTGAATACCTCTACTAGTATTACACTTTACCAGGTAGAAACTTTTAACAGTTTAATTAGATACATAATATTCTTTTATTTAATTAATTAAGTCATGAATAGCAAAGAGAACTAAAAACGACCGAAAACAAAATACATGTTGTCCTTAATGCAAGCAGAACGTCAAGGTTTTGTTCTTAGTATTAATCGCATACGATTTTTTTATAACGATTTTATGAATAAGTCGCGTAAACGGTGCTACATTTTAAGAAAATACAAATACAAATAAATACAACGCTTGCATATGCAATGCCCTAACATATAAGGAAAGATATTATTGTAAAAATAAACACGAATTGGACGAATTTCATAAAAGGTTCCTTTGATTAGGTACTACTGAAGTATGTAAGGTGTTTTTACCAATGGTAGGTTTATATTATCGAATTATTTTGCTCTCTTTTAGTTAGAAGAAATGATTTCCTTTACCTTCAGAGTGCTTTCTACATCCTCCTCTATGCTAATTAACTTATATTTGTTAACTGAACTTGTTTATTGTTATAGCTTCCTAATTAACAAATAGATTTGCAAAAAACTCCTGTGTATTTTGTAACTGTGCTATGTTTATATATAAACATATATTTATAAATATGTTTTTTCAATTAATTAGAAATTAATGTCCGCATTAAAACGTATGTATACATTGAGTACCTATATTGAGATCGTTGAGTACGTTGAGTTTCTTAACATGCTATGTGGGGTCTTCTTTGTAAAAATCCATTCTTTTGCAATAGACGTGCATAGAGCGATTCTGTGTTAAATGACGTTTTCAATGCTAAAACTCTCTCTACACAAATATATGTTAAATATTACGTTTGTTTAACTTATTAATCCTCCAGATAAGGTTAATGTCTTTCCTTGAATAATCCCAACAGTGTTTAGTTTAAATTGTTTGTATCAAATCTACTTATTACTTCGTTGAGTCGTTCTTCGATAATTGGTCAATTAAGTAATCGATAATGCTTATGTGAGAAATACAATTTTCTGCATGATGTAAGACCGGGGCAGAAAAAAATTGTATTTTCCTTTCCACTAATTGCTACAAATTTCCACTAATTTTTATGGTCTTCTTTTTAATGTTTACCTATTGTACGATTTTTAATACACTCTCGTTCAGTCATAGATATATTGATAAATCAAATATTCGTAGTTACACAGGCAATTTTGTCTACGTAATGCTGTCTCCATTAGGTATATTCTTGTAATTATTCTAAATAACAGTTAGGAAGGTATCTATTAATATGTTAGCTCCTAAATAGGTACCTTCTGTTACCTAATACAATTTGTAATAACCTAATCGATCATTAAAAAACGAAGTTTGTTTAGAGGAAACGTTATACAATTTGAATAATTCTCTATTAATTTATCTATTTTCCTCCAATTTCTCAGTTGCGTTAAATTTTTTCCAGTAATCCCCACAATTTATCATCGTTTTTATCACCTTTACAATGAATTTGAAAAAACACTTCTTTTAAACTTTAAAGCTGCTAATGAAATTTTATAAAGCGCAAATTTTAGTAACGAATGAATTTTCTACAAAAATCTTCATTAAATGACCATTAGATAATAATCATTATTTATAAATGAGTAAAATTAAGAATCGAGGTCAAAAAAAGGTAAAAGTGTGTGCCTCCATAGTGCGCGCGTTTTAAATGTACCTATTAATAAAAAAAACTTTTAATACATTTTTCAAAAATCCCCAATTTGTCTGAATAATTTTGTATATGATTTGTGAAAAGTTTTTTTACAATAAGAACTCAAATTCCCAGTGAGGACTAATAATGATACAGTGTGTAATTGATTTACAGTGTGTTGAATGGACTCTTTTAAAAGTTTTTTTTTCAAACTCAAATTTTATAGTTTCTAGAAACTGGCTTATTATTCCGAAAACTTGTCATTTTTACAACACATTTTGCTAATTAATATTATGTAATTCATCAGTAGATATTTATTTTTAGAAGAAGATTCGAGGTGAACTTTGATCATGGTCTTCAAATACTTCAATGTTTGGTTAAATGAGTAATTTCCTACCAAAGTTAAGGCGCTATATGTAAACCCAAAACAAAATGAAACTTTAACTATTATATTAAATAAAAATTCGGTCAACGAATTTGTACAGAATATTCATGTAAGATATCCAGAAAAATATAAGCAGCAGGTAAATGTAAACTAAGTTAATGTAAAGGTAAAAAGTCTATACCCAGGAATTACGCTCCTTTCGATCCAATTTTTAGATCTGGGGAATACGTGGTGAAAATAAAATGACCTAGGTATCAATTTTACCAATCCTTCGAAAGAAATGCCTGACTGTCTAGATTTGTCGTAGAGATTTTATTTAAATAAATTCTCTAATTTTGCTTACGTGCCTGTATTCAACCTTGACGAGTTCACAATGGTTCATTTTACTAGGTGATTCAGTAAATTTTAAACCGGTGAGTTTTCTTAATATCATCTTCACCTCATAAAAATCTGAAATTATCACTAATAACAATCGCAAACTATCTGTGAATCTTGTATTATGTACTTAAATATTTACTAATTAATTTTTTGTAAGGATAATAACAAAAGCGTTAAAAGAAATCTAGGCTAGTATGTTGGATTTGTACATTTTTTATACATATGTTCCCAGCATCAGATGAAAGTTATGAAAAAAATCTACGCATATTTTTAC